TTTTTCCAAGATGGCGGACAAAATTCTAAGCTAAATATCAAAGAAACCGTTCACAAGGTGGTAAAACAATGAAACTTCATATATTATCTCTTTAGACCCTTCTTAACAAATAAAGATATGAAATCAATATGAAAAACTATCAACTTCCGGTTTTTTCCAAGATGGCGGCTGAAATAACAAAAAAACCCAAAAACAAGTCAATAGATAAAGGCAACAGTAGTATACCGCTGTTCGAAACTCATAAATCGATAGAGATAAAAACAAATCCGGGTTACAAACTAAAACTGAGGGAAACGCATCAAATATAAGAGGAGAACAACGACACAACAAAAACACAACATTAAAATGTAACACACACAGAAACGAACTATAATATAACAATGGCCATTTTCCTGACTTGGTACAGGACATTTTAAGAAAAAAATGGTGGGTTGAGCCTGGTTTTGTGACATGCCAAACCTCCCGCTTTTATGGCAACGTCAGACACAACACCAAGACGACAACATCACATGACAGGACCACAATACAAATAAAAGGGAGAACATATATAGGACGTTGCAATATTTACCAAAAAAATATATCAGATGAGTACAATTGAAAGTAATATATATACAGTAGCTGTTATATGCAATAACACGTTCATTCATCTTGTTTGTGTCGGTAAACCCTATACTCTGCAGTCCATCAGGCACAATCTCCACCACACTTGCCTTAAGCTGTATTCGGAAGGGCGGATTTGAAACCCTTGCATTGTCCTCGACAACCTTTCTTGCATCAACAGTGAACAAGTACCTGTAGTGAAGAGGTTGCCTCTGTCAATATTGTCAAGAACGGGTTCTTACATGCCGTTGTCTTGCTTCTTCCAACCATACAAGTCTGGGGATGGAAGAACAGACTGTAAAAGCAAACACTGTATCCAAATCAATCCAGCTTGGTACACAGAACGTTTGGCATGTTGGTAAAGTGCCTCTCGTGTTGGTGGCACAGACTCGATTGATCTACCTGTATGTGCAAAGAGTACTTTTCTAGCTTCATTTACACTGTTGGATTCACTTGTCCGATGGTACAAAGAACAACATATCGCTCCAGCAATGGTAGAATTGAATCACGGCATTTTGTACTTGGTTGGTCTGTCATCTGTCTAAAAGCAGCTGATATCTCGGGGAAAGTATTCCATGTATCCCAAGCTGTTTTCTTTCTTCGTCCTGCAAATGAAGATACAGTGTCACAACCTGTAAAGGCGTGGATTATCGGTAAAAGCATGGATTCAAGAGGACCAAAAGATTGTGCAATATCATGAATAGGAATGTTTCCCGGTTGCAAATGCTATTCATATCTCATCAACTTCTGTGTCCATAAATACAGATATAGCGATCACAATTACGTCTGTATCCACAGTTTTAATGTTGATCCTTTTAAAACCATCCCTGACTGCATCTACAACGTGAATCATAACTATCGTATCTGCTTCTTCGTGTGTGAGCGCTTGCAGTTTTGACTTGTCTATATGTGCCTGATTTGAAATCCCATTCTCTCCAACTGTACAGATAACGTTCTTTTCAATATTTGTTACTTCTGCCAACTTTTCCGATAGAAACTAAAACAGCTCCCTTTTATTCTCATAAACCCGTAGAAATTCATGCCAATTCTAAGGGATATTTGTTTGAGCTTGAACTCGCCTTCGAATTCCTTTCCCTCTATTTTCTCTAGTTGCACTTTTGAGGCTGTTTTCTACATATGTGTCCAATACTACATCAACGCGTCCAACATCGCTATTTCGGTTTACTATGTAGGGAACAAACACTTTTACCGCATAAAAGAAATAGCATTTGTCCAACCTGACGCTTCCAGCCTATTGCCAATAGTTTTTAAAATGGCCATCTCGATATGAAGACCTCCAAACAAAATGAAGAGTTTATCTTCGCCGTAACCAGAAGAATCCGCCATCCTGAGTCAAAATGAGACCATACGTCAGTGTGATAAGTCAGATCTATTAAGAAAATGTCTTGAGCCGTTAATATCTAAAACAATAGTTGACCCTCAAGTGAATGCAACAATAATTCACGGTGCAGCAGTAGTCAATATGCTCAAGCCTGGTGCAGCATATCATTTCATGATTATGCGTTAAAAGTGTTCTTCACTACATAGTAAACCGAAAAAGCGATGTTGGACGCGTTGATGTAGTATGTAGCAAACAGCCTCAAAAGTGCAATCAGAGAAAAAAGAGGGAAGGGAATTCGAAGGCGAGTTCAAGCTCAACAAATATCCCTTAGAACTCGCATGGCTTTCTACTGGTTGGTGAGAATAAAAGGGAGCTGTTTCAGTTTCTATCGAAAAAGGTTGGCAGAAGCAGCAAATACTGAAACGAAAGTTATCTGTACAGTTAGAGAGAATTTGATTTCAAACCAATCACATAGACAAATGAAAACTGCAACCGTGCAAACACGACAAAACTGTTACGAGAGTTATGCTTTACGTTGCAGATGCATTTAGGGATGGTTTTAAAAAGATCAGCATTAAAACTGTGGATACAGACGTAATTGTGAAAGCTAAATCTGTATTTAAGGACACAGAAGCTGATGAGATATGGATAGCAGTTGCAACCGGGAAACATTTCCGTTACAATCCTATTCATGATATTGCACAATCTTTTGGTCCTCTTGAATCCATGCTTTTACCGATAATCCACGCCTTTGGGTTCTCTTAAATATAGGATTTTACCAATATTCCACGCCTTTACAGGTTGCGACATTGTATCTTCATTTGAAAGACGAAGAAAGAAACAGCATGGGATACATGGAATACTTTCCCCGAGGTATCAGCTGCTTTTAGACAGATGGCAGACCAACCAAGTACAATATGCCGTGATTCAATTCTACCATTGCTGGAGCGATATGTTGTTCTTTTGTACCATCGGATAAGTGAATCAAACAGTGTAAATGAAGCTAGAAAAGTGCTCTTTGTAAATAAAGGTAGATCAATCGAGTCTGTACCACCAAAACGAGAGGCACTTTTCCTACATGCCAAACGTTCTGTGTACCAAGCTGGATTGATTTGGATACAGTGTTTGCTTTTACAGTCTGATCTTCCATCCCCAGACTTGTATGGTTGGAAAAAGCAAGACGACGGCATGTAAGAACCCGTTCTGGACAATATTGGCAGAGGCAACCCCTTCACTACAGGAGCTTGTTCACTGTTGATGCAAGAAAGGTTGTCGAGGACAATGCAAGGGTTTCAAATCAGCCCTTCCGAATACAGCTTTAGGCCAGTGTGGTGGAGATTGTGCCTGAAGGACTGCAGCGAGTATAGGGTTTACCGACACAAACAAGATGAATGAACGTGTTATTGCATATAACAGCTACTGTATATATATTACTTTCAATTGTACTCATCTGATATAATTTTTTTGTATATATTGCAACTTCCTTTTGACTTGTTTTAACATTTTTGTTATTTCAGCCGCCATCTTGGAAAAAAACGGAAGTTGATAGTTTTTCATATTGGTTTTATATTTGTATTTGTTTAGAAGGGTCTAAAGAGATAATATACAAAGTTTCATTGTTTTACCACCTTGTGTACGGTTTCTTTGATATTTAGTTTAGGATTTTTGAAATTTTGTCCGCCATCTTGGAAAAAACCGGAAGTTGATTTTTTTCAGGTTGGCTCCATATCTTATTTCGCTTAGAATGGTGCTAGGAGCTTATATACCAAGTGTGATGCTTTTACCACATTTTGCAGAATTCTGATGAAAAATTGGACTTAGCTGCTTGACTAAATTGCTTTTGAGGTAGGTTGGTATTTGTACTTATTGTTAACACTGAAGATCAAAGGATACAAATATAGAATGCTACATCACAGGTTAAAAGTCTTAGATTTCCTCTGTAAAATCATTGGCAGCTGGGGACATTTATAGGGAATGATGAGACTTAATGAGAGTAATTGTGTATTCTGGAAAACTTTTTAAAAATTACTAACATAAAATTGTATATAAATACTTCACACCATTCAAGATCTTCAAAATCAGTCAAGTGTCAGTTTATCAGAATCCTACAGACCATGGACCTAACTTCTAACAATAATTCAAAAGTGAATTCTTTTCATTTTATTTATAAAATAACAAGTTCTTGCCATTTCAATACCATGACAGTTTTGAAGACTATAGAGATCAGCATTCAATCAATAATAATAAAAGATTGAGTTACACATTATTACAGAGCAGACAGGCCTGTCTATACCAATGTAAGCATGTACATGCCTAAAAACTCTCAGTTTATAGTACATTAAATATATACACATTAAAACACAGCATGGCCAGCAGTCGTACATTCAAAATTAAAAAATTGTCCACAAAAGTAATTTAAGAATGTTCAGAATTTAATGTCAATATTTAAGAAAGAATTTAGCTGACTTTAATGAAATTGTTCAATTGTTCCACCCTGCATCAGGTTCGAGTTTTGGTTTTAGGTTATTTGTAGTCAAATCAACTTGAGACTTTGTACACATTTTCATTATGAGGTAAACTTTTAAAATTATATGTCAAATAAGGGTTTTGACACAGTTTATGGTTCACTGAACACGGAACCGCCTGATCTAATTTTCTTCTAACCTAAAAGTGTCTTCATATAAATGTATATAAAAAGGTATGGTGTAAGTGGACCTTCAGATTGAAATCATGTTTATTGTAAAGTGTGAAATTTTCCTGATTAAGATAAATTGTCAAAAAATAGCCCCTCGAGTAAATTTAATTTTAAAAGGAATTCAGTTTTAGAATAAAAAAAAATTAAACTTTCATGAATATAGTTGGCTCTTGGAATCATGAAATATAAACTGCTAAAATGAACCACATTATGGTATTAACTAATGTGGTAAATAACTTCATTTAGCAAATGAAAAATGTGTTCACTTGAAAAGAGAATATATTCACCGGTCAACAACTGATAATGGTTGATGGAAAATGTCCTTTTTAAATCAGGTGATTTGTATTAAATAAAAAAAATATCTTATACTTAAATCAACTTTATTTTTCAATCTTTAAATTAATAAGCTACCACTTACAACAGTCAAAATGATTTCCCTTTTCTCAAAGAAGGTTCATTCAATTAGTTATTTATAATTCATAAAAAATGTAACACGATACTCTAACAATACACTGCTGGTTTCATATGTGTCTGACCTGGAACTTCAGCTTTTTCAAGTTAAATAACATAAATAAGTGAGAATGTACTTCAATTTTAGAATGCCAATTTCCCATGTTTTGAATTTTCAAACTTTGCGCAACACAAATAAATTATAAATGTCCTTTTGTTGATAGCTTAATTTTATGGTTTTCTTGTTCCACGTACACAACAAAAACTCATTTCATTTCGTTTCAACAATTCTTGTATAAGAAGATTTGTACCAGCCCAGCAAATCTTTTTTAAGCTAAAATGTCAATAACAGGAAAGATTGAGATATCATTAACGTATGGTATGTTGATGGGACACGCCCTGCTGCTATTTTATAACAGAAGGACAAATAAATAATGAACATAAGGTTATCACAGACACAGAATGGGGGTTAACATGCTCCTTTATCTTTCTTCTACCATTAATGTCTCCTGAGGATAAAGTTTTAAATCTTGTAATGTCCTTTTATCATCTTCTTGTGAAATCTGAAAATAGACAAGCAGAATAAGTTTAATAATTAGATTACATTGGATTAGAGTTTCTATTACAGTTTCTGACTGATGATTTTGGCCATTTTAAATTATTTAAATAATGCCTAGCTGATTATTTTTTTTTGTTTAAAGCATTTCGCTATCTATTTTTAGTTTTCAAGATAAAAGCCAAAAAAACATAACAAAATTGGTAAAAGAAAAATTACTAATGGACAATTACTCTTATAAACTATTAATTCTGATCTTGCTGCCTTTTGAAAATCTTACCTCACTGATTATTTTGTATTTTTAAGATTCTCTCTATTTAATATAATTTTCAATATTATAGCAAAAAAAAACCAAACAAATAAAACCAACAAAAATAGGTAAAAGTATAACTCTAACTTATGATTTAGGTCACTTTCACTCTATCGCAGAATGCTGATAATTCTTGCTGTTTACAGTGTCTCTTTATCTACTATAGTTTCCACCTTAAATGCTTAAAAGGGCAAAAATTCTCATTCAAGGGCAATAACTCATAAAAAAGTTCACTGATTTAATTTCTATCTATCTATTATAGATTTCAAGAAAACATCAAAAATGGGTAAATATTGTTCTTAAAGTGCCATAACTCCTAAAAGATGTTGACTAAGGACTTACAAAATTTTGACTCATCTGTAGATATTATCCTGATGATCTTTTTCCTAGTTTTCAAGATAACAGCAAAAAAATCATAATAACTGGTAAAAATTGTCATTTAACAGTAAAATCTCCTATAAGGAGTCATCTGACATTTTTTTGTAAAAACCGACAAAAGCTAGACCTTAACATTATGAACATTGCCAATGCCAGATTTTCTCTATCTATAGCAGATTTCAAGATTCAAGCAATAACTTACATTTTAATTTTTAACCTTGTTGGTCATGGTAGTTGGCAGGCAGAATAATCATACTTAATTTTAAACTAGACACTGGAGTGTGGCCAAATTTGGTTCCAAATATCCAAGTAGTTTCAGAGAAGATGTTTGTAAAGGCAAAAGGATGACAGACCACAGACACCAAGTGACAGCAATAGAAAAAGAAAAATCCTCCATTCAAAACATTTAATTATCTGAACCTTGATTTGCTGTCAGTAAACTGTTCTACTTAACCTTCGTCCTAAACTGTGGATTCATTTATTTTCCAGGATTGAAGAAAATTTGTATTTTTCGTGGATATTTGATTTCAGGTTTTTGGCAAAGTCTGCAAACAAGCCTATAAAAAATTTGCACATGGTTTAATATTTAAATTTGTGTTTCACTTGTACCCACAAAATCTAACAAAATGAATGAATTCACAGTATTTTTCTTATCTAAGCTTGTGTCATTTTGACCATTTTAAAATGTTACTTACATCTTTCCTTGGGAAAGTGGTTAACAGTTTATATCCCTCTGTATGAAAGCCTTTTGACGTAACATAATAAATAAGGTGCTTCAATGGTTCCTCAGCTCTGAATCTCCGAGATAGCGTCTCTCCGTCTGGTGTTCGTATCCGTAACACTGTAATGGGATCTTTACAGTCTTGGCTTGGTTCGTCTGGCATTGCAATTTCTGCTGATAATTTAAGAGCCTAAAAAGAATTTCATTGAAATCAATTTCCAACAATTACATTACATGTATGTTTTATTAGAATTGGTAATATTGATTGGCTGACAACAATCGTGAGGCACTCCAATAACAAATATTATTTCTGTATAAAATACAACAGCTGTGGGTTAGCCGTAACAATGTTAAAATAATGCATTAAAAAACAACGAAACGACTGATCTAACTCTTAATTTCATGGTTGTAGCACACTAAAGTAATTATAAGAATTGAATGCTTCTTTTTATAATTTTACAGGTTTGTAAAAGCATTGATTGTGCCCACATTTATAATATGAAGCGCTTTCACGTTTCATACGAAATGTGCTTCGGTCAACACTTTTACACCACAATAAAATTATAAAAAGAAGCATTCAATTCTTAAATGTATGATGCAATGTCTTTATTAAGGTAAGTAAAGATTTCCAGTCACCATATAATCATTTGTTGATATTTGAACATTTAACAAAATGATGCCATATGATAATTATGATATAGTATCAGAATTTTGAATATAGAAATTTGACAATAAACAAATATGAACAGGTAGATACAAATGTCAAGGAAATGTGTACATGTGAGAAATACTTAAAACAACACTGGTGTTATTGTACAGTCTGTAAACCATATTTCTGATAATTCTATATGAGTTGGCTTTCATAATAATTTTTTTCAAATAAATACATAATTTTTTTTTAACTGAGCTGATTCAGAGAAGACTAAATTAAAATTTGTATCTTGAGATGAGTTTCCCCAACTGTTGGCTTCTTTTTTGCAAAGAAAATCACTTTTGAACATTCGTAAAAGTTTAAGGTTGTCTCCCACAAAAATTCTAAATGCAGAGCTTAAAATAACCTGGTAGAGACTAATACTTGTCTTCTGTTTCATATCAAAATTCAAAACATTTCTTTTGTAACTCTTGTGATTGGTAAATCTGGGATATTTTTATTTTCTAAGATTTTCTAAGAATTATCTCCCCTGAAACTGTATTGAAACCACTTAAGCTTGTTAAAATGGTTAACAATTTATGGTACTGTATAAAAATACAGAAGGATATTATTACCTTGAGTACAATTTATTCAAATTGCAACAACTCACATGTTATATAATATTAATTATTTCAAAGGTAACATTCACTTTTGGAATGATGAGATAAATTGTTCTAACCAGAACTTTTAAGCAGGCATGCATTACAAGTTTGTGTTACAAACTAATCTGCAGATAAGTTGTAGTGGAAGTACTTTTAAGTTAATATATGAAAAGTTTATTTTAAACACAAATCTTTTACTTACTTCTTGTTTCTGTTCTTCCTCTATTTTTTGTCGTTGTTCTTCAGCCTGTTTTTTCATCTCCTCTTCTCTTTCAAGTTTTAATGCTTCTGCCTTAAAGTTTAAAATAAATAATATGTTAAAATGTTTTCAATTCTAATGAACAAAGATCTGCAGTGCCATAAAAACCACAAATGAAAATGATATTGTTTGTGTGTCCACATGTATTTCTGAAATAACCTTCATCATAATATTCGTGACCAAAAGTTTGGAAAGCCAAATAAATATAGTATTTGAGAGTCAACTTTGCCTGAAGTAGTTGAAACCATAGTTTTAGCACAATAACAAAAAATTACAAACAAAATGTTTCATTCAAATCCTGCCAAATTCAGCTGCTGACCAAACATGAAATAATTGAGTAGTTTTTGAGAAAATTGTGATGAATTTTTTTTAAGTTCATTCAATATATTGAAAAATACAAAGATTCAGCTAACAGGAAGTCAGTAACAGACAAATCTGAAAAGTGCTGACATGTTACAACTCATCACAGTCATGCTGCTGACCAAATACGCAGTCATTCTGTTTGTAAGTTTGTGAGAAAATTGAGACAAAACTAACCGATAACAAACCAATGGACGGACAAAAAGCCTGACAGACAAAGTGATTTGTAATATAGGCCCCCACTTAAGGGTATAATAATGATAGGACAAAAATATGTGCTATGTCAACAAAACTGGAGGCTCTAAAGAGCCTGTGTCGCTCACCTAGGTCTATGTGCATAATGATAGGACAAAAATATGTGCTATGTCAACAAAACTGGAGGCTCTAAAGAGCCTGTGTCGCTCACCTAGGTCTATGTGCATAATCAACAATGCACTCTCTCCAACATATTGTAGACAAGAATAGAGTTCATGACAAAAATTTCTTTTTTGTTGATCTTGTATTGCTGATCATTTTGTCTGTTTAGTTTCTCTCTATCTTCTTTAGTTTTTGGTCAAACACAAATGAGGGTAAAAAAAATCCTCATTTAAGGACAATCACTCCTTTGAAGAGTGACAGTCTACTAACTATATCGGCAACATTTGACTTGTATGTTGATCTTGCCTTGCTGATCATTTTTGTTATTCAAAGTTTCTATTTATCTATTATAATTTTTATCATATAAGGCAAAATGCAAAATAAACTGTTGACACCTTTTTTGTAATTTTGATACTGCAAATGTTGAAATTAAATTACCAATACTTTAGCATGTAAGATATGCAAATATTCAAAGTCAATGAACCATGACTGAAGGTACATGGCTAAACAATCTCCATGGAAATGAGATGTGCCAATGCTAATACAACTGCATATCAAATACCATTGGCTTATCATAAGTCGTTCCCTTTAAACAAACCTAAACACAAACATTAACTTGTAAACTATGTAAAAGTTTCAAAGTCAATGAACCATGATGAGGGGGTGGGGCTATATAATCTCCATGGAAACAAGATTTGCAAATGCCAATACATTTGCATACCAAATATCATTGACTTAACATTAGCGGTTCATCTTAAACTGATCTAATCACAAACTAATACATGTAAACTAAGCAAAAGTTTCAAAGTCAATAGACCATGAATGAGGGGGCGGGCCAAATATTCTCCATGGAAATGAGATGTGCTTATGCTCATACAACTGCATACCAATTAATATTGGCCTACCACAAATGGTTCCCCTCAAACTGACCTAATCACAAACTAATACATGTAAACTAAGCAAAAGTTTCAAAGTCAATAGACCATGACTGAGAGGGCAGGGCCAAATAATCTCCATGGAAATGAGATGTGCCAATGCTAATACAACTGTATACCAAATATCATTGACCTACTACTAGTGGTTCACCATAAACTAAGACCTTATCAAAAACTAATACACTGTTGATGTGGCCTCGCTTTTTGACTCCATCAAGGCCAGGCAAAAATTGTAAAATCGTTATAAAAGGGCAATAACTTCAATAAGGAGTTATTGAAAAAATTTTCCTCCAAATGTTTTTAAATGTAGATCTTGTCTTGCTTATCATTTTTGCTTATTTAAGTTTCTATCTATCTATTATTATTTTTAAGATATAAGGCAAAAACACAAAAAATTGGTAAAAATTATCATCAAAGGGCAATAACTCTAATCAGGAGTCGACTGATAATTTCAACCATGTGCATATATTATTAGATCTTGTCTTGCTGATCATTTTTGCAACTAAATCTATTATAGTTTTCAAGATAATAGGCAAAAATGAACAAAATTGGTAAAATTTGTCATTTAAATTCAATAACTCCTATAAGAAGTCGCCTGAGAGTTTTGACATCGATGAACAATTGGTAGAGCTCAACACACTGAACATTTTTGCCCTTGTCAGATTTCTCTATTTATAACAGTTTTCAAAATAATAGACAAAACTTGCATTTTACTCCTATGTTCTATTTTTAGCCATGTCAGCCATCTTGGTTGTCAGGTGGGGTGATCGGACACATTTTAAAACTAGATACCCCAATAATGATTGTGGCCAAGTTTGGTTAAATTTGGCCCTGTAGTTTCAGAGAAGATTTTTGTAAAAGTTAACAACTACGACCGACGCCAAGTGATGAGAAAAGCTCACTTAGCCTTTCAGCCAGGTGAGCTAAAACAACTAATAATGAAACACTGACATCATGACTTATGTGAATATACAGTACCCGCAAGGTATTTCTGTTATTTACCAACCTTGCTTGTAATCAGTAAATCAAATTGACCCACAGTGATCACTGGCACTGATTTCAGGTGATAAAATTTACTAGCCAGGTCATATATATTGAACAAAGCAAAGAGGTATTTCTGAGTGAATCATCCACTAGGCAACAACTCCCAAACAGCAAAAGTGAAAATCTTAATAATTAATCTTGAACTACATTTTGTTATGAGAAACAATACATTAAAATTTTGACAAAGATTAAATCAAGCATTCTCAAGTTATCAAATGAATGGACATAAAGTGTCATTTCCAATTAAATCAAAAACCATATCCTAAAAGATAACAAGATAAAGATATAAAGATAAAACTTGACCTCCATTTTGTCATATTTACCTGGAATTGAAATCAACAGCATTAACATATCATTTAGTGTGAAATATATTTTTTCTAAATATGAATATAATGTTCTGCAATGCGCAGCTTGATACGACAGCAGAGGTCGAACCCTGAATAGTTGGAGCAAGTATGGACACTACATTCAAGCTTGATACAGCTCAGAATTTAGATTGTGATTAAATATAGGTTTCTGACACAGAATGAATGTTGTCTAAGCATTTAAAGATTTGAAATTAGACATTTACCTATTATGGTCCAATATCACAAATGTAAATACATGGTTAGATTCAGCATATCAAAGAACCCCAAGAATTCAATTTTTTATGAAATCAAACCAAGTTTAATTTTGGACCCTTTGGACCTCAATGTGGACCCAATTGATAATGAGACCCAAAATCTAAATACACAGTTAGATTCAGCATATCAAAGAACCCCATAAATTCAATTTTGATGAAATCAAAGTTTAATTGTGGACCCTGATTTTGACAAACTTGAAAACTGGGCATAAAATCAATAAAATGCTCCGCTGGGGCGCAGCTTGATACGACCGCAGAGGTCGAACACTTAACAGTTGGGGCAAGTATGGACACAACATTCAAGCTTGATACAGCACTGAATTTGGATTGTAATTAAATATTTGACACAGCATAGGTTTCTGACACAGCATAGGTTTCTGACACAGAATGAAAGTGGTCTAAGAACTTAAAAAATTTTAATTTACCTATTCAAACCATATCATTATTATTTGCTTTTATATATAAATCAGAAATAACCAATTTAAAATGGAAAATTTTAAAGAAAAAAAAATCCCCCCCCCCAAATTTTTTGAACCCCCTTATGATTCATCACCCCCAAACTCAATCCCAGCCTTCCCTTTGAGGTATGGTACCTTGCAGTACAATTTCAGAGAGATCCATACACTTGAACACAAGTTATTGTCTGGAAACTAGAAAAATGCTTATTTTTTTACCCCTTTTTGACCCCAAATTCCTAAACTTTTAGGGCAATTACCCCCAAACTCAAAGCCAGCTTTCCCTTTGTGATATGGAACCTTGCAGTACAATTTCATAAAGATCCATACACTTACACACAAGTTATTGTCTGGAAACTAGAAAAATGCTTGTTTTTTGCCCTTTTATGGCCCCTAATTACTAAAATTTTGAGGAATTACCCCAAAAATCAATCCAAGCCTTCCCTTTGAGGTATGGTACCTTGCAGTACAATTTCAAAGAGATCCATACACTTGAACACAAGTTATTGTCTTGAAACTAGAAAAACGCTTATTTTTGGCCCCTTGTTGACCCCTTATTCCTAAACTTTTTGGGCAATTACCCCCCAAACTCAATTCCAGCTTTCCCTTTGTGATATGGAACCTTGCAGTACAATTTCATAAAGATCCATACACTTACACACAAGTTATTGTCCTGAAACTAGAAAAATGCTTGGTTTTTTTGCCCCTTTTTGGCCCCTAATTCCTAAATGTTTTGAGGCAATTACCCCCAAAATCAATCCCAGCCTTCCCTTTGTGGTATGGAACCTTGTAGTACAATTTCATAAAGATCCATACACTTACACACAAGTTATTGTCATGAAACTAGAAAAATGCTTGTTTTTTGCCCCTTTTTGGCCCCTAATTCCTAAAATTTTGAGGCAATTACCCCCAAAATCAATCCCAGCATTCCCTTTCTGATATGGAACCTTCTGATACAATGTCAGAGAGATCCATAGACTTACACATAAGTTATTGTCATGAAACTAGAAAAATGCTTGTTTTTTGCCCCTTTTTGGCCCCTAATTCCTAAAATTTGGAGGCAATTACCCCCAAAATCAATCCCAGCATTCCCTTTGTGATATGGAACCTTGTGATACAATGTCAGAGAGATCCATAGACTTACACACAAGTTATTGTCATGAAAACTAGAAAAATGCTTGCTTTTTGCCCTTTTTTGGCCCCTAATTCCTAAAATTTTGAGGCAATTACCCCCAAAATCAATCCCAGCATTCCCTTTGTGATATGGAACCTTGTGGAACAATGTCAGATAGATCCATACACTTACACACAAGTTATGTCTGGAAGTTACAAAAATGCTTATTTTTGGCCCCTAATTCCTTAACTGTTGGTACCATAACCCCCAAAATCAATCCCCACCTTCCTTTTGTGGTTTTAAATCTTATGGTAAAATTTCATTGAGATCCATTCACTTAAACTAAAGTTAGAGTGCGAAAACTAATGTGTCTTCGGACGACGACGACGACGACGCCAACGTCATACCAATATACGACCACAAAAATTTTTTTGCGATCGTATAAAAATCTATATACATGTTTAGATTCAGCATATCAAGAAACCCCTTCATTCAATTTTTGTTAAAATAAAAACTAAGTTTAATTTTCGACCCTTTGGATCTAAATGTGGACCATTTTGAAAACCAGGCCCAAAATCAAAAATCTAAATTACACAGTTATTTCAGCATATCAAAGAATCCTAAAAATTCAATTTTTGATGAAATCAAACAAAGTGTCATTTTGGACACTTTGGACCTCAATGTGGACCAAAATACACATAAGATTCAGCGTATTAAAGAACCCCAAGAATTCAAGACTGAATTAAACCCCATTGAAATTGGTCTGGAAATAAGCATTTATACAAAGTATTAATAGAGAAGTATTGTTTTTTCGCCCCTTTTTTCCTAAACGTCATGGGCAATTAACCCCAAAATCAATCCCCACCATCCTTTTATAGTATGGAACCTTGTGGTGCAATTTCATAGAGATCCATAGACTTGTACTCGTTATTCTCCGGAAACATGAAAATCCTAGTTTTTTTGCCACATTTTGGCCCCTTATTCCTAATGGTTTGGGCTATAAACCCCAAAATCAATCCGAACCTTCCTTTTGATGTATGGAACCTTGTGGTACAATTTCATAGAAATCCATACACTTATACACAAGTTATTGTCCTGAGATCAGAAAAATATTTGTTTTGGCCCCTTATTCCAACAGTTAGGACAATAATCCTCAAAATCAATCCCATCCTTCAATTTGTGGTATGGAACCTTGTTATAAAATTTCTTAGAGATCCATACACTTATACTCAGGTTAATGTCAGGAAATCAAATGTCTTCAGACAACAACGATGACACTGACAACATCATAACATTATATGACTGCAAAAATTTTGCAGTCCTATAAAAATAAGTATAATATGTACTTACTTTAGCTTTATCTGCAGCTAATGACTCCTGGAAAGCTGTTTCTTGTTCTTTCCTAATCATTTCTCTTGCATCTCTTTCTGACTAAAATTACAAAAACATAGCTTTACAGACAAAACAGAGTATATTTTGTATTTTGACATGTTTGTGTCATGAATTAATACACTATATTCCTATTCCTTCTTTTTCATTACAATATCATTTTTAATGTTAATTTTGCTTAACCCACATTTCATTTTGCATGATTGCTTTTAAATGATATATTTCTATTTGATTTTTAATTTTGGCTTACAAATAATTCATGTTTTGTGTATTTACTTTTGGCTTGCAATTATTCATATGTAGTTTGATCACTTTTGTTTGACCGACATTTAAGGTTGCATGTTTTACTTCAGATTTATAATATTTCAATTTGCCTGTTTACTTTTTGTGGACTGATCCTTATAAGGCTCACTGTTTTGCTATTTTGTTTGTTTACTTTGATGGAATAATATTTTGTTCTTTATGTTTACTTTTGGTGGACTGATATTTTGTTTTAAATGTTTACTTTTGGTGGACTGATATTTTGTTTTAAATGTTTACTTTTGGTGGACCGATATTTTGTTCTAAATGTTTACTTTTGGTGGACTGATATTTTGTTTTAAATGTTTACTTTTGGTGGACTGATATTTTGTTCTAAATGTTTACTTTGGTGGACTGATATTTTGTTTGAAATGCTTTACTTTTGGTGTACCAATATTTTGTTTTAAATGTTTACTTTTGGTGGACCATTTTATTTCTTTATTGGACCTATAATTTATAGTTCTGTATGTTTACTATTATTTGACACATCATTTGCATGTATACTTTTAATAACTTAATTTTAGTTCACCTATAATTCATTTTACATTTGACCTTTGTATTACTTACCTCTTCTTCTATCTCCCTTGTTAGCTGTTGATAAAATACCTCTACTACATTTAATACTTACCTCCTTCTCTATCTCCCCTGTTAGCTGTTGATTAAATACCTCTACTACATGATTTACTTACCTCTTCTTCTATCTCTCCTGTTAGCTGTTGATTAAATACCTCTACTACATGTATTACTTACCTCCTCCTCTATCTCCCCTGTTAGCTGTTGATTAAATACCTCTACTTCATGTATTACTTACCTCTTCTTCTATCTCCCCTGTTAGCTGTTGATTAAATACCTCTACTACATGTATTACTTACCTCATCCTCTATCTCCCCTGTTAGCTGTTGATTAAATACCTCTACTACATGTATCAACCTAGTCATTAATTCATCTAATGTCTGTGAACCTAAAATAAAGCATTATGATCACTTGTTACAGTGCAAACTTAATAAAAACAATAGCAAATGATCATGCATACATCCTAGTTCAAGGGGCTCTGCAAATGATTAGAATATATTTCAAATTAGTGGAAATTATATAAGATTACAATTAAAATGACTGGATATCTTCTGACATTTGTAATACTTCTTTTGTTGGTTAATCTAAATATCTCCCTCTAATTAATATATTTGAACAGCTCTATTTGGCACTGATTTCTTCATTCTTTTGTCCTAACAGTGAATTGCAATGTTATCCCATTCTTTAATGACAATGTTTAAGATGATGATGATGATGGATGGCTGCTTAACGTCTGACAATATTTAAAAATGATTCTTCAAAAACACCATAAAGTTGTTTTGAGTCGGTCCTGTAGTAGGTTATTATATGAATACATGCTCATTGTTGAAGGTCATATCTCAAGAATATCTTTTAGTTCAGAGCTGCTGTCTCAAGGAATTTAACCCAATCTCCATATTTATAATCCACATGAGAGCTAATTAAAATTATGTGATAGTAATCACAACCAAAGTCAAAACTTTTCATTGTAAAGTCAATATATAAGACTAACTGAGCTGAATGTATTTCTGTTATAATGCTCATTGAACTACCAAACTGTTTTGGCACAAGACTTGTGTTGTAAAAAATCATTATTGTAGCAGACCTGTTTACCACATTATTTCAGTAAAATGTTTCCTATTTTGCAAAATAATTCTTAATCACAAGCTCAATATTGTAGTGCATCATTTCTAATCTGCCATGCCGTGTGACTGTTACAAAATGATTCTGCATTAGTATTGCATTTTTACTTAAAACTTATGATACCAGTCTATTTTCGCTCATGCCAGAAACAAATTGGTCAAAGATGCTGAAATGCTCCTCTATATATAATAAAGCCAAAGTAAATTTTACAGAAGATTATAACTACTACATGGCTATTTAAATTGTTAAATTAAGCTATCAAAGGTTTTTGTATTTCTTATATCTTTAAATATTAGGTTTAAAAATAACTTAATCACAATTACACATACATTTTGCAATTCATTTTCGTGTAAGAATTTACTAAACATTTTTAATATATCAATGACCTTCACTCACCATGTATGACATCAACTACTTCATTGGACGACCTTGACCTTGAGATTATATATAAGACAGGAAGTTGATCAGGTCTGTAGTTGCGAATCTGTGTTGATGCAATACTACCAAAGTGTCTTTTTGCTAAGGTTATTAGTCTGTAAAAATATGTTTAAACTTTACATGACTTACTTCACTTGACTTACTTCACATGACTTACTTCACTTGAATTCAAAACACATTGCTGCATTTACTTGAGTGGTGGTTGTTGTTTGTTGTTGTTTGTTGCTGTTTATCATATTTATTTTTTGTTTATTGTTTTGTTTAGTGTGTTCTTGTGTTGTTTTGTTGCACCACAGTCCCAGGTTAAGGGGAAAGTTTGGCGCCATCTAACTAGTTTAACCCAGCCACATTCTATATGTGCCTGTCCCAAGTCAGGAGCCAGTAATTCAGTGGTTGTAGTTTGTTGCTGTGTATCATATTTGTTTTTCGTTCATTATTTTGTACGTAAATCAGGCCGTTAGTTTTCTCGTTTCAATTGTTTTACATTTGTCATTTTGGGGCCTTTTATAGCTGACTACGAGGTATAGGTTTTTCCATTGTTGAAGTCCATACAGTGACCTATAGTTGTTAATGTCTGTGTCATTTGGTCTCTTGTGGAGAGTTGTCTCACTGGCAATCATAACACATATTCTTATTTTTATATGATGCATCTTCTTGGCTTTTTTTTATTTCAGTGTACAGGAAGAGGAAAAAGAATTGCTTCACTCTAAAAATAAGTCTAAGGTGTATGGTCTTCAAACTCTTTAACAATACATAAAGATTCTTTCAATTATTATAATTACATTATGAAATTAGTATTAACTCATTTTATATATAATAAATAATTCTATCATGTAATACATTATCACATGTCATGAAATAATTGTGTTATTTTTATTTAAATGCAAAGAAAGGCAAATAACCCTAAAATTAAGAATGTGTTAAGAATAACTCTATTATTCACTGGTGAATAACCTTTCTAACCTCTAGATTTATACACAAGTTATCCCCCACTAAAATGATGTCACAGACATATGTAAACAGAATGGTAATGGTCAGGTTATAAGTCCATTCAGGGATGTAAATTCATCAAGAGTTGAGCATTGCTTACACAAGCTTCGCTTTTCATGGCCATCAATATTTTACAGAAAGAATCTACCTTTGTTCTTCATACAGGGCATTCTAAGATACAAAATAATTCTCTAATGTAAATAGTTTACCAATCTAATATAATAGTACGGCATGTGCATCTTTACAAGGTATCTTCAATGGTTCAAAAGGCCCTTCTACTTTTCACAAATTTTCTTGCACATCTGAAGAAACTTGTCATGTACTGTGATCTTATTTAAGCGAATTCTTTGATTCAATTAAATGAAGAAATACTGGTATATTATTCTTCGACAGGAAAATACTTTGCACTTGCCAGATAGCCATTGACTCAGGGTTTGTAAATATTTACAAAATTCCAACCAGTCACAAACCAAACTTCGATATATAATTCACTCATCAAATAAAAGCAGACAGATTTGAAAATTCCATTCAATATGTTTTTTTCTCTGTATGGTTAAGATATTAGAATCAAAATGCCTTCTTGATTCAGTAATGGTTCTTATCCTGAGTCCATGTATCAAAATTTAAACCTTTCATTATATGTTTCTCATATAAGATTTGATGTAGAAACACACTGAAAATGTCTGCTTTCCATACAAATAAGACATTCATGAGATTTATAAATCATATCTACCTTGCATTATTTGTTTCTAACGAGAGATCCCAGGCCCACGTAACAAAATTATTACTGAGATAATTAACAATACTGTCACTACACAACACTTGTGAGCAGAACACATTAGATAAAATACTGTTGTCATGATGTAGATATATGGCTAATAATTTTCTCTGAAAAAAAACCAAAAAAACATTAACACATAGTTTTCATATATTTGCAATATATACAGAAAGATAAAGCAATTAATTCATATCAAGTGATATTTAAATAAAAAAAAACATATGGTGGAATATTTGCTACTTTCAACATTAGTTTAAAAAAGTTTTCTGAGGGTATTGCAGATGCGATACAATTTCACCATCAGGCAAGAACATTGGATGAGTTTACACTTATGTGGGTCACAAAATTGATTATCAGGGAGGTTTTGGGAAATTAAAATTGTTTAGCAATTTATGGTGACCATAGGCAAAAACTTCCACAAAAATGTCTTAACCACAATGAACTCAAACTTAATCTTTAACTTCCAATGTTATGACTATGTATCAAATATCAAATCAACAGATTGAAGAATTACAGAAACAAGAGGCTCTTAAGAGCCTGAATCGCTCACTTGTCAGTAATTGAAATAGTAACCAATGCTAATACAACTTGACTCATTATATATAATTGACCCACCACTAGTAGTTCCCTTTCACTGACCTTACCAATTTTAACAATTGTTGATACCAAAAACACTTAAAACAGCACTTCCAATTCCATCTCAAGACAAAAACTTAGTGCATGAATATGAATAATTTCCAAACAACATTTTTGGCAATAAATTAAATGTGAAATAACAACTTACATCTTTTGCTCTCCCTTGTAAAGCTTCTTTTAATGCATTTTCTAGGGTTCCAACAAAAAATACTGGATGATTTTCTCCATATCTGTAATATTACATAAATACAAAGCCTAATTTTCACAGCAAAATGACGGTATAAGGCCAACAGTGGCAAAATATACATTATTCAACTTCACAGTTTCACTGATTTTTACATAAGTATTAATGATGGATAGTTGTTTTACATCCAATGGGAAATTAAATGCAATGCATATTCATGGAGAGAAAATGATATTGTCATACGAATCCTGCTTTGTACTAGACAGAGAAGATGATACTGATACTTAATTATGTGCTAGTTTACAAGATAACAGTCTACAGAATATCATGTCACCTTACCTGGAAATTTATTCTGACTCCTGGGCAAAAAATTTGAAATGAATCAAACTCACGACCTCCCACACTTGAGTCAAGAATGCTATCAATATCATGAGATCACAGAGGCAGTCATTAATATTGATAATGTGTCTCTTTTTCATAAACAATTTTGTCCTGATTGTATGTCATATTTTTACTTTTTATGTGGTGTCTTGACTAATAAACAGCTGCACCATGAGCGCATGATATGCCCGTCTCATTTTCAAAGATTAAAGTTCCATTACTTCTGAATGTCATATCAGAAATTTATAAAAAAATAAAGGGAGGTTATCTTAAAAGATATAAATCAGTCACCAAAGTTTAATGAAAACTGCTCAAAGCACTTTAGAGATATTGTCAGAAAACTTGAAAATCACCCCTTTTTATGAATAAAATCCCTTAACTCGGAAACTTAAAATCTAAAATTTATAAAAATCGAATGGGAGCTTACAACAATAGATATAAACAATTTACCAAAGCTTCATGAAAACTGCTTAAAGCATTTTTGAGTTTTTGTCCGAAAACTGGAAAATCCCCCTTTTTATAATGCTTAAAACCCCATAACTCGGAAACGTATAATCTGAAATTTAAAAAAATCGAAAGGGAGCTCATGCCAGTATATATTAACAATTCACCAAAGTTTCTTGTAAATTGGTGAAAGTGTTTTTGAGTTATTGTCCAAAAACTGGAAAATCCCCCTTTTTGTAATGGTTAAAACCCGAAAACTCAGAAACGTAAAATCTAAAATTTTGTAAAAAACGAAAGGGAGCTCATGTCGATAGATATAAACAACTCACCAAAGTTTCATGCAAATTGGTTAAAGTGTTTTTGAGTTAATGTCCGACATGTTGATGACGGACAGACAAATGGACAATGGTATACCATAATACGTCCCGTAGACGAGCGTATAAAAATGAAAATAATAACTTCCCAAGAAATTATGAACCACAGAATACACAAAAAATCACTTCTTCACTGATATTTAAGCATATTTTGAAATCCCTTTATATAAAAAAGGAGATGCGGTATTCCTTTTCTTCTTCTTTTCCTAGAATGTTTGTATCATTACAAATATCTTACCTTTCACGAAATTCTCTAGTAAAATGTTCTAAAGCTTCTGTTTCGTCTTTGACAGTTTCAGGTACTGAAATGTTTTACTCACACATATAAATAAATGTATTACTGATATATATAAATCTGTTTTAAGTCCAACAAAGAAAAACACATGTATAGATTATTAATGTATCAATCTCATTCTTTCAACATATATACAATTATCCAGAATGTTTTGACACTAAAAAATATAAATACCAAGTAATAGATGTTTTGTCAATTCCCAAATGTTAGCAATTTGTCATTGCCATAAGCCCCCATTAAGAGGTAATGAGATCCCAATATTGAACATTTTTTATAAATTTTTTGTGGTATATTAACTTAATCTCTGACAGAAATTGCAGACCAATTGACAAGTTATAGAATTTCTCTATTCATGGAAGAAATCAGAATCAGATTAAAGGACCACTAGCATCCTTTTATATATGTTTAATTTAGATTTATTGGTGTAATTATTGGGTTACTGCCTCATTGGGAGTCATTGCAATTTACTCCGTACTTCCTTATCTTCACATATGAAAGATTTAAAAGGACAGTTCATGACCTAATCAAATGAACTTACTTAACGCTGTCATTTTTCGTGTCATTGAATCTTCTGATTCAAACATATCATCATCAGGTTCTGTATGAAAGGAACAACTTTGATAATCTTCTTCTTCATCACTTATATCTGCTATAACATCCTAAAATATACAAATAAGTTGAAGACTTCATAAGTTTGTAAAACTGGTGTGATTCTTGTGTCTCTTTGTCTCCTATTGAGCAAATAGTATAGATAAAAAAGTTGAACTATGAGCTTCTGCTCACAAATGACATCCCATCAATAACTAATCTGTAAAAAGGAAGTTGTTGAGCCATGCATCTAAAAAATGCATCACATAGTGTAACCCACTCACAGGAAGCGTCCTATCAAATTTCAGGCTGCTTTGATTTATACATCAAGAAAAAAGTATGACGAAAATTTCATGAGACGGGCGGACAGAGGGAAGGATTGACAGACATTAACTGGTATATCCCATCCTTTCAGTACAGGGATATACTGTAGATTTATTAATATACGTTGGATACCAATTTTCGTGGATTTCGTGGGTACAGGGGAACCACAAATTTAAATGTTCAACGAAAAACAAAATTTCTAAAGGAATGTATGCAGACTTTGCCAAAACAACAAAATTAGATATCCACGAAAATGCAAGTTTTCCTCAATCCATGAAAGTAAATGAATCCACAGTAATTAAACAAACATATATCTACTACATTTAAACTTTGGTGGATAGTAATTGTCTCGTTGGCAATCGTATCACATCTCCTTATTTTTATATGGTTATTAAAAAAAATTATGATAATATTCTTTTTCATCGTTTATATGTGCTGTAAGGTACTTAAACAAACATATGGTGAGTAAAATAAACAGACATATACTTAAACATGAAAACTTTTAAACAGTGATAATATTACAATTATTTCATAACAATAAAGTTCAATTTCTAACAATTCTATGTCAGGTGTAGTATGTAACATACTGATATATACAAAAATGTTGATATCTTTATCAAATACTTTATATGCTGTCTTGTGATTAGATTATTTTGTACAGTAGAATCTGGTTAGTTTTTTTACATCTGTCTTATCCACTTATTCTTTCTTGTTTTTTCAATACAATATGTTCTTCCTGTACCATTTATGACATTGTCTTGTCGTAATGAAATCATCTATGGTTGATTGATTGATGTTTGCTTTATGTAGCACCATGGCAAAAAGGCTAAATTGCAACAAGAATCATTATGGAGTACATCAACTGATATTAAGTATAGGATATCAAGACTTCTTATCATTAGATTAAATACTATAAGCTTCCTTTAAGTGACTGCTAGCATTTCTTTATATGGTATAATTTGTTATTTAATTGTGTTTTTGCATCTTTTTTCACGCTATTTTAGAGTTAAGAGCTTTCCGGTATTGTGTTTTTAATGTGCATTTTTTATTGTACATTTTGTTAATCTACTGATCAAGGTTAAAAAGGGTTAGGGTTGAGATCTAAAATAAATGGGGAATGTGTATATGGAACACAGATGATGCCCCCGCTTGCATATAACCTTATAAAGGGACATAACTCAAAAACGGTAATAGTGACACTACCCAAATTTGTACTTGATCGTTTTGTGGTAATAAGCATTGTGTATAAGTTTCATAACATTTGGTAAAGGCAAACTTAAGTTAGAGAATAAAAACGAGGATTTGGCAATTTTTCCATTTGTAAAAGGGGCATAACTCTAGAAAGGTAATAGTAAGGCTACTAAAATTCATACTTGATCTGTATTTTGTGATAATAAGCATTGTGTATAAGTTTCATAACATTTGGTTGAGGCAAACTAAAGTTAAAGAACGGAAACGAAAAATTCAGCAATTTTTCCATTTGTAAAGGGGCATAACTCTAGAACGGTAAACGTGACGCAACCAAAATTCAAACTTGATCTGTGTTAAGTGGTGATAAGCAATTTGTATAAGTTTAATAACATTTGGTTGAGGCAAACAAAGAGAACGGAAACAAAAAATTCAGCAATTTTTCCATTTGTAAAGGGCACAACTCTAGAATGGTAAAAGTGACGCCACCAAAATTCAAACTTTAACTGAGTTTAGTGGCATTAAGCATTGTGTACAAGTTTCATAACATTTGGTTGAGGCAAACTAAAGTTAGAGAACAGAAACCAATTTTGGGATGTATGGACGACGTACGGACGTAGATGGACAAGGGTGAAACTTAATGCCCCTTCCACTACATCAGGGGCATAAAACATAGTTAAAGTTTAACCACATAATAAAGTATGAAAAGATTTTAAACGAGCTAATTCACAAGATAAAAATCTGCAGATAGACATTTCCAAATTCAACCTACATTATTGAAAAGATACCAGAGACAAAACAAATGATGGAAAATGGTTACATATAATGCCTCACCCTTTGAATATATTTTAAAATATATAGAATGTGAATATTTTAAAATACAATTTTTTTTTATACACAGCTAAGTATGCAAATTATATATTTTAAAATAGAATGTGATTATATTTTAAAATACAATGTTTTTTTATACACAGCTAAGTATGCAAATTATATATTTTAAAATAGAATGTGAATATATTTTAAAATACAATGTTTTTTTATACACAGCTAAGTATGCAAATTATATTTCAATTGTAGGAAAGTATGATTTCATATCAACTGATCCAGTACTTTTTTTTAGCATACATTGTATATCGAAACACATGTCTATTGTTCAGCTAGATGTCTTATGATTTTTATATCATTTGTGTCATTTACTTCACCTCAAATCTTTATTTATAACTTTTCCTAGTTACCTCAACAGTCTTTTTGGCTTGTGGTCTGTGTGTTATATTTGATTTAGTGAGAGTTAATTTGTGTTCTGGGATCGATAATCCAGCACATCCTATAGTCATCTGGAAAAAAAAAAGATCACTTGTATTACCACTATAATTGCTAGCATGCCCAGCTTACTGCAGGAGCTAGAGCATTCATCAACCACTCAATAGTTAAACCAGAAATAGTTGCTTCTCCTCAACAAAAAGCCCATTATAAGGTTAAAAGTATATGTAACTGGCTTGGACTAAGGAGATATCAAATTTACAAATTTAGGAATGATACACCAAGTTTGTCAGTGACTCGCCAAAGGTGGGTGGTACTCTGGGCAACAAGACTGTGAGAAGCGTAACTACATGTCCAATAAACAGTGGGTAAAAATTGCGGCAGGGGGATCTGGGGCCGCTGAATGCACCCAGCAGGTCTAGGGTAGATTTGAGAGTACTCGAAGTTGCTGAAAGCTAGTTGATTGATTGATTGATTAATTGCTACAAATGGCAAATAGTTCATGATTGTTCAGGACAAAAACAAATTTACAATAAATACAACAGGTAGCTAGGTCCTGATCGTCGAGGACTAAGGTCTGGAATTTTAGAAATGCAATGCATAGAAAATGTGGTTTTCTTGGATAGGAACATAGATTTTGACTTTCAGTAGACCACCTACGAACCCCTCAAAGAGTTGTTGCAAATTGCTTAACTTGTGGAGAGCTTGGCATTCTCTCTCCACTAAGCGGCATCGGATTTAACGTCCCCATTCTGACCAGACGTGACTGCGTAATTATACATAACGCACAACCAAAGGAACGCCTAACTTCGACAAGGATTTTATTGTAGGTCGGATAAGGACCAAGTGGAAGGCTAGTTGAAAGTCAACAACAATTAATAATAAATGTGGATAGTGTCCACATGTGGACACAGATGATGCCCCCGCTTGCATATCATATAGTTATAAAGGGACATAACTGAAGAACGGTAAAAGTGACACTACCCAAATTTGAACTTGATCTGAGTTTTGTGGTAATAAGCATTGTGTGTAAGTCTCATAACATTTGGTTGAGGCTAACTTAAGTAGAGAACAGAAACTAAAAATTCAGCAATTTTTCTATTTGTAATGATGCATAACTCTAGAACGGTTGTGTATAAGTTTTACAACATTTGGATGAGACAAACTAAAAAATTCAGCAATTTTTATGTTTATAATGGGACATAACTCTAGAATGGTAAAAGTGTTGCCACCTAATTTCGTACTTAATCTGTATTATGTAGTAATTAGCATTGTGTATAAGTTTCATAACATTTGGTTGAGGCAAACTCAAGTTAGAGAACTGAAACAAAAAAAATGTACTTGATCTTTACTGAGTTTTGTTGGAATGAATATTGTGTATAGGTTTCACAATCTTTGGCTGGGGAAAACTTCAGTTACAGAATGGAAACTAAAAAATTTTGCAATCTTTCTATTTATAAAGGGGCATAACTCAATAATGGTTAAAGTGACACTACCCAAATTCAACTTGATCTGTGTTTTATCAGTGGTAGTCAAAATTAAACATTGCATTGTATAAAGCATTGATTGTAGTTGATTCAACTATAATCATGGTCAAAGGAAGATAACTCCAATTTTAAAAATATATTATATAAACTTGATATTTAGAAGAAAATAAAAATTTTGCAATTTTTCCTTTTATAAAGGGGCATAACTCTAGATCGGTTAAAGTGACACCACCAAAATTCAAACTTGATCTGTGTTTTGTGGTAATAAGCATTGTGTATAAGTTTCATAACATTTGGTTGAGGCAAACTTAAGTTAGAGAACGGAAACTAAAAATTATGCAATATTTCCTTTTATAAAGGGGCATAACTCTAGATCGGTTAAAGTGACGCCACCAAAATTCAAACTTGATCTGTGTTTTGTGGTAATAAGCATTGTGTATAAGTTTCATTACATTTGGTTGAGGCAAACTCAAGTTAGAGAACGGAAACCAATTTCGGGACGTACGTACGTACAGACGGACAAGGGTAAAACTTAATGCCCCCTCCGGTACGGCGGGGGTATAAAAAATAAATCATGTATATAAAAAAAGGCAGGGTTTTGAGCATGATGAGGCTAATTCAAGTGTTTGTTGATAGAAATGAAATGATCTGGGAGCTTATTCACAAAGCATCCATTAACTAACGGACCCGTTAACTTAACGGAGATATTAACGGGTCCGTTAGTTAACGGATGCTTCGTGAATAAGCTCCCTGAACCAAAGATCTAGTTTTTAGTTTATATAAGGTGGAATATAATGACATTCTATCCAATACTCAATTCACTAAGGATGATAGACTAGTGTACAAATGTCATTTGATAATTAAAGTGTTTTACCGAGTTCACATGTATCTACAGATAATGTTGTTTCTATTTTTTGTATATAAAAAAATATTTGTGAAAAAATATGTGTATAGGTACGTGCCTAAAGTGCCTAACGGCAGCTACGCCCCTGACTGGCATAAGATTATATTGAGAAAAAACGGATTACATTTGATATGATAAACAAACAAAAATTATTTATATCCCCATCACACTAGGACCACGATCCCACTATGATCTCAGAAATTATAAAATTTTGAAAGTCATAGTACGATCCTGGTAAGGTCGTAATAAGGACATGCCAAGCCTTCATGATCGTGGAGCTTTGAATATGCTCAAAACATTTGTAGTGTAGTCATGGCCAAAACTAGTTGAAGTAGAACCGTATGAACTCAGTTGTAGTAAGGACGTAGTTAGATCGGGATAGGCGTAGAAGCATCGTATTGGAAACGTGGTGCAATCGGGGTAGCCAATGGAAAATATTTCGCTGCAACCTTAGGTAGGCCTGTATGATTTCTCTGCGACTATCCCGATGTCTTAATTACGCTTCTGCAATATTGATTCGATTATTCTACGATGAGGAAGACAATAATGCGCTGCTACTTTGCCCTTGTCGTCCTCTTCCACTTCACTACGATTCTACTACGAATTGTGTTATATTTCCTAATTTGCAAATTGGAAATTTAAAAATTGCATACCTTTTTTCAGACCTCTGCTTTTTATTTAGCACCCCGATCTCTAAGTGTTTTTAATACCTTTAGTGGAAAGCTATCTCCAGGAAACTGATGTGCACAATGGGAAAGTCAAGATATTTATAGGGACTAAGAGCGTAGTGACAACGAAGTGGAGTCGTTTTTCGATCGTATTAGACATGAATTGAAATCGTAATGCGATCGGGAAGGTTTTGGAAGAAGTGTTCAGAGATAGTGTAAGTCGTGGTAAGGTCTTATTAGACGCAGCAAGAGCGTGACAAGACAGTAACTATAGAACATGTTATTTTCGTAGTGAAATCGTAGCAGGATCTTATCAGGATCATAGCAAGATCGCAGTATCAACGTGAAAAGTATGAAATAAATTAATGAATATTCAAGCCAACCATACCACGATCTCACTGCAATCTTATCTATTTTAGTTAGTAAATCACTCAAGTATGAGGTCAACTCCTTATTCATGGTCTTGGTCTAGTGTGATAGGGGCTTTACATCCACATTATTTGAACTTTGGTGGACATCTGTCTCATTGGCAGTCAATCCACATCCCTTTTTTCATTTTTTGACAACAAATTTTGATTCACGCTTAATAAAACGATGATTTTCCCGGATTCCCGGCTCATTTTTTTGTAATTTCACGTGTCCCGTCCGACTTTATTTCCCGTTTTCATGGACAATAATTTGACTTTCACGTGTCGCGCTTACAAAAATCGGCCAATCCCGCGTCACGCTTAGACCCCAATGAGACCCACTCAATAAACTAAAATTTATCCTTACATTTGAGAAATAATAGATATATATATATATATATATATATGTTGATATTTGTTAACATAATAATCTTACAGTATCATCATCAGCAACAGGAGGCCAACCAGACCATATCTGATGTCTGGCTGGTACATTGGTTATAGCATACACATCTCCTTTAATCTGGAAATAATTTGAAGCAATTGGAAAACATCAATAAATACTATCAACAAAATTAATAGTCTGATTTGGTATTCATTTAATACAAAGAAAAGAACAAGTGAAAAGCAATAGAAAGTACCAGGAAAAAAATATTGAGGAATAAATAGCCAATAATAATTGCTATTAACCAGAACTGAAGACAATGCAGCTACCACCAAATATCAGAACAAGATATAAATTGATTTCTATTTCTGAACAAAAATTTAGTAAAAACCTCAGGTAGTGAGGTTTCAAGAATATGTGTTTAGGAGGAGTTGCACGTACAAAGGAACATGAAAAGACAGACAGATAGACGGTGATTCCTATATACTCCCCCAAAACTTTGTTTGTTGGGATTATAATTACACTGAACAAAACCTGTACAAACAGTTCAAAGGAGAGTTTTTGAATTTTGAGAGCAATTTTACTTATGTCAGAAGATATATTGGATCTGACTTTTTTGTCTTTGTATTCTTGATATTATTCTCTGTTGACAGGTTGATACTAAAAATCTAAAGTTAAATGATGTAGTTATTTGCTTACCTCTCCAACAGTTTTGATTCCTGGGACATTTAAATTAAATTCTTTGGAAGTGCCATTATCTGTAAAGTTTATTACAAGTTTGTATGTTCTATTCAAGGATTCTGTAAAGCTGAAATAGTAAAACCAGACATAAGTTATATTTCTAATTTACTCATTAAAAAATAAGGACAATGAACAATTAGCGAACCTTTTTTTAAGGGTATTTAGAATGCAAATTATGACCTTTGACATTTGAAATTAAAATCTAAACCTTTATTCATTATGTATACTAAGTTTCATGGCATTTTGACCAAACTTCATATTACCTTTTTATGATGTTCACAAGAGCATACAAGACCAGACACACTGTTTACTTTTTTACTTTGCTGTCATATCTAAGCTTACATAGAATTAAAATTCTAATAATAATGTCACATTTTAAAAGATGCTTTCTTATGAACAATATCTGACAATGATAATGTTAAGTGTTTTATGGCTATAAACATACACTGACCATCAATATCTTTTCAGCAGTTTGAGAGATGACAGTATGGACTTGTAGGGGTTTAATGAGTATATGTAGGATTCATAACATAACTGTATCAAGCCAGATACAAGCACATGTTCATATTGAACTTTTGGAGTGTCAAAGCTGAACTGTAAATGTTTACTATCTGTTTTACCTTGTCTCTTCTGTAACACTTGGACAGAGATTAAAAAGAAATATTTTGCATGCTTTATAGTAAACCCCTCCTCAAATCATTGACCTTTGCTTTATAACGTAGCATTAAGTAGATTGTAGGAGCATATGAGCTTTCAGTATATAAGCAGTAACTAAAAGTAGGCAGCATAATATAATCATATGGTTTCTCTTGTCTAATCATGCTAATGAAATAGTGAGATTTATAATAAGTAGGATAATTAATTAGTTGATTTGGGTTCTAGCTAATAGTAGCCATTGATATAATTAAATGTCTATCATACCTTCCCTCAAGTTCTTCACTGTTCGTTTTCACAATCTTTTTGTTGTCTAAATGTGGTGTTAGTAAAAACAGAGTATTTTCCTGTGGCAAATGCAAATCTCGTAGAATTTTCTGCAAAAAAGGATATATCCATGAAAAATCCATTAACCTAAGAGCAGCTCTGCCTCGAATAAATAGCAATTGTGTTCTTATATGTAATTATGCAAAACTAGAAGCTTCAAGAAATATATGAACAATAAGTACGGTACCATAAGTTCAAATAAATGAGGAATGTGTCCATGGGACACAGACGATGCCCCCGCTTGCATATCATATTAAGTTATAAAGGGACATAACTGAAGAACAGGAAAAGTGACGCTACTAAAATTTGTGCTTGATCTGAGTTTTGTAGTAACAAGTATTGTGTATAAGTTTCATAAAATTTGGTTGAGGCAAACTTAAGTTAGAGAACGGAAACGAAAAATTCAGCAATTTTTCCATTTGTAAAGGGGCATAACTCTAGAACAGTTAAAGTGACACCACCAAAATTCAAACTTGATCTGTATTTTGTGGTAATAAGCATTGTGTATAAGTTTCATTACATTTGGTAAAGGCAAACTAAAGTTAGAGAACGGAAACAAAAAATTCAGCAATTTTTCCATTTCTAAAGGGCATAACTCTAGAACGGTTAAAGTGACACCACCAAAATTCAAACTTGATCTGTATTTTGTGGTAATAAGCATTGTGTATAAGTTTCATAACATTTGGTTGAGGCAAACTTAAGTTAGAGAAAGGAAAGGAAAAATTCAGCAATTTTTCCATTTGTAAAGGGGCATAACTCTAGAACGGTTAAAGTGACACCACCAAAATTCAAACTTGATCTGTGTTTTGTGGTATTAAGCATTGTGTATAAGTTTCATAACATTTGGTTGAGGCAACTAAAGTTAGAGAACGGAAACCAACTATGGGACGTACTTACGGACGTATTGACGGACAAGGGTAAAACTTAATGCCCCCTCCGCTACGGCGGGGGCATAAAAATATCCTGACACTTTGTACATTTTTTTTAAAAACTATTTTAAATAACTAAGAAACTATTCAAGTTTTTTGAAACAGATGTGAATATGGTTACTTATGATGACTTGTATTCAAGATAGTATTAGCATTTGAACCGCATGAGCAACTTTCTCCTGGTGGTATACAGAAAACAAAGGGTGATGCCAAGAAAACAAAAGTTTGATGAAAAATTTCTAGTCAAAAGGGCATTATTTCATTATTTAAGCAGCCAAACATTATTTTCTCTTACTGAATCGTCAGCTTTCATTCTCTTCCAGCCTTTTAATTCCTGATGTTCTGGAGGAACACCCAACCTTGAATGTATGACTTCCTTTATTTTACCTGAAATACAATTAACACAATAAATTTTAATAAAAATCCATTTATCAGTCAATATCAAAATCATTATTTTGATATTTTCACACCAGTAATCAGTACAGCATGTAAAGTCACATAAGTCTAAAAAATAAACTACTTCGCTGAGCTCAGCTGGATACGCCCGCAGAGGTCTAACCCTGAACAGTTGGGGCAAAAATGGACACAATATTCAAGCTTGATACAGGTCTGAATTTGGATTGTAATTAAATATTTGACATATTTTAGGTTTCTGAATAAATGTAGTCAAAGGACTTGAAATTGGTTATATGAATTGAATTTATATTCAATTAAAGATTTCTTGCTGTTGTGCAATACACTGTGCTGTTGCACAATACTTAGTAAATCTGTTGTCAGACTATAAACAAACAATAACTTCTCGATGTTATATCAGAAATTTATAAAAAACTAAAGGGAGGTTATCTTAATAGATATAAATCAGTCATCAAAGTTTAATGAAAACTGCTCTAAGCACTTTAAGGATATTGTCCAAATACTTGAAAATCAACTTTTTTTTTATGAATAAAATCTTATAACTCGGAAACGTAAAATCTTAAATTTATAAAAATCAAAAGGTAGCTTACAATAGATATAAACAATTTACCAAAGTTTCATAAAAAATGCTGAAAGCATTTTTGAGTTATTGTCCGAAAACTGGAAAATCCCCCTTTTTGTAATGAATAAAACCCTATAAATCGGAAATGTATAGTCTAAAATTAAAAAAAATCAAAAGGGAGCTCATGTCGATAGAAATAAACAATTCACCAAAGTTTCTTGCAAATTGGTGAAATTGTTTTTGAGTTATTGTCCAAAAACTGGAAAATCACCCCTATTTTAATGAATAAAACCCCATAACTCAGAAATGTAAAATCTAAAATTTATAAAATTCTAAAGGGAGCTTACATCAATACTGAATAGATATAAACAATTCACCAAAGTTTCATAAAAAATGCTGAAAGCATTTTTGAGTTATTGTCCAAAAACTGGAAAATCACCCTTTTTGTAATGAATAAAACCCTGTAAATCAGAAACGTATGGTCTAAAATTTATAAAAATCAAAAGGGAGCTCATGTCGATAGAAATACACAATTCACCAAAGTTTCTTGCAAATTGGTGAAATTGTTTTGAGTTATTGTCCACAAACTGGAAAATCCCCCCTTTTTTAATGAATAAAACCCCAAAACTCGGAAACGGTAAATCTGAAATTTATAAAAAAACGAAAGAAAGCTCACATCAATAGATATAAACAATTCACCAAAGTTTCATGCATATTGGTTAAAGCGTTTTTGAGTTAATGTCCGACATGTTGACGACGGATGGACAGACGGTCAACAGTATACCATAATACGTCCCGTAAACGGGCGTATAAAAATAGCAATGCATTACATTTCTATCACTTCACCTTTGTTTTTACATTTTTAATATTGTCTACCTTATTATCTTGCCTGGCCTAAACGGTTATGATCTTGTCATCACTGTGTGTAATACTGAATCAAGATAAGTACAAATATATGAAATTTAACTTAGGTATAACTTGAATCATAAAACTGACCAATTGTTTGTTGCCTAATGACAGTGGCGTAAAAAATATCATAACCTGGCAAATATCTCACGAACATTTAGTACTTAAAATCCTCTTAACTTACCAACAGTTTCTGAGTCATTTAAAGACACTTCAATGTTCTTTTCTCTGTATTCTATAGTGAAATGTAACATTCTTGTTTTCTGTCCTGCCCGTCTAGTACCAAAACTAGTTGAAGGCCCAATATCAAAATTTGAAGGACCAGATGCTGACCCTGGATCAAAGGCTGCGAAAGAATCAGCCACATTATTGTCAATAGGTATAGGCTCAGGGAATACACCTGGATGGAAACTATTTGATATGTCCATAGGCGATGGATCTCCTGGTTCTATATCCTGGAAAACTGGTGAATGTTGTCCTTCTGTTCCAGGCATTACATTTCCCAAGGCTCTCTACAAAATGATAAAATACCTTTATAAAATAAATAACATCTCTACCAATCAATAACTGTAAACCAACTAATTTTCATGACTTTCACAAGTATAACAAATAACAGGAAAACAAATCGTTGCAAAAAGGTCATACTTGAATTTTATTGGGAGAATACACCAAAAATTATGAAAATGAATCGCTGTGAAATTGTCTACAACTGAAACGTGAAAATAGTATCCACAAAAAATCAGTTGTTGTTATCAAACAAAACAACAACTAATGTTAAATTATCCATGAGATGAAATGCAGAATTTTAGAAAAAGGAAGAACTTTACGCATCAATCCAAACTGCTCATTTAACTAAAATTAGGTCATGAACACTATATGTTAACTATTTTTTTATATCTACACCATGCATACAAATGTGTGACATAAATTCAAGTTCATGATGTTCAGGCTATTTATAAAGAGATCACATGCATTGATATATAAGTGCAACTTACCATTAAATTCCATTCATTCTGATCTAAAATAGCTATACAAGTTTCCACATCTTCTAAATTTGAACAAGCCTGAAATAACAATAAATAGGATACATCATGTATATTTTTAATTATTATATCAGGATTTCTTGGTTTAAGATGTATATATGGACAATTATGCCATTTTACAGTAAACCATGTATACAGGTAGGACTGAAACAATATAACTGCTAAACAACACACTTGTGATTTTTTAGAAATAGATTTTCAATTGCAATAAACACAAACAATAAAATACCTAGCACATTGTATTCTAAATTTATTGTGAAAATTTAAAATTGCTTCCTACCTGATCTCTTTTTTTTTTTATTGGACTTTTTCCTACCTAAACCAAATGTGTGACTTGTTTTATATGAAATATATAGGAAAAAATTGTATGTGACGAATACTTTGTGCCATGCACTGTACCTCAGTGATTTTTTATGTGAAAGTAAATATACAGTTTCCAGCTGTGTGCAAGTTTAGAAATTGAAACTTAAGCCATAACTTGCACTTGTGTAATCTATATTTTATAAGTGATAACTTGAAGTCGCTTGTTTCTATCAAAATGAAAAAATTAATTTAATTGATTTATCAGATTTCTAGATTTTGCAAGGAAAGGTATATTTGATATTTTAGAAGATTTGGAAAGGCTCATGTCTTATTCTTAATTCTTAACTGCTTTGGGTGAACGGAGTGGTGCTGTAGACTGTAAAAAGTCTGAGGTAATTTCTAAAAATTTTCCTGCATAAGAGTTAACAGGGCGCTTTAATATTGATTCACTTATAGGGTCTTTGCATCGGAATTAAACATATTTATTCTAAAACCAGTTGTTGGCATGACACGGGTTATGTTTTTCTCATATATTTTATGACGATATAATACTAAACCCCTAACAGGAGGGATTGTGCCTGATATTCATATGATGAAGACATAATCTTTCAATCAGTTTAATTGAGGTCTGGAGCTGGCATGTCAGTAACTGCTAGTAGTCTGTTGTTATTTATGTATTATTGTCATTTTGTTTATTTTCTTTTGTTTCCTATTCTGACATCGGACTCGGACTTCTCTTGAACTGAGTTTTACTGTGCATACTGTTGTACGTTTGTTTTTTCTACATTGGCTAGAGGTATAGGGGGAGGGTTGAGATCTCAAAAAACATGTTTAACCACGCCGCATTTTTGCGCCTGTCCCAAGTCAGGAGCCTCTGGCCTTTGTTAGTCTTGTATCAGTTTTAATTTTAGTTTCTTGTGTATAATTTGGAGTTTAGTATGGCTACCATTATCACTGAACTAGTATACATATTTGTTTAGGGGCCAGCTGAAGGACACCTCCGGGTGCAGGAGTTTCTCGCTGCATTGATGACCCATTGGTGGCCTTCGGCTGTTGTCTGATCTATGGTCGGGTTGTTGTCTCTTTGACACATTCCCCATTTCCATTCTCAATTTTACTTACTATATATGGGATTCTGAAGGGCGGTCAAATTAGAAACCTCACAGAATCTAATAAGGGATTACCTGAAAGAATACTTTCACCTTTATATACATGTGTAGATAGAATTTGTTACACCAGGACTAAGATAATAACTTTTGGGATTCTGGAGTGATTTTCTGATTTGGCTGTCTCAGAATCCCTTATCAAGCCCTTTATTATATAGTCTATTCAGGAAAATTGTAACCAACTACATGTACCTCTCCTCGACCAGGCGACCTTTATGCTTATATCACCATTCTGTACATCTGGAGCAGGTTAGAATTGAATAGCAGAGATATCAGCCTTTCAGAATCCGTGGACATTTTGAAAATACCTTACCGTAAATGATAGTTACAGGTCCCGGGGAATAAGCTTTAAAATTTCACTCATGGGGCCCAACTGACAAAATGTGAAAAATTTTCCCATATGGGAATATTCTATTAAAATGTTGGCCTTCTTTTACTTTAGGGGTCCCAACATTATTATTAAATAAAATGCTCCGCAGGGCGCAGCTTGATACGACCGCAGAGGTCGAACCCTGAACAGTTGGGGCAAGTATGGACACAACATTCAAGCTTGATACAGCTTTGCATTTGGATTGTGATTAAATATTTGACACAGCATAGGTTTCTGACAAAGAATGAATGTGGTCTAAGAACTTAAAAATTTTAAATTGGACATTCACCTATTATGGTCCAATATCCAAAATCTAAATACATGGTTAGATTCAGCATATCAAAGAACCCCAAGAATTCAATTTTTGATGAAATCAAACAAAGTTTAATTTTGGACCCTTTTGACCTCAATGTGGACAAAGTTGATAACGGGGACCAAAAATCAAAAATCTAAATACATGGTTAGATTCAGCATATCAAACAACCCCATATATTCAATTTTTGTTGAAATCAAACAAAGTTTAATTTTGGACCCCGATTTGGACCAACTTGAAAACTGGGCCCATAATCAAAAATCTAAATACATGTTTAGATTCAGCATATCAAAGAACCCTAAGAATTCAATTTTTGTTAAAATCAAACTAAGTTTAATTTTGGACCCTTTGGACCTTAATGTAGACCAATTTGAAAACGGAACCAAAAATTAAGAATCTAAATACACGGTTAGATTCAGCATATTAAAGAACCCCAAGAATTCAAGAATAAAACCCCATTGAAATTGGTCAAGAAATAAGCAATTTATACGAAGTATCTTCTTTTGCACAATACTGTGCAATTAAATATTTCTTGCTATTGCGCAATACTGTACAATTGACAATTTCTTGCTATTGCGCAATATTGTGCTATTGAATATTTCTTGCTATTGCGCAATACGGTGCAATTGAAGATTTCTTGCTATTGCGCAATACTGTGCAATTGAAGATTTCTTGCTTTTGTGCAATACTGTGCAATTGAAAATTTCTTGCTATTGCACAATACTTATTATATAATAATTTACACATCCTGTTTGGTGTGTATCTCCTACCATATCATTATTATTTGCTTTTAAATATAAATCAGAAATAACCAACTTAAAATTGAAAATTTTAAAAGAAAAAAAAAAGGAAAAAAAGAAAAAAAAGAAAAAAAAAAATCCCCCCCCCCAAATTTTTTGAACCCCCTTATGATTCATCACCCCCAAACTCAATCCCAGCCTTCCCTTTGTGGTATGGTACCTTGCAGTACAATTTCAGAGAGATCCATACACTTGAACACAAGTTATTGTCTGGAAACTAGAAAAATGTGTTTTTTGGCCCCTTTTTGGCCCCAAATTCCTAAACATTTAGGGCAATTACCCCTAAACTCAAACCCAGCTTTCCCTTTGTGATATGGAACCTTGTAGTACAATTTCAGAAAGATCCATACACTTACACACAAGTTAATGTCATGAAACTAGAAAAATGCTTGTTTTTTGCCCCTTTTTTGGCCCCTAATTCCTAAAATTTTGAGGCAATTACCCCCAAAATCAATCCCAGCATTCCTTTTGTGATATGGAACCTTGCAGTACAATTTCAGAGAGATCCATACACTAACACACAAGTTATGTCTGGAAGTTACAAAAATGCTTATTTTTGGCCCCTTTTTGGCCCCTTATTCCTTTACTGTTGGTACCATAACCCCCAAAATCAATCCCAACCTTCCTTTTGTGGTATTGAACCTTGTGGTAAAATTTCATAGAGATCCATTCACTTAAACTAAAGTTAGAGTGCGAAAACCAATGTGTCTTCGGACGACGACGACGACGTCATACCAATATACGACCACAAAAATTTTTTTGCGGTCGTATAAAAATGGGAGGGTCCCACAATATATAGTGTATTTAAAATTTATACTGTTGTATTGATTGTTTATATAGTATTGGCTTGTACATAGGTTATGGGACAAGGGTCTGGAAACGGTCATATTTGCCAGTCATGACCTAAACTGAAAGCTTTTTGTCCTAAATGGAAGATTGGGATTTAGGACAAATTTATTTTTTTGATAGAAATAATTTCGGTCGTCTCATTGAGATCGGGTTTCATAATCGCCATTTTGCACTTGCTTTTGTTTTGTAATCCCTTTCCTGTAATAAAACTGCAACTCCAGTATTGTTTGATAATCCTTAGGGCCCTCCTAATAACTATATTAATGCCTCAGGGAAATATTGGCTAATGATACTAATCACTTTTTACCTGTGTTTTTAATTCAAACCTGACATTGATCACAAGCCCAGAACTAATATCATAAAGAAATTAAAATTTCATGACAATTGTCTTCAATCTTTAATTGCTTTTCAGCAAAGACAATCATCAATACTGATTTTAAAAATTAAAACTTTATTTAATTTACGTTTTCACGAGTTACATGTGAGCTTTATTTACTTTGTAATACGCATGCGTGAAATTGTCTTCAGTAGATTAGATTAGACACTTAATCATAAAATGCAAAATGATTTCATACTAAATTAAACAAGTGCACATATTATCTGTTATATTCAAACACTTTGAAAGGTAATTAAATTAAAAAGCCGGTGAGTTCCTGTCAATTTGATACACAAAAAGAATTCCGGAAATGAATCCCGAATTACTCGTACTTTAGTATTGTCGCAAAACTTCCAGTTTTAATTTCGTCTTCAAAATCGAAAGAAACGTTAGCGATGTCTGAGAAATTTACCATTTAAGAGTCATTAAAATCATTTCAATTTTAAACTGTTGCCTTCCCTAAACTGCTCTTGAACGTTTTTAGAAAAATGGTGAGAAAATTCATGAAGTAAATGCGATGAAACAGTCAATACAAGTCCGATGATGCTATGAATCTAGTGTGATTTCGACAATTTGAAAAAAGGGCACCAACATCTCAAAAAAATTTCCCGATGCTTGTTATGGGGCATTACAGCACTCTTTTACTTTAGGTAAGTGCTTCAGCAACCCATTACTTCTCATTTGTACTTTTATGGACTGGGAACCCGAAAGTAAAATCCAAAAATGTCGGGTCCCCTAAAGTAAAATCCAAAAATGTCGGGACCCCTGAAGTAAAAGAAGACCAAAAAGTTAGGGCCCAGCCAAAGTTCCAGTAGCATTGGCTACTGGGCCACTGTTAATCTTGTTCCCTGGATCGTCCATTTTGTAAAAAATATTATTTTGTTGTTCATGTTTACGGTCATATTGTTTTGTGACGTTTATCTAATTTGAATAAGAAAAAAATATTCCAAAAACTCTTAATGGAAAATCCTATAAATTTTCCTAAAGGTATCCGGTCGTTCCGGCCCCAAACCAATCCGGCCCAAGTCGATCCGGCCCCATAATAAATGATAAGGAATAAACTATATAAACATTTAATCAGTATAAATGGAATTTGTAAAAAGTATCAATGATGGATGACAACAGGTCAGTAAAGTATGAATATATTGGAGTACCAGTAAGATGAAAGATTTAAATTTTTTAAAGTCGATTCGAAAATGTTTGTGATTGTGTCTGTTTGTATAGCAGATTCAGCATAATAATATTAAGGTATTTTCCTTGATAACTTTGATTGTCATGGCGATTTTTAATTATTTAAATCACACTTAGAAGAGATAAAGAAATATTTACAATCCAATGAAACCTATAAAGTTTAACTCGTGATAATGACTTGTTTAATCAAATCATTAGTCTATAATAATTGGTTTGTTTTTTCAACTATTGTCTGATGATTGTGAACTAAGGTAATGCAACTTGTAATCACTTAATTCAATCAAATCCTGATTGATTAAAGTTACATAATCAACAAGGCCTTTATAGTTTTATCTTTTGTTTGGTGTTATGTTTTATAATAATTACTTGCCGGTATTTTTTTTTTTGGGGGTAACATCAGAGGCTTCTATAACACTTGTTTTTTTTGTGTAATATCGAATGTAGTCAATATATTTTTTTAAAGTTGACAATATTTTGAATAGTTGTGTGTAGATAAAATAAAAACAAGTTATATGAGTATCCATGATTCTTTATTGCAAGATAATAAACAAACAATTACACTGAATGCACATTTTCAGAAAGGATTCGGCAAATCAAACAACGTTTCTCAATTTGAGAAATTTTAAGAACAAAGTTTGTATGTATCAGCTTCGAGATCGTCTAGTACCATTGTATAACTATTTGTTATTACACAGGATGAAAGACTTGTAAAGATCACAGTCAGTTGAAAGAAAATGCTAATTACTGGTGATTAATGTTGATGTCTTTTGATTGTCCTAAATTCTGTTATATACGTTTTTAATATAATTATACCCAATAATTTTGAAAACTTGTAATGAAAACATAATCAACCTAGTTGTTTTATACTCATGTAAAGACAATATTTGTGAAAGGCCTTTTTTTTTTACCGTACTGCAATACACCTTTAATATTATAATAAAATTCTATAACATTTATGAATTACAATTAATATATATCTTTATTTTTATTCCTTATAAATATATTTTTATTGGGGCCGGATCGACGTTGGGCCTGATCGACGTGGGCCGGATCGACGTTGGGCCTGATCGACGTGGGCCGGATCGACTTGGGCCAGATCGACGTGGGGCCAGATCGACATGAAAGCTTCCTAAATAGTGATCGTCAACGACTACGGAAAATCAGTTTGTTGAAATACTGACGGAAGAGATCTGTGTTTTACAGTACCAATCTAATGAGAAAAACTTGAAATAACAAATTGGCTGGTTTTTTCATAAATATTCTGACAAAATGGATCTATATCTACCTTTCAAGGTTAGGTATTTTCACAATTCACAATCTTGAAAGGCTGATATATCTACTATTCAATTCTTACCTGCTTCAGGTGTAACAGAATGGTGATTCAAACATAAGAGTCAACAGCTCAAAGAGAGGTAGTTGGTAAAACTTTTCCAGAATAGACATAATACGGCTTGATAAGGGATTCTGAGACCGCCAAATCAGAAAATCGCTTTGGGACTAAGAATCCCAAAAGGGATAATAATACTAAGATAAAATTATTTGAGGATTTATGTTAATTGCAGTAATTTTATTATGCCCTCTACAACTCAAGTTATTAGTGTGTTGTCATGGTTGTTTCGTTAATTTATTTGTAGAAAAAATTATACAAGATGATTCCTGTTGCACAATCATGACTTGCTTTTTCATTTCACTGGAAAATATTCAAACGTATAAATGTGCTTCTGCCTAGTCCACTCATTAAAAAACTGATCATGATTTAGTTTAGGAACTGAATAAGACTTTTATTGTTTCCATGGGATTTGGCGAGGAGAATCACGTGTAGATTCGGATACACAGATATATAGTAACCTGAAAATCAGCCAAGATCCGTTCTCTCTCGCCATCTGCCATTGTTGACTATTTTTCTGGTTTTACGCGCATGTCTTTATTTACTTCCGTTTTCACTTTCAAAACAATTTAGCTAAATAGTATATATTGGGAATATTTAGATCAGTCAAAAACGATTGCTTTCAAAATGATATTTCTTATTATAAAAAGATAATTTTCTATTTAACGGGAAAATTTTATGATATGCATCACGTGTCAGTCACATGTCTAAAGTTTGTATAGGCATAATTTTAAATTTTCCGATTGTATACTTTCTATATTCATACATTTAGTCAATGATTTGTATAGTGTAATTTAGACCATGTTTTTATTTCAGACTACTTTACTTAACGCCAAACTTTTTTATGATTGACAGTTATTCAAATCTATTCCTTTAACTGTATCAGAGACATATGGACCCTAATCATCGTGACAAATGTATTATATGTCTCTGACTGTATGGAGGAGGCCAATTTATAGTATAATCTACTTTACTGATTACATGTCACAGGCACTTGTCTCTGACAAAAATTACCTATATACTGTTATATCAGAGACATATATATATATGTCTCTGGTTATACTTAAAGTATAAAGATCATTTCTTTTGTCGGAGACCAGTGCCTGTGTTACATGGGCGTGCGTGAGATAGCCGTAAACATGAATAAGTGAGATATATGATTTTATAATTAGATTGGGAGGAGGTAAAAAAGAGAAAACGATTTTTGCCGGGTATCCCTGAAATTACCGTCACGGTTTCAAATGATAAGAAGTCAAGAGCGGTCATCTTATGTTCATATATTCCCATCTTTTTTTTAAACTGTAGACATCTATAACATTTATACTCTATATATGTATCGATCGGTAGAACCCCTAATGACACTTGGGGACACTTGGAAGACTGAGATGATTTATTTTTTTATTTTTTAGGTTTTGGTGTGCCTGTTGAAGGTTAATCGTTACGATTACCGAAAGCGACTTATTTCTGGGTTTTACTTTCTCATGGAGTACCACGACAGGTGCCACATGTAGAGCAGAAACTGCTTAACTTTTCGGATCACCTTAGTATAATTCCCGGTTTTTTGTGGGGTTCGTGTTTCAGTCTAGTTTTCATTGCAGTGTTTGTTATTGTTGTATGTCCTTTCGTCGTATCTATACTTTACCATGGTGTTGTCTATTTTTATTGGACTTATTATGATTTTCGAATGCCCCTCTGCATGGTATCTTTTCTCTGTTTTTTCGAATCCAGCCGTTAAAGACGCTTCAGCTGTATCACAGGATAAGGTTCACTTTCGGCAAAGTATGGCCTTTAATTTCAACTTTATCATAAAATATATAAAATCCACGATTTGGTACTTGAATTGATTGAAATTCTAGGTAAAACTGACAAAACTCTTCTGGAGTACAATAAAGACCCCCAAAATCAGCATATTTTGGAGATGGTGTCAAATTACAATCTGTCACGATGGTTTTGTCAAATCTAAAGAAAACCCTTTGCCACAACCTACGATCCATGTGTTCTGTAAATATAAGGTGCTAGTCTACGGTTCTCTTTTAAACCGTAGACACAAACAAATTCTGAGTCAGGGGTTGCGAAGTTTACGCTTAAACCTGTTATAATTTATTGAAAAATAGGACCAAATTCGTATTTTATATAGTTGTTTAAACGTACTTTAAGAAAAATCGATTCATCAAAAGAGAAGTTTGAAAGTTGTGATGCCAAGTGTATACAAATTGCGGATCCAAATAGTTCAGTTTCACCGTCATACGCGAGTATTTTCAAAAAAGTAACAATATTGTTCTTGTTTCAACGTAATCGAAGCCAGTACATATTTCATTATTACCTTTCAAATCAAAATATCTATTTTTCTGGGTTTAAAAAAAAACTTATATGATAAATAATGACTGCTATGCTGCATATAAATATAACTACAAGTAGAAGTACGAGTTAGTAAAAATCGGATCCACAGATTATACTTAGTTTTGCCCAAATGCAAGGATAATTTGTTTTCAATTAACCATTGATTGCAAGACTGGAGATCTCATTCAAGTTTTTCGGCTATTTGCTCCGGGTTCCTTTGCGAAAATACAATTGTGCTATCATCTGCATGCAACAATAGTTAACAATTAGTACTAATGATAATAGTCATGCCATTTACATAATATAAGAATAAAAGTGGACCCCAAAACTCCCTTTGAGGTACTTAACAATTAAGTACCTGTTTAGATACAATATGAAAATAAGAAGATGCATGTGGTATAATTGCCAATGAGACAATTCTCCACCAGAGACCAAATGACATAGAAGTTAACAACAATAGGTCACCGTACGGCCTTCAACTATGAGCAAAACCCATACCGCATAATCAGCTATTAAAGGCCCCGAAATGTCAAATGTAAAACAATTCAAACGAGAAAACCAACGGCCTAATTTATGTAAAATCAATGAACAAATATGATATACAGCAACAAACGACAAGCACTGATTTACAGGCTTCTGACTTTGGACAGGCACATACAGAATGTGGAGGAGTTAAACATTTTAGTGGGTGCCCAACCCTCTTCGCCTAACCTGGGAAAGTGGTGTTACAATACAACATATGAACAAACTATAAAAAACAGTTGAAAAGGACTTAACTCATCAGATCGATACAAAGCAGAAAAATAAGTATTCAATGCACAGACCGGACGTGGCAGGGTATTTATACATCCATACAACAACAAAAAAGACACTAAGTACAGATCTGAGAGTACTCTCAGTTACTGATATATATATATATAGCTAGTTCAAAACCAATAACAACTAATAAAAAATCATGTATCTGAGACTAAAGTATCAATCAGCACACATCCAACATTCAATGGATTTAGTGTAAAGACGTCATTAACAGCCAGAGAAAAAAACATGACCTTGTGCAATGCCAAAATACAGGTATTGACAGATTGTAGAACCATTAAAAAGGCTGCTTTCTCTCTGTCAAATATGATTCCAACCATTCGATGGATTTAATTTTACGCCCATAGTTTATTACATAAAATAGAATGATCAACTGTACCAAACTATTTGTAGATCTAATGATTTTGAGGAGAAAAATATATAGTGATCTTAGTTTTCTCGGCCTTTGCTTGAAATATTTAGATATATACTATTCATCCATTCTCATAAGATTTTTAAGTGATGACATGTCCTAAGCATACATTTTACGGTCGAAAACTCAGTTGAGGGGACACAATAAAACCCCAAAGTATCAGCGTCTGGTCTAACTGTGAGGGGTAACGGATCTAAGCCAAGGTCCGTTTGAATGTTTGATACGGAAGCTTTATTCTCATGCTTTAGCGTCTTAAGATTTTACTACTCATATGTTCATTACACCAACATGACATGTCAGTATGATCAAGAAAAGATGCGAGAAAAACGTTAATTCGACAACACATAAAAAAACCTAAGATATAAGGTCAACATAGAATGTTAAAGTTCTAAACTGGCCAGAGTCTAGAATTAATCTAACAGAGTCTAAGCGAGACAACCAATTGTTTCATATTTTCAAATTACTAATAAAATGCTTGTACAACCCAAAAATGACAGAATGTTATATACTTTGTCAAAATGTACTTTTAATTGTTCTATTTTCTATGATAAACATTATATATATTATCAAGCATGATTTAAAGCTACAGGTTGTGAAACATTTACACATTTTAGGAATGTAAATATTGAGGTAGTATGTATGGTAATAAAAGGATTTTTATAGTAAGATTACTATTAAAACCCTTGTATTGGTGTATGATAAAAAAAAGAAAGAATTTATCATATTTTGCCAAATGTAAAGGTCATTGAGCTTGCTTTCAAGCTGCAGACAGTGAAAAATTGACACATTTTAAAAGGATCATACATAAAAAATATATTTGTATGTCAATTAACAGAAAACTTTGAAATAAGACGTGAGAATGAAAGCTCTTGCAAAATTATTTCTTAAAAAAATGGAATCACCGTACCTTTTTCTTGCTATAATGATAAAATAGAAAAATTTAAGTACTACATTCCCTCTATAATATTTTTCTTTCAATCGGCACAAAAATAACAAATTTAAACAAGGATCATTGTTGACTTCCTAATGCGATTTTTCATTTTATGATCAATGTCTTTTTAGTTGATATTTGAATACTGGTCTTAATTTTTTTGACCAATCAATACACATCCGATAATTTAAATTGATTACCATTTATTCGGCTGCTTGAAAAAACTCAACCCGGACCAGACCATTTCACCCCACGAATACTGAATGAATTTCCTCGTGAAATAGCTCCAACAGTAACTTTCCTGTTCTACAAATCAATGACTCTGGGTCAAATACTAATAGACTTGAAAAACACATTTTGGCTTTAGAAGGAAGCGACCATGCGAGACACAACTTAAAGGCCTGATACATGATCTTACACGTACAATGAACATAAATCTGGCACTTCTTAGGAATCAGTTACCGGTATTAAACCCGTAGAGGGAGATAGTAACCCCCTAATATGGTTCTCATCCAACAAAATACAAGTAAATCCAGACAAAATCCAGGCAACTGCAATAGGTTTAAACCACATTCACAAAATACAGTCTTCAATCTAAACGGAATCAGTATTCAGTGTGAGGATGAGGTGAAACATCTTTATGTAACCATAGACTTTAAACTGGATTTCAATACACACATCTCAAACATTTGTAAAAAGCTGCACGACAACTAAACGTATTAAAAAGGTTAGTTCTCATCCAACCAGACTTTCTAAACTTACCATTTATTAATCATTCGTCCTCTCAGCTATTGTCCACTTACATGGCATTTTTGCAGTGAACAACAAACCAAACCAAAATCGAAAAAAACAAGAACATTGTCAAGCATTTATATTTATTTAAGACGACTACAAAAGCTCTTACATCACAGTACTCTACTTGAACAGTCTAAATTTCCAGCACACAAAAAAAACAACAACCAGAAGGTTGAGAACTATGGCATTGGAGACATATAAAATAGAAAATAAGCCCAGTACTGATCTTTTTACATAATTTGATAAACTTTTAAGATAATGCATATAATTTTCGGTACAAAGGCATGGCTGATAAACCACGACTGAAAACAACAAGGTATGGTAAGAAAAGGTTTAGTTGTAATGCAGCAAGACTATGGACCTCCTTGACTAATAGGGCTAGAAGTCTATCAACATTTGACCAGTCCGAAAAATTTTATTTCTACCTAGTGTCCCCCCCCCCCCCAGAAAACTGTACTTGTAGCTTATGCAAGAAATATCATCTCTTGATGCCCTAGAACTAAACTTTTAATCCTACTTGAGCTTTATTTATAGTTTTTTTTAATTGTTTTTATACTTGATATATAATAGTTTGCTGTCTTTAGCTATAACTAATAAGTCATTTTCATTATGCATTAATTGTGCTTTAGCTGCTTATCATTCATATGCATGTGCTTCTACAAGTCATTTTATTTTTTGGCATGTATATTTTTTTTTATTGGTATTTCATATTTTTAATCCTGTATGTGATTTATATTATGTGACTATGCTGACCTTCTCTTTCTAGTACATGCACTTTGTTTTCTTTGATATATTATGCTTTTTTATTTCTGTGCTCGTTTTATATGCATATGTTGCATGTTGTTTTTATTTACTGTTATGTGCTGCTTGTATTGATTGTATATGCTATATTATATATACACAAGTCTAAATTGAAAACAACATTCAAACCTATGATTGCGTTGGATAAAAACCGCAATTTTTATACGTGTGCATGCAAAACAAATTTCTTGATAGAGGGGTCTAAATACAGCACAAACAACTTTATAACTTCTGAAAGTCTGAAGCTTCAAACGGCTAATAGTTTAGTAGTAAGTCAGTGTCCTCTATAATTTGAAATTTTTGGTTGCAATAAACAAACACACAGTTTTGAAAGTGGGGATAATTAAGTTTACGTGGTTAAGTCCGTGTCTCAGATACAATAAGCAATAGGTCAACTATATTTGGTGTATGGAATGATTCTAAGATGTACATGTACGAGTGGAAAGTTTCATCTGACCTTGACCTCGTGGACAATGTTCAGTTTTTGTGGTTTTATCTATTTCTCAAATACTATAAGTTATAGGGCCTCTATATTTGGTCTATGGAATGATTGTAAGGTGTACAAGTCCGATCGACTGGTAGATTTTTATTTGACCTTGACCTCATTTCCATGGTTCATTGAACAATGTTTAGTTTTTGTTGTTTGGTCTATTTGCAAATACTATCAGCAACAGGGCCACTATATTTTGTGTATGAAATGTATTCTAATTGTATAGTCAGTCTGGTAGGTTTCATATGACCTTGACCTCATTCTAATGGTTCATTGGTCCATTATAATTTTTTCCATGCCGGATTTTGTCAGCTTATCCTGTGAACAGTATATTTTACGTCAATATATAGGTTCCTGGCTTATCAGATATAGGTCAAATACATTTGGTGTATGGAATGATTGTACGGTGTACACGTCTGTGTGGCAGGTATCATATGACCTTGACCTCATTTTCATGGTTTATTGGTCAATGTTAAGTTATTTGTGGTCATTTTTGTAGGTACTATCCATGGACAGTAGGGTCACTATATTTAGTGTATGGAATGATTCGTAACTAAGGTGTACATGTCAGTCTGGCATGTCTCATCTGACCTTGACCTCACACCTTTTCATGGGTCAACTTAAGTTTATGTGATACTTAAAGCAACACCTTCATATTACAGACTGTAATAATTCAATCATAAGTTGGGCAGGCGAGACATTTCAGCGTGAATTAAATAGCGAGATTTTTTTTTAGATTTACCGTTTCGAAAACATTTTAATTTTTAAAATTATACGCAAAGGGAGGTAAGTTCAATGTTGATGAAATTCTCTAGTCAGAAGGCTAGAATCCTAAGAAACTGATTTGGACGACCGACAGTCTGTCTTGCTTATTTACCTGAGAATTATTCATTTATATCATGCTTGATGTTGTGAATTTCTTTAATAATTGTAAGTTGATAACTAATCTGCTCTTATAGCATCATATAATATTATGCGAAAATTTTGACGACAGGAAAAGTATGCCCAACTCAACTGCCTGTCTCTGCCTCTGGTTTGTTCTTGAACTATTAAAGACATGTGTGTAGTGAGTGATAAGATCGACATGTTCACCATCTGAATATGAAAAGTATTAAAAAAAAGAAATGTCTTACGATCATATAAGGTTGTGAATGACTGTATAAATATTGACAAGTAGCCTACAGATGGCATTTACAATATTTCTAACTGGAAAGTATCAGACATATAAATTCAAGAAATGAACAGTTTTTCTCCAATAATTGTTAACAGGAACTCTTTGGGGAAATATTCTTTTAACTTAAAAAGGGTTACCAAAAGTTAGGTTTAGCACCATAAACTTGTAGCCCCACCGGACGCAATTACGACTGGACACAATTACGAACGATTTCAAATGTTTGCCCTCTGAAATCATATTTATATATGAAAATTAATAAATGTTTTTATAAATAAAAACCCTACTCAAATGCCCTTGTTTTCATGAACAAATAATTCATGTGGACTTGGTGAATGTTGATGACATTGACAAAATCATTCTGAAAATATTAAAAGAACGACACTCTCGCCTGGAAATTTAAAAAAAAACAACATAAAGGTAAGTGCATATTGCCTTCTTTTGTTTATATATAGAAAGAAAAATATCTCTTGATTCTGTTCATATGAATGATGCCTTTTATCTTGCCCAAATAACCCCAAAATTAACGTTTTATCGACTCTTGTGACCCTAATCATTGTCAAAAGAAAATACGGTAACTTTATTGAAAAGTCCCGAGAGCTCCGAAAGTAATGTTGAACTATATAAAAAATCATCTAGGCGAATGCAGGATCACCAACCGAATGGAGAAATTTGAATTTAGTGCTCCTTAGAAGGAGGAACTAACATAAAAACTAAACAATTCCAAAATCTTTCCTTTACACATGACATACATTTCATCTGCAAACACAGCTGAAGTATTTGAAGTAAAATACAAACTTGCGCTTCTTATTTTCCTCTGGAAATGTGTTTGAGATTAGATTAATGTATATTTTATCAATCTAGATTGTTTTCATTGATTTCTTCTGCCCGATATATTAATATAGTGCTGTTTGGAATTGCGTCCATATTTGGCTCCCTTGACCCGTAAAACAAGGTCTCGCAAATCTTACTAAAGTATCCTAGCATGAATAGAAAATTAAGTAGGTTAAGATGCAAAATGAAAAGCCTTCATACATCATCTTAAATTCTATGGTATAAACAATTCAAGAAAAGTATTCTATAAAAAAAAAATATTAATCAAAGTTCAAAAATCGTTCGTAATTGTGTCCGGTGAGGCTACTTAAATTTCTCTTATAAACAATGAAAAAATTGGTTACAAGTATGCCGATTTTTGTAGGAAATTTTATAGATATAATGGGTTACCTTCACTTTTGAATCTTGTCATTAACTGATAAAAGATTTAATCATGACAGTGATGTTGCAAAAACAGAAGATGGTACGTCAGTGCACGAGATTCCAATTTCAATTTTACGATTGCACTGCCTTTGTTGATGAACTTTACGTGGGAAAAAACGTGTAATAGAACATTGTGAAAAACAGATATTGCTTTGTTTTGCTTCCAAAATCGCGCCGAGAACGTCTGATAGCTGTATCTTCCCACAATGCGTTTAATTTTCCAAAAATTAGGCATTTCCCTATCTTAATCGGATCAAACAAAACAGAATTTTTTCAAATGAAGTAAACATATTTGTATGAAGATAACAGCGGTCTGTTGTTTTTATGCAATGTTTCCGTTATTGAATGAAATGGCAGGTGACGATAACAGTTAATTGACGGTAACTGGTCCCCAATATGTCTATTTGCAGCCTTCTGACCAACCCTTAGGGTCAAGGTACAATAAATGGGCTCTGTCACAGATTTTGATAAAAAAAACCATCTTAAACATGTTTTAAGATCATCAAATATCCCGTTACCAATTCATATATTTTTCTGAAAAATTGATATATGGACATAATGGTTGATACAACCTTTTTTGTTTTAATGATGTAAAATAGGCATAGGATTTATAGTATACATGTACATCATTCCCAAATTCCCCTTGAATACTTGACTGTCATTTCATGGCTGTATGTTTTCAATAAGAATAGGTGTGTTATATACATATGCATGTAAATTTGAAATATTTTATTTTAGTCTCACCCAAAATTATACCTTCTCTTTGGGATGAAAAAGTCTTGGTTACCATCCTAACAAATATCATATGTATAATATATAAAATACATAAACCAAAAGACCTTTCTTCACTTTGATTTGTCAAACAAACACCTACCTCATGTAAACAGATACTTTGAATTATGAGTGTGGGTATTCTTAGCATGACTAGGCGTGCATTCTTGTTTCTCAATATTTAACATTCATACATTAGGTTCTATATTGTAACTTGTTTTCAAGATATATAACATTTCTTGCTGTTATAGATGTTAAAATTGATGCAAATGTGAATAAACAGAAGTAAGGAGCCATTACTATGGCAACAGGAGGCATTCCAGCTCCTGGACATTCAAAGAAATTACCTGAAGTCCCACTTAGAAAAGGAGGAAAACAAAAGAAACCTGTAAAAGTTTTCATCACAACATACTCTGATGAATTTTATACTGAGAGAGAATTAGTAAGAAAAGAGGTATGTAAATTTACAGCAATCACAAGAATAAAGAATAGTATATTATACACACCTTACTTTAATGTAACAAGCAACTTGATTTCATGTTAGTCAACAGTTTCCGTTATTTATACCTTTATCCAGTGGGAAATCTAGTGATCGAAAACAAAAGAACCTTCACTCTTTTTATGATAGAGTCGAGAAAGTCAATAATAAAACAATGCCTGTGACGATACTGATTAAAAGTTATTTCTAAATAATAATTGTACATATTAAAGAAATTATTTGTTAAACTGTTATTAGAAATATACATGCAAATACACAATGTTTTCTGTTCAGTATTTATCGAGATAATTGCATTAGAAGCTTGTGAAATTGAAATTTGGAAAATGCCAATCTTTGCTGCATATTGATAAAAAAAATTGGAAAAAATCATGTACATACAAAATGTAAAAATCTTTCGGGTCATAATTTTCGGAGTGTTCCACAAAGTCCTTAGCATGTTTCAATTTCCCAAAGTATACTTATTTTTGTGACCCAAGTTATGGAGCACACCGTTCTGCTCTTGTCACATGTACATTCAATAGAGAAATAGTGTCTTTTCGTGAATATAAAAATTTAAAAGTCTGTCTGTGCAGGTTAAGAAATTAAAGTTAACTATTCTTATAAAGTATGTATCTTTCTACAATTTTTTATACAATTTTAAGAAAAGGTCGTCTCGATTTTTGTACATGTATTTTCGGTCTTGATCTTTTCACATTCAATGTTTACATCGAGATAAGGTCTGTTTGAATTTGCTTAGTAACTTAATTTCAAAAGTGCCAATCTTTGCTGCATATCAATCGATTCCTTTGGAATTTTTTCCCTGACTTTCTCTGATCTAGCTGTATATATATACAAATATTTAGCATGTTCCAGAGAGGTATACAGCCAGTAAAAAAATGAGTTGAAATTGTTACTCTAGGAATTTATTTGCATAGCAACATTTTAAATCAATTTTACATCAAGCTTCTATAGCCTGCTGTACTCATTGTTTGCTACTTAAGAATGGAAATGATAACATTAAATGGAAGTTTTGTTTTTATTTCAACTTATATCTATTTTTACTATTTACCAGAACGTTTTCCCGTGAATTCATAATTGATAGCGTCCTTGCTAAAATCGGACAAACATTGAGAAGATCTAGTTTTCAGTGTTTACAGGGGAGGTAATATTTTGTCACTAGGTTTCCTACTGTATCAGTTTAAAATTATTTGATATGCCTAAATATGCAAAAATGATGAGACAAAAATAAAGCAAACTTATGTCTTCTTCTGTACACAAATTAAAGCAGTACAACATTTATACACTGTAGCATGCATACAATACAGTACAGTATATGGTAAATGTACTTGTATATTGAATTATGACATTATTTAAAAAAAATTATTTGTGATGATGTGAATGGTTTAACATAAAACAATGTAGAATGCATTTTATTATATATAGAGTCTACCACACCATCCTTGGCATACTTCGATTCATCCAAAACTCCAGTTAGTAGAGTTTGTCAAGTTTACTCAAGTTTCAATAACTCACATTTTACCAAATACAGTCAAAGAAGGGGGCTGTTAAGAGAGATTTATATTTTGGTTGTATTTTGGAATTTACAAATATTTTTCGTGTATAAATACTGTTGGTGATGTTAATCAATAGAACAGAAAGATATAATTTCGGTACTTTGAGTTACTAAGAGTAAAATGTGAATTTATAAGGAAAATCCCTTCCCTTTACCTACGGGACAACGGGGCAGGAGGATTTCAAAAATGAATATACTGGTCTGGTAAGAACTGAAAATGAATAAATGAATTAATTTAATTATGTTACAAATTTCAACATAAAGTTGTTCATTGTCGACTTCCATAAAAAGAAAATTAACAACTGCTGCTATATCTATATCTTCCATTTTGAGAGTCAACTAGAGTTTTAACTTTGATTCAGGAATAGCACTGATTTTTTAACTTTAGTTGGATGAATCGAAGTAGGCCCTGTTGATTAAGATATTTATCCACTGGAATTAGTTGAAATTGAAATTTTTACTATTGATAGTGGTTACATATTGTAACCAATGTGATAAAGTGGTACAATCTAACTGATTTGAAGGAATAGGCCAAATGCAATGCTCTGAATAGATATGGGCAGGAATTTAAATGCAAAAAGTTTAAAATATGTGCAGTGAATTTAAATTATCAAACTGGTCAGACCAGGTTACAATAAGACAAATGTTAGAAAAAACAATTTCCTCTTTGATCTGTTGATAGTTTTATGAATTTATATACATGTAGTTCTTTGAAAATGTTTTCATTTTGATCCTTAGCTAATGACATGTGTCTGGTGGAGGTTAAGACAATCAAATTTAGTGAGCAGTTCTCTGGTAACCAGATGATATAAAAGATCATTTAACAGTTTATTTCTTATACAGACATAAACAGTACTTGCTTAACATAATAATTCCATATTTTACTTTTAGGTGCTGCCTGAATTAAAGTCCTGGTGTGAATCAAAACATCTTACAGTTAATGAACAGTTTGTGAAATGGGTATGGATTATAGAGTGAAAGAAAAAGGGAAGGAGTGTTAAAGAGTACTATTGTATGAATTGTTAAAAAATGAGAATATTTCATCACACAGTGGACTGAAAATTGTTCTTTGATATGGAACATAGAGTTTTAATTTTTTATCCAGTTTGGATCAGATGTTTTTCATAAGATTTTTCTTGTTGAAGGCTTTTAAAGACATTATTTTTTGCAAAAGTAATGGGACAGTCACATAAACATGAGGAGGATTGAACTAGTTTTGGAGTACCCAACTCTAGCCCCTATACCCTGTCAGTGTAATAACAAGTGGTAAACAGAAGAACTGTCATTAAAATGTCTAGCATTTAATAGACAGTTTGCGAAAAGCATGGATTATATGGGGAAAGAAGTTTGAGTGATTTATAAAATGAGAAAACAGAAATTTTATTCTGTCACAAAGTGAGTTTCAGGAATTGCAGACATAAAAAAAAACAGGTTAAAACCTGTACAAGTAAAATAATAACACTATCACAGAATACTAACTGAAAAGCTTTTTAAAAGCACTTATCTGATTTTGTAGACATCACGCCTACTCTCTGCTATTGGCCTCAATATTTCAGAGTAGATTGCAAAAAAAAAAAGCATCATGAACACAGAAAAATAAACAGAAAAGGAACTCATAACACAGTTTAGTCATCTTTGAACTATTTGACACTTTTAATAGGTATGCTTTCATTCAGTATTTGCATTTAAGACCATATCATTCTACAATTTAAACTTATATCAGGCTTAGATATTGAAATATAAAACGATTTCATCCATGTTGAGCATGTATACATTTGTATACTTTTTCTTTGCAGGGATCTAAACATCCAGACAGACGAGATGTTACTGAATTGGAGAAAATACAGACTTGTATAGAAACTTGTTATTTCCAAGATGTAATGCCTATTTTTATCAATATAACAAGGTTAGCAAAACAATGCAATAATAAATAGATAATATATAACTTATGTAGCACCACATTTACATAGAATGATAGATAGTTCGGTTTCATCCATGTTGGATCCAATATTTTTCTTAAGATTTTAAGTAACATCTCATGCTATAAACAAATTGATAATATACATATTTTTATATATATATATTAATCCACATTTACGAAAATTTTCAAATTTGAATTACATTAGATGAATAAATAGAATTAAGAAGATGTGGTCTGAGTACCAATGAGACAACTCTCCATCCAAGTCACAATGTGTAAAAAGTAAACAATTATAGGTCAAAGTACGGCCTTCAACAGGGAGCCTTGGCTCACACTGAACAGCAAGCTATAAAGGGCCCCAAAATGACTAGTGTAAAACAATTCAAACAGGAAAACCAATGGTCTAATCTATATAAAAAACGAGAAACGAGAAAGACTTAAGAACCACATCTTAATCAACAAGTTATTGTTAAAGAATCTTTAGATACATGTATTTCAGTCTTCCTATTAAAATTATTTAATTTGTATGATATATCAGTGAGTCAGTAGGATGGGTTCCAATGTGGGATGAATGTCCAGATGAAGTTGTAGAAAATTACATTGAAGCATATGGATTAGTTGTAGAAGATTTAGAAGTTATGAATGGAGCCTTTAGGCAAGATAATCAGAACTGTAAGTCATTAATGACTAAATGTTTATTTGTTTTCTGTATGATATTCATGTGAACCACAACGTTATTAAAGCATATGTGTAGTTAAGGTCAATGAGACAGTAAACTTACATCTCTGCCATACCAAAAAACATAGGGTATGAAAAAAGGAGTTATTAAGTGTATTTCAATGAGAAGTTGACTCTATGACATTTTTACATATATATTTTTCTGTCAATCATAATACATGTATCTAAAATAGTTCCATGTCAGATGATCTATTAGAAACATATATACACAAGTACTTGATCTCTGACATTGTCTTTTCAAATGCCACTTGATGTGTCAATGATACTTTTCTTGATTGGAATATTGTTAAATATGATCAATTACTGTTTGAATTACAAAAATCAAAGATGTCTTATTAATAGCATACAATGCATTTCTTTCCTCACACGAATGAAAAAAAGAGACCAGTGATGTTGTAAAATTAAATTTATTCTATTTGTTTTATTTTATTCAAAAATAGCTTTGTTTATGATGAGGAATGACGACTTTCTAAAAAACATTCCTTCAGATGACCAAAAATGTTTTGTACAGAAAACTCCAGCAAGTGAAACAGTCATTAAAATGGGAGATAAAATTTCACAAAAGTTTCCTGTAAGTTATAACTGTATCGTTTATGTAGGAACACTAAAAAAAAGATGTAACATAACATAACACTGAAAAATTGATTGAGTACTTTTCTGTGACTATGGTAATATATGTAAATTTGAAGAATTGACTGGGATATGAATTACAAATGAATGCTGATTTCTACACAGGGTTACTACAGACCAAAAATTTTAATTTCTTACGAAAAGCTTTGAAATGTCTTGTCTGAAGTATCAAATTCAATCTGACAAAAATTTCAGTTGCGTCATTTCAATTTCAGGTTGAAATTGCCTAACAGATATATTTTTCAATTATGGGTTGTTTGCCTGTGAGAGAGCTTTCACATGTTTATTTTGCTGTTCGGTGTGAGCCAATGCTCCGTGTTGAAGGCCGTACCTTCACCTATAATGGTTTACTTTTATAAATTGTAACTTGGAGGGAGAGTTGTCTCATTGGCACTCATACCACATCTTCCTATATCTATTTACTGCAGGGTTTGTTGCTCGTGCTGTGTGGATGCAGTAGAATGTGTCCCCGTGCTTGTGGTGTATGCCCTTATATTTTTCAATTATGGGTTGTTTGCCTGTGAGAGAGCTTTCACATGTTTATTTTGATGTTCGGTGTGAGCCAATGCTCCGTGTTGAAGGCCATACCTTGACCTATAATGGTTTACTTTTATAAATTGTAACTTGGATGGAGAGTTGTCTCATTGGCACTCATACCACATCTTCCTATATCTATGTCTTTTCCCCTTCCTTTTGAATAGCCCTCATGTGTTTACAGTAATTCAGCTTCTTAATTGTTTATTTGTTATTTGTTCTTGCTACTTGTTTGATTCTTTCTCAGATTTTTATTATTATGTATTTTCAGATAAACAGAGTAGTAAAATATAACTGTGAAGAATACAAAGGTTTAAGTTCAAAGAATAAACCTAAATTAAAACTAAGTGATTCTTTCAAACAAAAGGTAATAGATCCGTAAATTTAGTATAATATGGAATGTATTTTTTCTGTTAATTAAGTCTCCCAAACGAAGTTTGGGAAGACTTATTGTTTTTGCTCAGTTCTTATTATTATTATTATTCTTCTTCTTCTTCTTCTTCTTCCGCCGCTTTTAAATTTGAACTTGTCCGCACCTGTTCTCCAAAACCGCTTGTCAGATTAACTTAGGGTTTCACAATATGTTAGACTAACATGTCTAGTGGTGCAATCAGGGTTTTGTTTGTGCAATGGGGTTATAAAGGGGTACTTTGAGGGGCAAAAAGAAAAGAGGGTTTTACTATAGAACCCTATGGGATTTTATTTTTTAAAATTTTCAAATGATTATAAATTGAAAACCGTTTGTGATAGACACAATCTTTTTAATTGAAAATGTTCTAAATGATAAAGCCCATTAAATGAAAAACAGGGTTAGTCCCCAGGGGTCACCCCCACCCCCTGCCATTTAAGAAAGTTCTAATATCTAAGTGGTCAAGATCCCCACCCCTAAACCATATATATTCTGGTTTGTCATGCTAAGATGGTTTGAATGATATACAGGGTTAGTCCCCAGGGGTCATCCCTACCCCCTGCCATTTGAGAAAGTTCTAATATCTTGTAAATGGTCGAGATCCCCACCCCTAAACCATATATATTCTGGGTTGTCATGATAAAGCACATCAAATGTTATACAGGGTTAGTCCCCAGGGGTCACCCCCACCCCCTGCCATTTAAGAAAGTTCTAATATCTTCTAAGTGGTCAAGATCCCCACCCCTAAACCATATATATTCTGGTTTGTCATGATAAAGCACATCAAATGTAATACAGGGTTAGTCCCCAGGGGTCACCCCCACCCCCTGCCATTTAAGAAAGTTCTAATATCTTCTAAGTGGTCAAGATCCCCACCCCTAAACCATATATATTCTGGTTTGTCATGCTAGGATGGTTTGAATGATATACAGGGTTAGTCCCCAGGGGTCATCCCGACCCCCTGCCATCTGAGAAAGTTCTAATATCTTGTAAATGGTTGAGATCCCCACCCCTAAACCATATATATTCTGGTTTGTCATGATAAAGCACATCAAATGTTATACAGGGTTAGTCCCCAGGGGTCACCCCACCCCCTGCCATTTAAGAAAGTTCTAATATCTTGTAAGTGGTCAAGATCCCCACCCCTAAACCATATATATTCTGGTTTGTCATGCGAAGATGGTTTGAATGATATACAGGGTTAGTCCCAAGGGGTCATCCCGACCCCCTGCCATTTGAGAAAGTTCTAATATCTTGTAAATGGTCGAGATCCCCACCCCTAAACCATATATATTCTGGTTTGTCATAATAAAGCACATCAAATGTTATACAGGGTTAGTCCCCAGGGGTCACCCCCACCCCCTGCCATTTAAGAAAGTTCAAATATCTTCTAAGTGGTCAAGATCCCCACCCCTAAACCATATATATTCTGGTTTGTCATGCTATGATGGTTTGAATGATATACAGGGTTAGTCCCCAGGGGTCATCCCGACCCCCTGCCATTTGAGAAAGTTCTAATATCTTGTAAATGGTTGAGATCCCCACCCCTAAACCATATATATTCCTGTTCGTCATGTAATGAACATTTGAATGACGTATAGGGCCAGTCCCCAGGGGTTCCTCCCCACCCCCAATGTTCTAGTATCTTGTAAATGGTCGAGATCCCCACCCCTAAACCATATATATTCTGGTTTGTCATGCCAAGATGATTTGAATGATATACAAGGTTAGTCCCCAGGCATCACTAATGCATATAACTTTACTGGACCAAACCAATTTTCACTGGACGTTGCCCAATGTCAGGCGACCCTGGGAATTACGAATTATGGGAGCTTCGTTTGGGAGACTTCGTAACAGCATCCTGTTACAATCATTTCTTGTTTGTTATGTTTTTCCTCAAGATTTGAATACGAGTCAAAGGAGATATTATGTAAATGTCACTGAGTAGTGATTTTCACACGGTTTTCAAAAGGACAGGGGACCTTTAATGAAAGCTTATGGATAAAAAACAAAGGGACGTACAATGAAGGATTTACCTTAAGATACATGTATATAGTATGAATAAGGACAGAAATGGAACTGCATAAGACAATTAAACCTTCCTCCTAAAATTATGAAAAATAATTACTTATGAGTGACAGGAAAGCAATAGCACTAGTTCAGGCCACCCTTAAAAATATGTTTGTTTGCATTTCCCGACTACCTTCAGACTGAAGGGTCAGTTGGTAGGAAAAATATTTTATTTTATCAGCCAAAAAGTTTAAACAAGCAGTTACACAAACCAAGTTTCTTGTTTATGAAAAACAAGAGGCTCTCAAGAGCCTGAATCGCTCACCTGTAATTTTTTGCTTAAATCTTTCATCAATGATTATTTTTGATTTTTAATATATATTAGTGAGTGGCTTAAAAATTCCATTGAGATGTTCTTTGTATCTGTCATATTTTCTTCAAAAGCAAAGAAATACATTTTACCCCTATGTTCCATTTTAGCCATAGTGGCTATGTTTCTTGACGTACAAGAAAATAAAATACAAAATTTATACTAGATAATTCTGAAACTCATTCAGCCCAAGTTTGGCTGAAATTGATACAGCAGTTTCAAAGGAGAAGATTTTTTAAAGTAAGCAAACTAGATGAACAAATTGTGAAAAATTGTCTTTAAAGGGCAATAACTCCTTAAGGACACACTTGACAATTTAGGTCATGAAACTTATTTGCAGATCTTACTTTGCTTAAAATTACCAATTTAGTGGCAGCAACCCAACAATGGGTTATTAAATTCATCTGAAAATTTCAGGGCTGATAGAACTTCACCTAATGAACACTTTTACCCCTGTCAGATTTGTTCTAACTCCTTTGGTTTTTTAGATATAAGCCAAAAACTGCATACTACCCCTGTGTTCTATTTTTAGCCATGGTGGACATGTTTTTTGACGAATCAGAAAATAAAACACAAACTTTATTCTAGATACCCTAAAGATCATTCAGCTTAAGTTTGGTTGGAATTGGTTCAGTAGTTTCAGAGGAGAAGATGTTTGAAATAGTTTACACCAGACGGACGATGACGACGTAAGACGACGGACGCCAAGTGATGGCTAAAGCTCACAGTTCCTTCGGAATGTTGAGCTAAAAACCTATTTTAAAACAACAAGCACTGAAAACCAACATGAAATGAACAGGCATTGTCAAATAAAAAAAAAACTTTTTAACTAAAACTGAAACTAATTCAATTTATGACATAAAATATGGCATGTATGGTATTATTAAATACTGAAACACTTATAAACAAGGAATGACTAGAACTGTTTTAAAGAAATATATTCACTGACATATATGCTTTAATTGACTAGAATGTTTTCATGAGTAGAGTATTTTCATCAGAAAAATGTAGATATTAAAGATTTATCATCATGTTTAAAAGACAATGTATTATAGAGGGTATTTTTAATAAAAAAAATATCAGCCATTGAATCTTCCTCAATTGAAAATAGGGCAACTTAAAAAAGACTGTTTTCATATTTCTAACAATATTTAATTATATGCAATAAGATTATATTTTGAAAGGTATGTTGATGCCAGGCCTAAATGAAAACCAAAGAAAACTTACTAGTTTGGGGTGAAACCCTAGCACCCCATTAAAGTACATGTAAATGGTCTGTACTGAAATGTTTTAACTGCAGAAAAAAAATTGGCACGTAGCTCCTAAGAACATGCTTTAATTCAATTCACACAGTAACTGTAACAGGCCACAAAGTTTGGGTATATTTAATATTGTAAGAAAGAGAATAGTTGCAATGAGTGGGGCAGCCCCCTTATCCTAAAGGAGCATATATACTCATTGCAATCGAAGATAGATTTAATATAGAGAGAGTATATTTATTTTTCAAGCTAATCATTCATTTTCTCTACATTGTGTATTTTTGGGTTGCTTCTCATTGATTTGGCATGGTCTCTATCCATTTACATTTTTAATGAGCTCTTTCTCCGTACAGGCATGTTTACAGGTATCCATATATTCACGGAGGAGTGGTTTCATCTTTGTCTTCTTCACAACGATTTATAGAAAATATGACATACTTCAAACTGCTGTCGAATTGTTTAACCACTGAAATTGGTTCCCATAAAGTCAGGCTCAAAAGATTCTGTACCCGATTTGTTTGAGACAGAAAGTTGACAAAGATGAATATCGTGTCGGTTGTGAATATCCGCTGCATCTTCTTCAATGATATCATCAAAGACATCATTCCATGTGCCTGAATCTGTATAAACAGTTTACTATTAAACTTTTTTTGTTTGTTATTTGTCATAAAATTGACAGAAGTCGATAGCGTAAAGTACTCCTCCATAACTTCATGGATACCTGTAAACAATTTCCATGTGCTTTATCATTAAACGGTCACATGAACGCTTGACGGGAAGGCAAGAAAAACCGAACTTAAAACGTGTAATTGACCTGGACTTAAATCAATTCCGGAAAGGACCTGAATTTCTGGATCTCGGCAATAGAAGTTTTAAAAATAATTTCTTAAAATGTAAAGCAATAAAATTTTCACAGTCGGCAGGATTTTCAAGGGTCGGTCGGTAAACTGCAAACAAACAATATTTTAATTTAAGCCTCAACCAAAAAAAGCCATTTGATTTCAGTGATTAACAAGAGCCCATGTTATGATTGATTGATTTTTGGAGTTAAACACCACATTCGGCACACAAAGCAATCACAGTGGCCAGATTTTATTTGGCAGAGAAAGGTAGAGTACCAAGAGAGATCCACAAACCTTCAGCAGGAAAACTGCCAATCTTTGTCAATTAAGATTTAAGTTGAACACTCCTTGCCCAACCTTAGTTTTAACAGGCTAGTGACCATTTTAGATGGACTACTTAGATCACTCTGCCACCTAAGCTCCTACACAACCTCAGTGTTGAAAGGCTAGTGATCATTGTAGACGGACTACTTAGATCACTCTGCCACCTAGGCTCCTACACAACCTCAGTGTTGACAGGCTAGTGATCACTATAGATGGACTACTTAGTTCACTCTGCCATCAAGGCTCCTACGTATACACAACCTCAGTGTTGACAGGCTAGTGATCACTGTAGACTGACTACTTAGATCACTCTGCCACCTAGGCTCCTACACAACCTCAGTGTTGACAGGCTAGTGATCACTATAGATGGACTACTTAGATCACTCTGCCACCTAGGCTCCTACACAACCTCAGTGTTGAAAGGCTAGTGATCACTGTAGACTGACTACTTAGATCACTCTGCCACCTAGGCTCCTACACAACCTCTGTGTTGACAGGCTAGTAATCACTGTAGATGGACTACTTAGATCACTCTGCCACCTAGGCTCCTACACAACCTCAGTGTTGACAGGCTAGTGATCACTGTAGACTGACTACTTAGATCACTCTGCCACCTAGGCTCCTACACAACCTCAGTGTTGACAGGCTAGTGATCACTATAGATGGACTACTTAGTTCACTCTGCCATCAAGGCTCCTACACAACCTCAGTGTTGACAGGCTAGTGATCACTGTAGACTGACTACTTAGATCACTCTGCCACCTAGGCTCCTACACAACCTCAGTGTTGACAGGCTAGTGATCACTATAGATGGACTACTTAGATCACTCTGCCACCTAGGCTCCTACACAACCTCAGTGTTGACAGGCTAGTGATCACTATAGATGGACTACTTAGATCACTCTGCCACCTAGGCTCCTACACAACCTCTGTGTTGACAGGCTAGTAATCACTGTAGATGGACTACTTAGATCACTCTGCCACCTAGGCTCCTACACAACCTCAGTGTTGACAGGCTAGTGATCACTGTAGATGGACTACTTAGATCACTCTGCCACCAAGGCTCCTACACAACCTCAGTGTTGACAGGCTAGTGATCACTGTAGACTGACTACTTAGATCACTCTGCCACCTAGGCTCCTACACAACCTCAGTGTTGACAGGCTAGTGATCACTGTAGACTGACTACTTAGATCACTCTGCCACCTAGGCTCCTACACAACCTCAGTGTTGACAGGCTAGTGATCACTGTAGACTGACTACTTAGATCACTCTGCCACCTAGGCTCCTACACAACCTCAGTGTTGACAGGCTAGTGATCACTGTAGACGGACTACTTAGATCACTCTGCCACCTAGGCTCCTACACAACCTCAGTGTTGACAGGCTAGTAATCACTGTAGATGGACTACTTAGACCACTCTGCCACCTAGGCTTCATCCACATTATGAAACAAGCAATACATTCTGAATTAATTCAACAGAGAAGACTGTAAATCTGATATCTAAAGCAAATTCTTTGTATCAACTACTACATACGAGTATTATTGAATTTGAATGGGATTTTCTTTTTATCATTTAATACTATTGTTGAGTATAGTGAACCAACACCTTATGTTGGAAAAATGCAGAAGGGCAAGACTGGGTGGATACCTATGTAAGCGAGAACATATTATGAATAAAAACTAAAGGTCAACAACACCAATAGTTTATTTATAGGTTTACATGTTCTATTAGGTTCTAAGAAAAAATGCTTTCCTACTTACATGACTTGTGCTAAGACACTTTTGTTATTGATGTTCAAAGATAAACACAGAAACAGAGTATGCATTGGTGAAGCAATCATTGAAAAAAATCATAATTGTTGATTTCCTGCATAATGTGATAGCTGAAAGTATTTAATCTAAACTTTCAGATATAAATGCTTTTAAAATAGACTTTTGATGCAGTACTATATGAAGACATATAACACAAACACTGCTTCAAAGTTTACGGATGGCACAATCTAAACTTAAAAAATACTGATTCCTAATTTGCAAAAGTATGCGTCCCTGGATCAAGATGTAATTATACCCAAACGGGGTATACCATCCATCTGTCCCATGAAACTTTTGTAAGATTTTCCTCTGAAGCTACAAATCAGAGCGCCCTGTGAGCATGCTATTCCATGTAATGCATTTTCACATTAATCGCTTTATATCAACATATATATTCTTACACATAATGGCCATGTATGAAATTTTTGTTGATTCTTTTTGTTAGGATCTACAAATCAGAACATTCTGATATTTGGTATACTGTGTAATGCATTTTGACATCCATGGCTTATCAACTTTCTTTTTACAAAATACTTATATAGAGGATGTATCATTTGTGAGCAAAGCTCACTGTTCAAATTGTTTCAAAAAGATAACACCTTTTTTTTTAATGACAATAGATTTTTAAAACATTGTTCTGTACAAGTTCATGTTATGTATGGTATAGTAGAAGAGACATATCTTGTTTGTTTCAGATATTAGAATTCTGTAAACAAAGAATTGGTTGTGATTACTGTGGTGATCATGTGACATCTTACAGTCCTGTTGATAATACAGTATCTCAGGAACATCTGACGTTCATGAAGAATAAAAGTTCCACTGTCATAGGCAGAGATGATATTATTAAAGTGGTCAGTATTATATTTTTTTTCCTGTTTACTGTTAGAAAGTGGCTCAAAGTAGATAGCCTAACCAAGTTTCATAAAGAAAGTATATTACAGCCAGGAGCCTGTAATTCAGTGGTTGACGTTTGTTGCTATATATCATATTTGTTTTTCGTTCATTGTTTTGTACATAAATCAGGCCGTTAGTTTTTTGTTTGAATTGTTTTACATTTGTCATTTTGGGGCCTTTTATAGCTGACCATGTGGTATGGGTTGTTGAATACCGTAAGGTGACCTACAGCTGTTAACTTCTATGTCATTTGGTCTCTGGTGGACAGTTGTCTCATTGGCAATTTACCACATCTTCTTATTTTTATAATCAAGTTGAATTTGAAAAAAAATATAGGTCATTGCAGGGCTTCCAAAATTTCCTGACGTCAGCCGGACATTTTTCAAAGAAATATTTTTGACGGTCAATGATCAGCTGGATACTTAAATGTAACTGAGAGGATGCATAAATTGATATATGTGTCTAAATAATTAGTAGTGTTATATGCAATAAAATTATTTATAACTGTTTTGTTTTCTTCATTCTAAAAATAAATAAAATATTATCCTCGGTATTGTGTCATTTTTCTGTGTATCGTAATACAGTAACCATCATTGCATCAATCAGCTTCAGTACCTGACTGTTCTCATGTTTTTGTTTCTGTTTATATAATCTATCTTCTCTCTGTGAGTACTTAACACTTTGTAAATTAAGGCCATCTTATTTGAAACTGTTGATGTTGGCTTTAATTGCAGTACAACTTGATCATCAATACACGTGATACTTTTCTTTTTGTGTATTGATTACCTGACCACGTGACTTTTACAACTGATGCGGTATTTATAGATAACATTGAGGAGGCCCAATGAAGGATATTGTTTTAAACCGTGTAAAATCTACTGAACAGTGATAACATTTTTCTTTGTACAATTTCCCAACCTGATTTAGAAAATAAGGAATAAATAAAAACATACTCAGTTGATAAATAATTTAATGAATAACAACATGATATTTTATGTAAGCATATAACAACAATAAAATATCAGAAGAGCACAATGTTGACAAACACACGCAATAAATATTACAATGAGCACATTGAAAAGAAGCACAGATCACAGCACAAGATTAGAAGTTCATTTAGTCTAATTTAAGATTTTACATTCATGAGCTTGCTAAATGCATTGTTCTGATAAACATGGCGGTTACGAACGGATTGCCATTTGCGGATAGCAGGAACAGGGTCAAAGTCTTTAACATCTACACCTACTAAGCTTATCCTCATAAGTTGATCTAAAGCGTCAATACCTAGACTACACCTTAGTTTTGTCTTGATAATGTTCTGCCTTGAAAAACCCCTTTCACATTCAACACTAGAAACCGGCAAAACACGTGAAATTTCCATTAGCGAAATTGTATTTGGGAACTGGTCTTTTCTTGAAATAATTGCAGTCAACAGATCGGCAAACGAAAGTCCCTTGTAGTTGTTGAAGATCAAATACTTAAGTATGCCCCATTCTATTTGTAGTTCTTCTTGGTTGACTATACTATAATGGTCTCCGAGACACTCTAACTGTTGTTCACCGTAGCGAGGAAGGTCGTCAACACTACTTGGAAAGTTCGACGGTTCAAATACAGAGAATGCTTCGAAAATTTTGTTGTCTGGAAATCGGTCACGAATGTTATCATGTATCAATTGGGCACATTGCACGGCTCTTGTCTTGAGATGAATGTCACGGTTGTTACGTTTAAAGGTGATAGTGTTGAAGCTGTCAGATTGGTCTGTTGATTTTAGAAATTCGGCACATAATGGTCCAAATGAAGGAATCTCGGTTAAGTACTCGGCCTCTATTGCCATAAGAAAAGAGTCAACTAATTGTTTCACTGTGGCATAAGACAAGTCACGTTTTTGAAGTGATTTGCTGAGCTGATTAATTTTACCAAACAGGTCGGATAAAAAGTAGAGCATGAAAAAGAACTTGTATGTTGTCATACTGTTGTGAAGAGAATTAGCCACGATGTCGGTGTCACTCTGGTCGCCTAACATGTTTACAATGGAGACAACAGAACGGCGGAGATTGTCTAACCATAAAAACAGTTGTAACCATTTATGAATAAAGCTTCTAGCATTTTTAGCAGATTTCGAGTTTTGATCGGAATCGTCACGTTTACGTTTGCCCATGATGGCAGATTTGTAAAGTTCAATTTGAGACAAAGTCTTTATAACAGTCGGAGATTGTCATGATTGGATATTATTCTTTATGATTTTAATTATAAAAACAGTTTTTAATATGAAAACAAGAATAGAGAACGCCCCCCTTATTTATTGGACAACTCAGCTTGGTATACCCAAGCGAAGCTATTCTCGGTGTTTTTCCTATATATTTTAGTAAATTTTCCCCTTGAGAGTACCCCAGTATTTAACACGATGTACAGTGTTAAATAAAATAATATATATCATACTTATTCATTTATAAATATCCTTATTTGAAGAATAACTTTTAAATATCAGGATACTGTTTTAAACTGGATGCTCATTTAAAATAATATCTATAAATCGTAATTAAATAGGATGTTGTTCCATACACGCTTACATGTTTGACCTCGTTTACCTGATTACCTTTATGTACATTGTTATGCATCATTAATTCTATTGATAAAGACAAGCTAAGGACACCTCATCAAAGGTAACAAACCTGTAATCAGTGAATGATTTATGGCTTCAATATAACTTATTGAAGGGATAATTGTTTGACAGCTTGTTGTTATTTAAATAAAAGAAAACGTGTTTTTTCTACTTTTTATTGATGTACACAAGCTAAAGACCAAGCCGTACATTTATGTACCCAGAGGATTAGACTAACTGAGACACTTCAAAGTATCTGAAATATGCTGCTTCTGTTTTATTAAACCCAATTATGACCGAAATATCTTTGTGAAATAGATTGCCACAATTATAAACTAAAATGCCCAAACGGACATGCCCAAAGCCCCAAACGGACATTTTTATCGATCGATAGTTGGTAAAAATTGAAATGACCGTTTCATGAAAATGCCTTGAATAACAAAATGTGGCACACCAATTCTATTTGACCGTTTGAGGCTGAGAGCAGCCGGTCATTTTATGAATGTTTCGGTCAAGTCCGGAATATATGACCGTTTTGGAAGCCCTGGGTCATTGTACTAATTTGTAACAGTCTGAAATGAATTTATCATATAGTTTATGTGAAAATCATTCTTTGGTAGAACTTATGGGTAAAACAAAAACGCCAATATGAAATAAAAGTCTGAGTTTCATAACAATGTGATTAGGTATTAATGTTTGCACAACTCATTTCCATGGAGATTATATCACGGTGTAGAATGGTAACGGACTTATCGGGATTTTTTCGGCGTTTCCGCACTAATCGGGTTCGGCAACGGACTTATCGCGTATTTACCAGTATATACCGCCCCGGACAATACTCCCCAAGTGGTCAATACTGGCAAATACTGGTCGATTGAAATTTTCATGGTAGTTTTTACTATTTATTGAAGTAAAAAAATGATAAAAAGTAAGGTAAATTTAAACTTTTATATTTTGGCATGTTTCAGATGATAAAAATGAATGAATTTGATAAGTTTTATTAATTTTTAACACTTTTACCTACTAATTTAGTCCTTATAAGTTATGATATTGCATATTTTAGATATATATAAAGAATTGAAAAATTAATTATTACAACATTTTTCAATCAAGATATTTTTTATTGAAAATGCATAATTTTTACAGGTACATAAAACTATATATAGGTAAATGAAGTTACAGGTGTCTTATTACCTTTCACCTGGCGTTGCTAGGTGTGATAATTTAATTACTATAAAAACAACAGCCCCCAATAAATGATGGCAAAACATGGTTGAAAGTAATAAAAGTGATATTTGAAGACTCACTTAAACAATAAAATATTTCCTGTCTATTAAATGTGAGACAAAAATCATCTTTATGCAGGAAATGAAAGGTATCAAGGACCTTTACTCTTATGGCTGAACTGTAATTTATGTTTTAAACCAAAAAATATATAATGTAGTATAGATTTTACCTTTACATAATCAATTTTTACATACACATAGTACAACCATCTTGACCTTAAGCACCAAACTGAAACCTGAAGACCCTATTTGGAACTTCTATACAATATAAGACAACAACAAATCAGTGCAAAATGTAATGATTGCAATGCTATAGTCAGTGCAAAAGCCACCTGATGAGTTTCCTTGCCAGGGACGAAACATTTTTATCTTATGTACTATTATAACTAATAAATCATTGTAAATCACTGTTTATTAAGAATTTACAATAAAATTAGAAATGAGAACATTTAAAATGACTATTACACTTTCATTATTTCATTACTAAAAGTAATTGACCAGGTAGAGAGTGGTTTTTATAGTAATGTCCACTCAAAATTTCAATCGACCAGTATTTGCCAGTATTCGCCAGTATTTCCCGGTATTTACCGATATTTACCACCGTCATGGTCAATACTAGTATTGACCGCTTTTTTGCCAACCTTCAGTATTTGGTATACAGTTGTAATAGCATTGGCATTTCTCGTTTCCAGGGAGGTTATTTGACCCTACACCCTCAGTCATGGTTCATTGACTTTGAATATTTTGTATAGTTTGCATGTTAAAGTATTGCTTTTTTAATTTCAACATTTGTATCATACTATCAAAATTGCATAAAGGTGAGACAGGTCTAGCTGTGTTAACAGTTTATTTTCATTTTTATAAACGATTGAACTATTTGTAAAGAAAATCAGTAAAAATCATGAAATTGTTTTCTGACAAATTAATTTGTACTGCATCATAAAAAATAACTTCAAGTAGATAGAGGAAAACATGACAAACCAAAATTCTTTTGAACATTTTAACTGTTATAACGTAAACATATGTAAATCTCTGTCACTGTGGAGGGGCCTCGGTGGCCGAGTGGTCTAAGTAGTTACTACTGTAATCACTAGCCAACTACTGTAATCACTAGCCAGTCAACACTGAGGTTGTGAGTTCGAACCCTGCTCGTGCGGGTGCACTCGACTCCAATCTTAATTGACTAGGATTGTCAGTTTTCCTATCGAAGGTCGTGGTTTTCTCCGGGCACTCTGGCTTCCTCCACCAATAAAAACTGGCCGCCACGAAATAGCCCAAAAGCGATGCTTAAAAGTGGCGTTTAAACACCAAAAATCAAATCAAATCAAATCTGTCACTGTGGTCTTTCTTTTTTAGATTGAAGATTACATATTCAAAGAAGAAAAGGATGTTCCATTATTTGTTATAGGGGAGGCAGGTATAGGAAAGTCTTCTGTGATGTGTAAAGCAGCTTATACTATTTACAACAATCTTGGACATATACCCTGGTAATTGATTCTTGTAATACATAACTTTCAATTGCTACTTCCAGAAGAAATTATTCAACTCCTTAACTTGGATGGATTTTTCATAGCACCAATATGATATAATCAGTTCTGAACAGATATATCATGTGCATGGGACCGTAAAAAGTTTCCATTCTATGTTTATATTGTAGATGTGTCCTTACTTACTATACAGTTCCACAAATTTAATTTTTAATCTATACAAAGTCAAAGAAAAAGCCCTAAAAAGTAAGTAATGGACTCCTTCTGTAAAATAATTTTCTCATCTTCAAGCATAGTCTTTGATCTTGTTTTATGTAATATTTTCAGCCCTGGAGGTAAATCTTGGACTTTGTTTTTCCATTTTGTTGGTGCTATTCCTGGTTCTTGTTGTTTAGAGACTATGTTGAAGAGATTGTTAAAAGAAGCAGACCTAGTAAATGTAAGTATTTATTGTACTCATTTTCATTTATGTACACCTTTTATAACAGTATAATTTTTGGCACTTGGCATATATATACATACTGAAGTAAAAACTCAAACTAAAAACATTGTTTCAATAAGATTTGTTCCTTTAAAAAAGAGAGAAATTAATAAAGAAATCTATGTTAGATATAGATATTTGTCTCATATCAACACAGCTGGTTTTTGTTTTTGCTGTAATGAATGGCAGTGATGGCAATGATGGTGGAAGTGGCCTTTACATGTCTTATAATGATTTTTATACTGTAACCTCAGTGTTTTTAGCAGTCAAGTATTACTTTTGTAATATACAGTCATTAACCATTTGAAGCCTTGTATGTGACGTTAACCATATGTTTGCTCAGAATTTATTGGTTGAGTTTATGTGGAAATACAAGTTCACAATATTTTGACACTGTATTTTTCAATTAAAAAAATCTGAGTTTTCAAGAGGAAAAAAAGAATTCGTAGGGTTGAATAAACCTAAACTGCCTGGGATAAAAAAAAAGAATTTTTGCACTCTACACAAAACAGGAAAAAAATGTTCAGTAATCCTCACATTCCTTCCATTTTTTTAAACTGACTTCTGATACAGGAATGATTAAAAAATATATTTATTTCTTAGTGAAGCAGCTGTGGAAATAACCACTGCACAATAAATGCACTGTGTGCAGGCAAAAGATTGTTTTTTATGTTGTAATTTATATTGCACTTTTATAGGAAAGCTGGAAACATTCTGCAAAATTGTTAATTTCAGTTAAAGAATAAATTTTCAGGGGTAGGAGGGGGCTTATGTCTGATGGGATAGGTAGCTGTAAGACACAACAAAAGTGTTTATGGACAATATTGATTCTTTCCTAAACTACATGTATCAGTTTGTTAATCTTTGTTATTTTCATTTCAATTTGATTGCCTAAAATATCTTGTATGCAGTTCATTGAATGAATGACCAGTTTTATAAATTATCTTTTTTGTTTCAGGACTCCAGCATTCCAAGAGGTGTGGAGGCAACTGCCCAGTCTTGTTGTAGTATGTTAGCTAACCCCAGTATTAAGCCTATTATTATATTTATAGATGGTTTAAATCAGGTGAGATACTTTTCTTATAATCAAGTGTAATTTCTCACACGAATGTTTACATTTTGGACATTTTCACAGATTTTATGAGCTTTAAATACTTTTACTTGTCAATTGCATGTAAGTACCAGGGAAAATGATAAGCAGGGCCCAATAACCAAGGCTACTTGATTTTGAACTGGTCCTTAGATTATAGCTGAAAATTCCATAGTCCTGATTTTAATCTTTCATATTGTGGCAGATTGTTGAAAAACAGGTCACATTCACTTTGACTTTGACAGGATATTTTTATGCCAGATGCTATGACTTCTAAAAAAAATAATCCTAAACTATGAAATTACTGGTATTAATAAATATTGTTTTGTCTCTCCCGCAAGACATAATTAAGGTTGCTAATCAGGTGGCAGGAACATTAACTATTTGTACAAAGCTTTATAGTTCAGAAGGTAGAAGATCTGGATGCTCCATACCTTCTATACAGATGCCTTATGTTCTGATGTTATAGTCTGTAAATGTCAATTGTCATTGACTGCATTTTCATTGTTCAGCGTCTGCTTAAAAAACTGTATTTTTCACATGGATTTTTCACCTATATGAATAATAGGATAACTATATTTTTCAAGATCTACATGTCCGTCAGACAGAGTTCATTTGACCTTGACCTCATTTTATGTATCAGTAATCAAGGTTTAGTTTTTCACGATCAAGTCCATATCTCAGATATTATAAGAAATAGGTTAATTATATTTGTTGTATGAATGATTGTAAGATGAACATGCCTATCTGGCAGGGTTCATTTGACCTTTACCTTATTTTCATGGTTCATTGGTAAACATTTAGTTTTAGTGGTTATGTGCATATCTCAGATACTGTAAGCAGCAGATTAACTATATTTGGTGTATGGAGTCATTGTAAGGTGTACATGTCTATCTGACAAGGTTCATCTGACCCTGACATCATTTTCATTGTCCATAAGTCAGTGTTAAATTTTGGTGGTTAGGATAGTTTCTCAGATACTATAAGCAATAGGTCAACTATAATTGTATGGTGTATGGAATGATTGTAAGGTATGTGTGTCTGTCTTGCAGGGTCCATCTGACTGACCTTATACTCATGATAAATTTTCCTTGTTAGGTCCACTTCTCTGATACTATAAGCAAATGGTCAACTATATATAGTGTATGGAACAATTGCTAGGTGTACATATCCATCTGGTAGGATTCCTCTAACCTTGACCTCCTTGGTCAATGTTAAGTGGTTAGGCCCGTTCCTCTGTACTTTACATCTACCTTCACCTCATTTTCATGGTTCATTGGTTAATGTTTAGTTTTTATACGACTGCAAAAAATTTGTATATTGGTATGACGTCGGCATCGTCGTCGTCGTCCAAAAACACATTGGTTTTGTGAATGGATCTCTATGAAATTTTATCATAAGGTTCAATACCACAAAAGGAAGGTTGGGATTGATTTTGGGGGTTATGGTACCAACAGTTAAGGAATTATGGGCCAAAAAGGGGCCAAAAATAAGCATTTTTGTAACTTGTGTGTTAGTGTATGGATCTCTCTGACATTGTACCACAAGGTTCCATATCGCAAAGGAAATGCTGAGATTGATTTTGGGGGTAAAATGCCTAAAAATTTTAGGAATAAGGGGCCAAAAAAGGGGCAAAAAACAAGCATTTTTCTAGTTTCATGACAATAACTTTTGTGTAAGTGAATGGATCTTTCTGAAATTGTACTACAAGGTTCCATATCACAAAGGGAAAGCTGGGTTTGAGTTTGGGGGTAATTGCCCTACACGTTAAGAATTTGGGGGCAAAAAAACAAGAATTTTTCTAGTTTCCAGACAATAACTTGTGTTCAAGTGTATGGATCTCTCTGAAATTGTACTGCAAGGTACCATACCACAAAGGGAAGGCTGGGATTGAGTTTGGGGGTGATGAATCATAAGGGGGTTCAAAAAATTTGGGGGGGGGGGGGTTTTCCCCTTTTTTTCTTTTTTTTCTTTAAAATTTTCCAATTTAAATTGGTTATTTCTGATTTATATATGAAAGCAAATAATAATGATATGGTTTGAATAGGTAAATTAAAGATTTTTAAGTTCTTAGACCACATTCATTCTGTGTCAGAAACCTGTGCTGTGTCAAATATTTAATCACAATCCAAATTCAGTGCTGTATCAAGCTTGAAATACTATAAGCAAAAAGTAAAATAACAAAAATACTGAACTCCAAGGAAAATTTAAATCGGAAAGTCCCTTATAAAATGGCAAAATCAAAAGCTCAAACACATAACACAAATGAAAAACAACTGTCATATTCCTGATTTGGAACAAGCATTTACTTATGTAGCAAAGGGTAAACTTTATTTGGTGTACAGAAGGATTGTAAAGTGAACATGCCCTTGGCAGGGTTTATATATCATTTACATGGATCATTGATAATGTATAGTTTATGTGATACTAAAGTAAAACCTTTATCATAAAGACTTTCAACATTAATTCAATCATGATTTGTATTGCTTTCAAGACATGTCAGCATGTGCACTCTTGTTTAGATAAAATAATGAATAGATTTTCTCTTTTTTTATATAGTTTTCTGATGATCAAGCCTCAAAAGTAATGAGTTGGTTACCTAGGAAACTAGCTCCACATGTTAGATGTATATTTTCCTCTGTTATGGACTCACATCAGTACAAAACAGTGATCAGTAGAGAATCAAAGCCTATAGAGTTACCATTAGAACCTCTAGACAGACAGTCTCGCAGTGTAAGTAAAAGTTTACAATATCCATCAATTGTTTATGGTTAGAATTCTCGACAAACAAGTAAAACATACATTACTTCAGCCAACATGGTCTACAGTTAGAACCTCCAAATGAACAGTCATGCAGTGTAAGTCAAACTTAGGTTTATAATATCCATCAATGGTTTATGGTTATTACCTCTTGACAAACAAGTAAAACACACGAAACTTCAGCCAACATAGTCTATAGTTAGAACCTCTCATTGAATAATCTTGCAGTGTAAGTAATACAAATGCTTACTACAGCCATCAGTTGTTTAATTTTGTAAAGGTTTTGAATTGCTTGAACTAAAATAAGATTATACATTGAACAACAAATTATATTAGTGGGCGTACAATTAGAATGGACTACTGTAAATTCAGAAATTATTGCGATGTTTTTATTATTGCGAAAAACAGGGTTATAATCGCAATAATTTAAACTCACATTTTGAAATTTTTTATATGAATTAAACAGGATTTTTCTCAATATCGCAAAAATTAAAATCGCATTTTAGTCTAAAATGACAAAATCGCAATAATAAATGCACGCAATAATTTCTGAATTTACAGTATATAATGCTGTCAAACAAATTATGATAAAGTGCAAAGATACCAAAGGGGCTCTAAAATATTCAGTTGTTGATAAGGCTTCATATGTATATCATCTTAATAATGTGTAGAAGGCCTCATATTTTACTGCCTGTCCGAAGTCAGGAACATCATCAGTATTTGGCCAGTGTCATATCTTTATGTTAATGTTATTTGGTTAACTTGGTGCTAGTGGCTGAACTTTTTGATAGTTTCCATTATTTATCAACACATTTTTCTAATCTCTGGACAATTTGGGCTTGACATTGTATAGACAACTGTTTACTGCTGAAGATTCAATGTTGACCTTTAAATGACTTTTGGTTATTTACTTATAAGCTGTCTTGCCCAACATTTTATTTTATTCACATTTATCCGATAGTCATTCATGAGATATTATAAGGTATATTTTATATCAGTTACTTTGCTTATTCCAATGGTTTTTACCCTTTACAATATCAGTTTGAACAGTTTTTCCAAGTTGCAAGTTCTGGGATGAAAAAGATTCGTATTGATTTTGAGGTCACTAAATCTTAATGGACTTGCAAGTGCTAGAGTACTGGTGCTTTTTAGTCCCCTACTGACGAAGTCAAAGGGGACTTTAGGTTTCCACTCTGTCTGTCTGTCCGTCAGTCCGGCAAATCAGTTTTCCACACTTTTTTTCTTCATGCTTGAAGATATTGGTTTGATATTTGGTGTATTGTTTTATCATGACAAGTTACAGGACAAGTTTAATTTTCACGATTTTAGCTTTTCTCTTTGTTCAGTAAAAGCCTTTTCCCTAGAATTAAATTTTTGATGAAATACTTATTAATTAGTAGTTTTCTATTCAAAGGAAAATAACTCATTTTTTAAAAGGCAAAATAACATTTTGAACTTTTTTCCTTTTCTTTGGTAAATTGTTTAAAGAAAATAGTGGTAAGTTTGTTTGTCATTCTTGAAGATATTGATTTGATAATTAGTATATAGTTTTATCATGACAAGTTACAGATCAAGTTGGAAGTTTGTTCCGGTCTGATGATTTTGTGCAGAGTTATGGTCTATGGACATAGAAAATTCATTTAAATAATCAGTTTTCAACAGTTTTTTTCGTCATGCTTGAAGATTTTGACTTGATATTTTTATGTAGTTTACACCATGACAAGTTATAGATCAAGTTAGAATTTCGTTCCATTACAATGAATTTTAAACCGGTAGGGGACTATGTATTGCCATGCAATACTCACAGAATGCTTGTTGTTTTTATTTTGAAAACTTTTTAATCGCCAAAAATAGAACATAGTGGTAGAATACAAGAACAATTTCTTATCTTGTAAATCATAAAGTGTGAAATCTGACAGAATCTTTCAGTATTTCAAGATATACCTACTATCTATATGTACCAAAATTATCAGATGACTTTTTATGGAATTTGTTGTTCTTAAATGATAATTATGCCCCTGCCGTAGCGAAGGGGGCATTAAGTTTTACCCTTGTCCGTCTGTATGTCCGTACGTCCGTCTGTCCGTACATACGTCCTAAAATTGGTTTCCATTTTCTAACTTTAGTTTGCCTAAACACAATGCTTATTACCACAAAACACAGATCAAGTTTGAATTTTGGTGGCGTCACTTTTACCGTTCTAGAGTTATGCCCCTTTACAAATGGAAAAATTGCTTAATTTTTCGTTTCCATTCTCTAACTTTAGTTTGCCTCGACCAAATGTTATGAAACTTATAAACTATGCTTATTACCTTAAAACACAGACCAAGTTTGTATTTTGGTTGCGTCACTTTTACCGTTATACATGTATGCCCCTTTACAATTAGAAATATTGTTGAATTTTTCATTTCCATTTCTCTAACTTTAGATTACCTCAATCAAATGTTATTAGACTTATACGCAATGCTTATTACCACAAGACACAGATCAGTTTTGAATTTTTGTGGCATCACTTTTACCGTTCTAGAGTTATGCCCCTTTACAAATGGAAAAATTGCTTAATTTTTCATTTCCTTTCTCTTACTTAAGTTTGCCTCAACTAAATGCTATGAAACGTATACACAATGCTGATTACCACAAAACTCAGATCAAGTACAAATTTAGGTAGCGTCACTTTTACAGTTCTTGAGTTATGTCCCTTTATAACATTATATGCAAGCGGGGGCATCATCTGTGTCCCATGGACACATTCCCCATTTATTTTTTACAAATTTTTGTATTTTTGGTTATCAATTTGAAAGCTTTAACAGCCCTGCGATTTTTTATTTCATCTGGCGACAAAATACAGCTGCTGGCGATATTTCTGGCGCCAACATTTTCCTATGTCAAAATTTTCATTTCTTGAATGTAACGGTAATATTATCGATCTTCATTTAAATTGGTAAAAGTAAAAAATGAATTGTACGAAATTTTACCTGGTGACAAGTTTATGACTTTTTTTACAACCACAAGCTTATCACAGTTACAACAGGTGTCATAATCTGTTGTTACAGGTAATCCGTTTATCTGATAGGTCATTAATGATCACCAACATTAATTAATTCAAATAGAATTGGTCAGTCGGCATTTGTCATTTCATTATAAGAAATTTTCATATGGCAACACAATTTGCAACGTTTATCGTAGTTTCATGAAGAAAACGTAATTGACAGAAAGACGAAAACCATAATAAACTTGTTAAATAACATCGTTTTACTTGTTTTCCGTAAAAAATGGTAAACTCAGACGTAATTTGTCTTTGCTTGCCCTCACTTTTGATACGAAAGTAACAAAACAGGCCGCCATTGTTGATCCTATCTACTTCTACTGCATTCTGTGTATTATCCTGCGAAGAAAGATAAGTCAATTTTTTTTTTCCTAGTATTGAGATACCTACTCAAGATATGTCTACATACTTCTGACTTTAGAATTTATAGGTTTAGGTCTTTTGAGTTATGGGCAAAGTTAAGAAGGTCTTGGTAGCGGGATGGATAGTGTGCTAGGGTCATCATTTTCTGTATTCTTTATATTTTTTACAAATTTTCACTGTTCTATATATCTTAACACCCATTTTTCTCTTTTCTTCATTTAATTGCTCTATTTGTCTATTCTTTATTTTTTAATTTTAAAAACATTTTCTCTATTCTGTAGCATATACAGACCATAAGCTAATTATAAGGACAGGAACATTGATCAATAATCATTATATAAGTCCCATTAGTCACTGTTTGGAGACATAAACATTCAAATAAAAACATACAATATGCGGTTTTGTGGAAAATCTGCTGCTCTGTTTTAATCTTTATTGTTATATGTTTATTCGTATACTTATGAAATACTGACAAAGAAAATAAAAGTACACATGTTTTTTTCCCATGTATATAAACCCTATGCAATAACTACCTTAGTCTATCATGTTAAATGATGTACAATGCATAACAAATTTAAATTGAACATGGTTTCAATTTTGGTAGAGGAAATCAAGACTCTAGCTAGCTCTAAAGTTGGCTCCAAGTTTTCAAAACTGGCAACAAAATATAGCAGCTGGCGATTTTTCTGGCTCCAACTTTTTTAGAGAAAAAACTGTAAACAGCAAAAATGATCAGTAATAAAAATTGTTAAGAAAGACACCTTTATTAATGTAGCATAACAAATTAGCTTTAGGTATCAGATTTATACATTTTGGTATTTTAGTGTAGAACATACAGGTTAAGTTAGTTCTAATAGTAAAGACATTATAACTACAATTTCTTCTTTCAGATTTTGGCAAAAGGTTGGTGCAAGAAATTTGACAAAGAATTAACGGGTACACAGTTGGATGCATTATTGTCAAAATCCTCTTCAGAAAACCTTTTGTGGTTGTCATTAGCTTGTGAAGAGATCAAATTGGTCTGTGACCCAGACCAAATTGATAAAAAAATCAGTGACCTGCCAGAAGGTTTACCAAAGTAAGTGAAGAAAACTATCAAATGAATTGAATTGTAGAAATTTATAAGTAGTAAGAGAGGACTAGAACTGACAGACTAGGTTATGACAGAAAGACAGAAAGAATGATGATAATAGTTCAGAATCAGATAACAAAGAAAACACATGATTGGGTGACATGAACCACTATTTCATTTATAGATGACCTATGGTGTTCCAGAAGAGTGAGCTGTTCCCCTTCTTGTAGCACTTTTTATTTACTCATGTTAAAAATTTAGTAATAAGACTTGAACATGGGGAAAATACTCAATATTGCAAGATACTGAATATATCTTTGACCATCTGTTATACGCAAATATTTAAGTGCAAAAGATGCGAAATTTATATTTTTGATCAATTCATCTTTGAGCCTTTTTTTCAAAGTAAATTGTTTCAAAGGACCAGTTGTGCGTTCATGTTCATGCTGTATCTGATGTAGCCTTTTGATTATAATTTCAGTTTATTTGAATACATGTTAATGAGACTGGAGAATGAATCTGGTAGTAACCTTGTTATAGGTACTCTGTGTCTTCTTGAAGCTTCATTTGCTGGATTATATGAGCTTGAATTGCGACAGATATTAGGTCATGAAAATACATTGATGCCTCCATCACCATTTGATGAAAAAGGTATGGAATATTTAAAAACAATCATAAGTATTATTGTAAATATGTTATATTCCAAGCATGTAGATGAAACATAATGTACATGCTTTTTCATCATTTTGAGAATAATTCTATTTTTATGCCCTTATTACAATAAAAGGGGGCATCAGATTATTTCTACTTTAGAAGGTTTACATCATAAGCCAGTCTTGCCTTACAGCAAAAACCACTCATGTGTTTACAGCATAAACCACTCTTGCATTATAGCATAACTCAGTCATGTGGTACATCATAAACCATTCATGTACTACAGCATAAACCAGTCATGTGTTATATCAGAAACAAATCATGTGCAACACCATTTACACCATAAACCATATATCTGTTACTGAATTAACAAGTTATGCATTACAGCATAAACCAGTTATGTGTTACAGCATAATCTCTTCATGCATGACAAACATTAACAATTCATGCACTCCAGCATAAACCAGTCATGTGATGCAGCATAAACCCTTCATGCGAAACAAACATAAAGCAGTCATGCATTACATCTTAAACCAGTCATGTGTTACACCTTGAACTGTTCATGTGTTACAATCATAAACCAGACATTGGTTTAAGCATAAATCATTCATGTGCTACAGCATAAAACATTCATGTATTACAGGATAAATCAGGCATGCATAACAGCATAAAACAGTCATGCTTTACAGTATAAACCAGTCATGTGTAACAGAATGAACCAATAATGTGTTACAGCCATAACCATTCATGCATTTCAGCATAAACCATTCATGTGTTATAGCATAAACCAGTCATACATTACACCATAGACCATTCATAGTCTACAGCATAAACCATTCAATCATATGGAACTGAATGATGGCAGGAAAATAGTTTGATCTATGTGAAAAATTGTTATCCACAATTTTTTTTTTACTGGAGAACTGAATAGTGATCTCAAACTTTATTTCATGATATACATAATTGTATGAAAAGAATCAAAACTGATCGAAGTAACTGTTATTATACCCCCGCTTTAAAAAAGTGGGGTAATACTGTTTTACCTCTGTCTGTCCGTCAGTCCGTTTGTCCGTCCCATGAATATTTTTCGTCGTATCTTTCTCAGGAACTACATTACAAGGATTTCTGAAATTTGTTTTCAGGGTTTATATGAGTCAGCTGTACCGTGTGATGCGTTTTCAGATTCATCACTCAACAACTTCCTGTTTACCTTATACTTTTAGCAGGGCGAGGGTATCATTAGTGAGCAGTAGCTCACAGATTCACTTGTATTTAACTATTTTTAGCTGATTACAAATTTAGATTGTTATTGTACTGATTTGTATTTTAGATGAAAAAGAATCATCTGAGAAAGAAGTTATTAAAGTTATGGATCCTGTTTCATCAAGAAAATGGAATGCTATTATGAAAACATTACAGCCCTACTTACGCTATAATGGTGAAAGTAAAGATGGCAGATTGGATTTCTATCATAGAGCACTCAGTAAAGCTGTTAGGAGAAGGTAACTTAAATATATTGTCATGCTAGTATTGATTGACTATTGAAAATTATTATAGAATTCATAACAGTTTTGACATGGACACCTGGTTTTTAAATGTTATCGTGTCTGCTACTGGCTGACGGCAACAAAGACTTCACGTAATTACAGTATGTCAGGGGCCTTTCAATGTGGATGTACATGATAACTATCTTTACACATGTCCATTCATAAAATAAAAGTTTGTGACTGCAAGTTTATAGGAATTTGTTTTGAATAGATTTATATAATCACGACACAAAGTTTCTTTTGAAAGAATAAGTATATTCAGAGGTGATATCACAGCACATTTTTATTTTATTTTTCATATTACTATGCAAATGTATTCTGACTTCAAAATTCTTGTGGTATCGACCTGTTTGAAGCAAAATCTTTTCATTTTTACTATTTTTACATTTAATTTTTCTGTATATTTTTCTCATAGAATTTCTTTTGATTATTTGTGTCGCTGGGATGCTGTCATGCTCATTATAATACTGGTCCATAATATAGCTGACATCTTTAATATCATCCTGAACACGCATGAAATATTTGCCACTGGACGTAAAGCAACCAACAACCAATCAAGCAATCTCTTTTGATTATATTCTACAGTAATCAAAACCCTAGTTCTTTCCCTAAACTTTATATACCTATATAGAGTTATTTACTTTCATAACGATAGGTCTTTCTTTTGAAGAATCAACCCGGATAATACCAAGTTTCAATGGAAGTTGCTTCAAGGCATAAAATAATGACCTGTGTAAGGTCATTATTGTTCCCTGATTAAAATGCAAACAATAATTTACTTAATTCAATTCATTTGATAGTTATTGTGTGTTGTTGCCATTTGGGATTTTACTTTTTAATTTTCCGTCTGCGATAGGTTTAAGGCAGAAAATATCTTTTCCCCCGTTTATTAGACTGAAATACCAAAAGTCGTCTTGACACACATTTTAATTTTCTAAACAATAATGTGCAGTTTTGTTAATTTTTCGCTACAATAAAGGAACGTTATGTGAGATGAATTTAATAATACAAAACTTTTCAAAACTCTTTAAAAACCAGCCAAATTTTAACACATTGAGTGTGTAAGACTTTTAAAATCTCATTGATTCACACTGTATTAGAAATCATACTTTGACCAATGGATGTTCGTTTTTTTGTGTTACATCTACATCACGATTTCTTGTTCTCTTCCTGTCAGTTCTTAACTTTTTATATTTATGTATACCTTTTACTCTATCAAATGATCAATTGACAAAGTATTCTCATTTTCTATACAATAACAGTCACTTACTTTACATGGGGTGCTCAGGGGAGGAAGGGGAGATATAATATCCAATCCTGATACTCATTAAAAAAAATTGTATTGCCAGACAAAAGTAAGAAAGCAATGATAGTTCATTAAAAATTGACATAGGGATTGCTTTTCCAGCGATGACGACAGCTCTGGATCTGGCATCAACAATTGTTAACTTTTCTGCTTAAGTTAGTTTGATAGGAACTACTTGTGATAGATCAATGAAGTTTAATGACTTTTATGAGGCTGTGCCCACTATGTCATGGTCCAGTGACTTTAAATTTATTAGCTATTTTCAATGTTAAGTTTTTCTGCTTAAGTTAGTTTGATAGGATCTACTTGTGATAGATCAATGATATTTTGTATGAAGTTGCATTACTATCAGTTCATATCAGTTTAATGACTATTATGAGGCCGCCGTGCCCCCTTTTTCATGGTCCAGTGACTTTGAATTAATTAGCTATTTTCAATGTTAAATTTTTCTGCTTAAGTTATATTGATAGGAACTACTTACAATAAAAAAAGATATTTTTTATAAAGTTACATTACTGTCTGTACATCTCAGTTTGTCGACCGTTTTCAGGCCCTGCCCTCTAGATCATGGTCCATTGACTGAATTGATAAGCAATGTTGCTGTCCATCAGATTGTCTTTTTCTGAATTTTAATGCTGATAGGCGAGACATATCTCTGTGTCAACAGTTTATTTTTAGCTCACCTGGCCCAAGTGAGCTTTTCTCATCACTTGGCATTCGTCGTCATTCGTTGTCCGTCGTCCGTTAACTTTTACAAAAATCTTCTCCTCTGAAACTTCTGGGCCCAATTTAACCAAACTTAGCCACAATCATTATTGGGGTATCTAGTTTAAGAAATGTGTCTGACAACCCTACCTTCCAACCAACATAGCCGCCATGGCTAAAAATAGAACATAGGGGTAAAATGCAGTTTTTGGCTTATATCTCTGAAACTAAAGCATTTAGAGCAAATCTGACATGGGTGTAAAAATGATCATCAGGTTTAGATCTATCTGCCCTGAAATTTTCAGACAAATCAGACAACCTGTTGTTGGGTTGCTGCCCCTGAATTGGTAATTTTAAGGAAATTTTGCAGTTTTTATACGACCGCAAAAATTGAAAATTTTTTGGTCGTATATTGGTATGACGTTGGCGTCGTCGTCGTCGTCGTCGTCGTCGTCGTCGTCGTCGTCTGGCGTCGTCCGGCGTCGTCCGAAGACACATTGGTTTTCGCACTCTAACTTTAGTTTAAGTGAATGGATCTCCATGAAATTTTACCATAAGGTTCAATACCACGAAAGGAAGGTGGGGATTGATTTTGGGGGTTATGGTACCAACAGTTAAGGAATTAGGGGCCAAAAAGGGGCCAAAAATAAGCATTTTTGTAACTTCCAGACAATAACTTGTGTGTAAGTGTATGGATCTCTCTGACATTGTACCACAAGGTTCCATATCACAAAGGGAAGGCTGTAATTGATTTTGGGGGTAATTGCCTCAAAATTTTAGGAATTAGGGGCCAAAAAAGGGGCAAAAAACAAGCATTTTTCTAGTTTCATGACAATAACTTGTGTGTAAGTGTTTGGATATTTCTGAAATTGTACTACAAGGTTCCATATCACAAAGGGAAAGCTGGAATTGAGTTTGGGGGTAATTGCCCGAAACGTTTAGGAATTGGGGGCCAAAAAGGGGCCAAAAATAAGCATTTTTCTAGTTTCCAGACAATAACTTGTGTTCAAGTGTATGGATCTCTCTGAAATTGTACTGCAAGGTACCATACCACAAAGGGAAGGCTGGGATTGAGTTTGGGGGTGATGAATCATAAGTGGGTTCAAAAAGTTTGGGGGGGGGGATTTTTTTTTTTCTTTTAAAATTTTCCATTTTAAGTTGGTTATTTCTCGTTAATATTTAAAAGCAAATAATAATGATATGGTAGGAGATACACACCAAACAGGATGTGTAAATTATTATATAATAAGTATTGTGCAATAGCAAGAAATTTTCAATTGCACAGTATTGCACAATTGCAAGAAATCTTCAATTGCACAGTATTGCGCAATAGCAAGAAATCTTCAATTGCACAGTATTGCGCAATAGCAAGAAATCTTCAATTGCACAGTATTGCGCAATAGCAAGAAATATCCAATAGCACAATATTGCGCAATAGCAAGAAATTGTCAATTGTACAGTATTGCACAATAGCAAGAAATATTCAATTGCACAGTATTGTGCAAAAGAAGATACTTCGTATAAATTGCTTATTTCTTGATCAATTTCAATGGGGTTTTATTCTTGAATTCTTGGGGTTCTTTAATATGCTGAATCTAACCGTGTATTAAGTTTTTGGATTTTGGGCCCCGTTTTTAAATTGGTCCACATTGAGGTCCAAAGGGTCCAAAATTTAACTTTGTTTGATTTCATCAAAAATTGAATTATTGGGATTCTTTGATATGCCGAATCTAACCGTGTATTTAGATTCTTAATTTTTGGTTCCGTTTTCAAATTGGTCTACATTAAGGTCAAAAGGGTCCAAAATTAAACTTAGTTTGATTTTAACAAAAATTGAATTTTTAGGGTACTTTGATATGCTGAATCTAAACATGTATTTAGATTTTTGATTATGGGCCCAGTTTTCAAGTTGGTCCAAATCGGGGTCCAAAATTAAACTTTGTTTGATTTCAACAAAAATTGAATATATGGGGTTCTTTGATATGCTGAATCTAACCATGTATTTAGATTTTTGATTTTTGGGCCCCGTTATCAACTTTGTCCACATTGAGGTCAAAAGGGTCCAAAATTAAACTTTGTTTGATTTCATCAAAAATTGAATTCTTGGGGTTCTTTGATATGCTGAATCTAACCATGTATTTAGATTTTTTATTTGTGGACCCGCTATCAAATTGGTTCATATTGAGGTCAAAAGGGTCCAAAATTAAACTTTGTTTGATTTCATCAAAAATTGAATTATTGGGGTTCTTTGATATGCCAAATCTAACCGTGTATTGAGATTTTTAATTTTGGGTCCCGTTTTTAAATTGGTCCACATTAAGGTCCAAAGGGTCCAAAATTAAACTTAGTTTGATTTTAACAAAAATTGAATTCTTGGGGTTCTTTGATATGCTGAATCTAAACATGTGTTTAGATTTTTGATTATGGGCCCAGTTTTCAAGTTGGTCCAAGTTGGGGTCCAAAATTAAACTTTGTTTGATTTCAACAAAAATTGAATATATGGGGTTCTTTGATATGCTGAATCTAAACATGTATTTAGATTTTAGATTTTTGGCCCAGTTTTCAAGTTGGTCCAAATTGGGGTCCAAAATTAAACTTTGTTTGATTTCAACAAAAACTGAATATATGGGGTTCTTTGATATGCTGAATCTTACCATGTATTTAGATTTTTTATTTGTAGGCCCGCTATCAAATTGGTTCATATTGAGGTCAAAAGGGTCCAAAATTAAACTTTGTTTGATTTCATCAAAAATTTAATTATTGGGGTTCTTTGATATGCCAAATCTAACCGTGTATTTAGATTTTTAATTTTGTGTCCCGTTTTTTAAATTGGTCTACATTAAGGTCCAAAGGGTCCAAAATTAAACTTAGTTTGATTTTAACAAAAATTGAATTTTTGGGGTTCTTTGATATGCTGAATCTAAACATGTGTTTAGATTTTTGATTATGGGACCAGTTTTCAAGTTGGTCCAAGTTGGGGTCCAAAATTAAACTTTGTTTGATTTCAACAAAAATTGAATATATGGGGTTCTTTGATATGCTGAATCTAAACATGTATTTAGATTTTAGATTTTTGGCCCAGTTTTCAAGTTGGTCCAAATTGGGGTCCAAAATTAAACTTTGTTTGATTTCAACAAAAATTGAATATATGGGGTTCTTTGATATGCTGAATCTTACCATGTATTTAGATTTTTTATTTTGTGGGCCTGCTATCAAATTGGTTCATATTGAGGTCAAAAGGGTCCAAAATTAAACTTTGTTTGATTTCATCAAAAATTGAATTATTGGGGTTCTTTGATATGCCAAATCTAACCGTGTTTTTAGATTTTTAATTTTGGGTCCCGTTTTTTAAATTGGTCTACATTAAGGTCCAAAGGGTCCAAAATTAAACTTAGTTTGATTTTAACAAAAATTGAATTCTTGGGGTACTTTGATATGCTGAATCTAAACATGTGTTTAGATTTTTGATTATTGGACCAGTTTTCAAGTTTGTTCAAGTTGGGGTCCAAAATTAAACTTTGTTTGATTTCAACAAAAATTGAATATATGGGGTTCTTTGATATGCTGAATCTAACCATGTATTTTGATTTTGGACATTGGACCATAATAGGTAAATTAAAAAAATTGAAGTTCTTAGACCACATTCTTTCTGTGTCAGAAACCTATGCTGTGTCAAATATTTAATCACAATCCAAATTCAGAGCTGTATCAAGCTTGAATGTTGTGTCCATACTTGCCCCAACTGTTCAGGGTTCGACCTCTGCGGTCGTATCAAGCTGCGCCCAGCGAAGCATTTTATTGGTTATTATCTTAAATATTATTATAGATAGAGATAAACTGTAAACAGCAATAACGGTCAGCAAATTACGATTTACAAATAAGACAATATGACCAAAATTGTCAATTGACCCCTTAAGGAGTTATTGCCCTTTATAGTCAATTTTTAACAATTTTTCCTAAATTTTTGTAATCTCTTTACAAAAATCTTCTCCACTTAATCTACTGGGCCAAATAGAATTAAACCTGGCCACAATTTTCAATAGGGTATCTGGATTGAAAAATGTATCCGATGACCCTGCCATCCAAAAAACATGGCCGTCATGGCTAAAAATAGAACATAGGGGTTTACTATAGAAGTCTATGGGAAAATTGTAAAAAAACAATTTCAAATGGTCACAACTTGAAAACTAATTTAGATAATGATAAGGGGTCTTCAGTAACTATTGTAGGACTACAATGGGATGACCTGCTTTTAATTTAACTACAGGGCCAAATTAAACCAAACTTGGCCTCAATCATATATTAGGGTATCTTATACTATTTATTATGATTTTAACCTTATTTTACGTGATTTCCAAAACCTCAGTAGATACAGGTGAGTGACACAGGCTCTTAAGAGCCTCTATTTTATTGTAACTGGTAAATGATTTCAGAAAAGAATATCCCATTTTAGTTTGATCGGTAGAATAGGATGCAAATCTTTGCAGATAAATACTGTAAATTCAGAAATTATTGCGAGGTTTTTATTATTGCGACAAATGCGACAGAGTTGTAAACGCAATAATTTAAACTGTATTTTAAAATATTTTATATGAACTAAACAGGATTTTTCTCAAAATCGTAAAAATTAAAATCGCATTTAAGTCTAAAATGACAAAATCGCAATAATAAATGCACGCAATAATTTCTGAATTTACAGTAGTATTTTTTGACGGTATATAAGTCAGATAATGCATATATTAAGGTTTTTCTTGTCGTATAACACACCTAGGGGTGTCAGGATTTCCTAAGAAAGACTGACCAGAGAAAGACCTCCATTTGGTCGGTCTTTCATTTGATCAATCCAGACACCCCTCGGTGTGTTGTAGGACAAGAAAAACCTTAAAATATGCAGTATCTATAAATTATAGTTATTACTACAACGTAACACATTCAAAATTAGGAACCTCGATTTATGTTCAATCAAAACATCAATATGTTTTTTTTTATTATTTAAGTTTTTTGCACACTAACGATTGGATTCATATGCTTCTTGAATGATATTTCCATGAGTAAAATTTTGTTAGCATGATATTTAAATGGCCAGGAAAATGTAATCATTGGAATTGTCTCTATGTTCCGTTCAAAAAATTATCTAGACCAGGGGACTGAAATGATTTTTGTGATTACAGGATCAGGGTTCTTATTACTAATAAAAATTTAAGAAGAAAATTGAGAGTAGGTTTCTCTAATGTTAAACTTGTACGAATAGATTTTTTCGTATTTTTTTTAAATGACTAATGAACCATAAAAAAAGTTTTGTGCAAGAAAAAATATATCTTTTTTTCCTGATTACATGATGATATGACCTCTGAATATAATATTTCAAATTAAACTGTTTTGGTGTGATTATATAGATCATATTAAAAAAAAAATTTATAAATTTTTATGTAAAAACTTTTATTTTATGAAAGATAGTAATTATGTACCACCTTATTAAGAGGCCACTGGCATATTATAATTGCGTGAAATCTTTGTTGTCCACAGCCAGTGACACACACTTTAACATTTAAATAACATGTGTCCATGTCCATGCTGTTATGAACTTCATTCTATATATTTTACTCTAAATGAATTTATATTTTTCTAATTTTCATCCTAATTTTGATTAAAAACATGATTACCACAGATGATTTATTGAGTGTTTTCTTATTTCTATGTAAGATAGATCGAAGAAATAAGGCTTCTTAAGACTGTCTAGCTAACTGACTAAGTGACACTGCTGAATTGTTTAAAATTGCAGTTGAAATTATTACTCAGGGTCACAAGATTTGCAGGTTGTTTTTGAGCTTTGAACAGTATTTGATAAAAGATAACTACATTATTCCGACTTTCTCCACTTCTGTGAGAAATCCAATATAATTTGCCATTTTATATTCTTATTCTAAAAGCTTGCTAGTAAATTTGTAAAAATATATGAGTGACTACTACTAGGGCTTTAGTGTAGACAGCTTTGAATGATCTATGCATATTGATTATTGTTGATGACTTGGTGATTGTTTCATTATATTTACACATCAGTCTTGTACTTTGGGATTGTTTTTATACACAATTGTTTCTGTAGGTATTTTGTGAAGTCTGAAGATAAAGGAGCAGCTGAAGAGCATTCAGAGGAATACTATTGGTGGCATAAAAAGTTGGCTGAATCATTTGAACATTCCCAAAATGATGAAAGATTTGTTGAGGTATTGTGACTTTTTAATTAAACTTAAAAGCTAAATCAGTAGTCCTTATAAACTAATTGCTCAACTGTTCAAATAAATTTGGCATTCAAAAAGAAAGAAAGAAAAACACCAGTGATTTTAGCATACATCAGTTGTCGTAGTAATAATAGATTGTAAGTGGCAGACACTGCCAAAAATCTTGTTTTGCATCTTAATTACCAGCCATGCATACCCCAGGTATCTCCATGACCTGTTTTATGATGGCACATCGCCATCGTTAAATTATCTTCCGCCATCGTCAAATGATCTTTGCTATTGTTAAATTATCTTCCACCATCGTCAGATGATCCCTGCTATTGTTAAATAACTACACTGGGATTGAAAGGTGTAGTCAAAAATTTTTTCGTTTCGCTAACCGCTCCCATTTTTGTTAGCAATTATGATTAATTTTATGTAACTGCATAACCCTTATTGTATTATAATCCAAAAGGTCCTCCTGATAACTGTTTTAAAGCCCTGAGGGATATCAAACTAACTAGCGCTTATCACTTGTACAGGTAGATCAACACACCTGACAAGAGAACACTTGATCAAGAGAAACGATAAGAGCTATTTTCCTAATGCTTGTATTTAAAAGGTATGGTTGGCTTGCTTGCTTTGTTTGTATAAATGTTTGTTCAAGCATTATAATTAAGATTGACATCTGCAATCAATAGATAGGTGGGGCTTAGCTTGAATACATTATACTTAACATCCAATAACATTTAAATATAATGTATACAAGCTGAAGCCCCACCTATCTATTGATTGCAGATGTCAATCTTAATTACAATGCTTGAGCAAACAATTATACAAACAAACAAAGCAAGCAAGCCAACCTAAACTACAAGCATTAGGAAAATAGCTCTAATTGCATAATTTAATTAATTTTCAGCAAATGCTGATGAAAATTTAGATTCAAAATAAAATTTAAATTCAATCACGAAGAAAAAAGTTTAACAGGTGGAACATATGCTTTTATTGATTAACGCAATCCGAATCCCCCTTTTTAGGTCACCGGGGCCCTAAGGGACTCATGTGAGCTTATGCCATCACTTGGCGTCCGTCGGCGTCCGTCGTCTGTCGTCGTCGTCTGTCGTCGTAAACTATTTTAAAAATCTTCTCCTCTGAAACTACTGGGCCAAATACCTTCATACTTTAACTAATGTTCCTTAGGGTATCCAGTTTATAAATTGTATCTGAAGTTTTGATCCATCAACAAACATGGCCGCCATGGCTAAAAATAGAACATAGGGGTCAAATGCAGTTTTTGGCTTATATCTCAAAAACTAAAGCTTTTAGAGCAAATCTGACATGGGGTAAAATTGTTCAATTGGACAAGATCTATCAGCTCTGAAATTTTCAGACGAATCTAACAACCCATTGTTGGGTTGCTGCCACCGAATAGGTAGTTTTAACAAAATTTTGCAGTTTTTAGCTTTTCTCATCACTTGGCGTCCGTCGTCCGTCGTCGTCGTTAGCTTTTTACAAAAATCTTCTCCTCTAAAACCATTGGGTCAAATTTAACCAAACTTGGCCACAATCATCATTAGGGTATCGAGTTTAAAAAATGTGTCCGATGACCCCGCCAACCTACCAAGATGGCTGCCATGGCTAAAAATAGAACATAGGGGTAAAATGTAGATTTTGGCTTATATCTCTGAAACCAAAGCATTTAGAGTAAATCTGACATGGGTAAAACTGATTATCAGGTCAAGATCTATCTGCCCTGAAATTTTCAGACAAATCTGACAACCTGTTGTTGGGTTGCTGCCTGTAAACAGCAATAACATTCAGCAAAGTAAGATCTACAAATAAGTCGTCATGACCAAAATTGTCAGTCGACCCCTTTAGGAGTTATTGCCCTATATAGTCAATTTTTAACAATCTTTCGTAAATTTTTGTTATCTTTTACAAAAATCTTCTTCTCTGAAACTACTGAGACAAATTTAACCATACTTGGCCATAATCATTATTAGGGTATCTAGTTTGAAAAATTTGTCTGGTGACCCCGCCTTCCAACCATCATGGCCGACTTGGTTAAAAATAGAACATAGGGGGTAAAATGCAGTTTTTGGTTTATATCTCTGAAACTAAAGCATTTAGAGCAAATCTTACAGGTGACAAAAAATGTTCATCAGATTGAGATTTATCTGCCTTGAAATTTTCAGACGAATCCGACAACCCGTTGTTGGGTTGCTGCCCTGAGTTAGTAATTTTACAGAAATTTTGCAGTTTTTGTTATTATCTTAGATATCATTATAATATCTAATATCTAATACTATTAATTATGATTTTAACCTTATTTTACATGATTTCAAAGCATCAGTAAATACAGGTGAGCGACACCCGCTCTTGAGAACCTCTAGTTTGTTATTATTTTGAATATTATTATAGATATATATAAACTGTAAGCAGCAATAATGTTCAGCAAAGTAAGATCTACAAAAAAGTTAATATGACCATAATTGTCAATTGACCCCTTAAGGAGTTATTGCCCTTTAAAGACAATTTTACACAAATTTGTTCATCAAGTTTGCTAACATTTAAAAATCTTCTCCTCTGAAACTACTGGGCCAATTACCTTCAAACTTTAACTAAATGTTCCTTAGGGTATCTTGTTCATAAATTTTATCCGAAGTTTGTATCCATCGACAAACATGGCTAAAAATAAAACATAAGGGTCAAATGCAGTTTTTGGCTTATATCTCAAAAACTAAATCTTTTAGAGCAAATGTGACATGGGGTAAAATTGTTTAATTGGTCAAGATCTATCGGCCCTGAAATTATCAGACGAATCGAACAACCCATTGTTGGGTTGCTGCCACCGAATTGGTAGTTTTAACAAAATTTTGCAGTTTTTTGTTATTATTATAGATATATATAAACTGTAAGCACCAATAATGTTCAGCAAAGTAAGATCTACAAAAAAGTTATTTTGACCAAAATTGTCAATTGACCCCTTTAGGAGTTATTGCCCTTTAAAGACAATTTTACACAAATTTGTTCATCAAGTTTGCTAACATTTAAAAATCTCCTCTGAAACTACTGGGCCAATTACCTTCAAACTTTAACTAAATGTTCCTTAGGGTATCTTGTTCATATCATAATTCCGAGTTCATTTTGTAGTTTACAATCAAATTTATACATCTGCTTTAAATTTTTTTTTGTTGATTTGTCGCACATATGGAATATTTTGTGGTCTGTGTATATGTGTATCTAAAACAGAATAAATAATTTACTTTTGATCAGTCCAAGCTAGAGATAAAAAAAATGATAAAAAAATGATAGAAACCTTTCGTAATTACACAATAAAAGAAAAAGATAATTTACTATGATACAGATATTGCATAGGAAAAGCATCGAATATATAGAACATTCAAATCAAGATTTAATGTTTGATGTGGTCTAAAGTAGACTTTTTCTGTAGTACTTTTTCCTGACCTTCTGTACAGTACTCTAAAGTGTATGGCCTTTGATAAAATGATTTGTTAATTACAGGAATACTTGTACCAACTAGTATGTACAGATGATACCTATAGACTGACAGAATGTTTGTGTGATTGGAGAGTATTCGATAAACTTTACCATGAAGAATATAGCTCTAAATTGCTGGAATATTGGAGAAAGGTAGGGAACAACCTGCACTGTAAATTGTAAACTGTTAAATTGTTAGAATATTGGAGAAAGTCGGATAATAAACTTTGCCATGAAAATAGTTATTGGAAATTCAGAAACTATTGTGATGTTATTATTAATGCGAAAAATGCGACAGCATCACGCTCGCAATAATAAAAATTGCATTCATAATTTCAGTAGTGATTTTCATTCACAAAATGTTTTGCAATCACATTAATCAGACCTCACAATTTTACCAGTAATGAGTAATCGCTATAATAAATGCACACATTAATTTCTGAATCAACAGTAATCTATAGAAGAATATTAGGGTGATGCTTTACCAATGAGAGCATAGCTTTAAATTGTAGAGGAACCATAGGGATATACTTATAATATCAGGGAGAGTAGTGTAGGATAGACTTAACGGTTCAACTAATGAATGGTAAAAATAAAGAGTATAGGTCTAACTTGTTACAATATTGGAGAAAAGTAGATGGTGTTCTTTCCAGTGAAGAATATAGTTAAATTTTTTTGAATATTCTAGTAAAAAAAGGTGAAAAGCTTGGCTAATATGGCTATACAGGATAAATGTGAAGCAAAACATTTAGAACTAATGAACCCTTATGGGCCTAAATAAAAAGTTAGAGGAAATGTCATGGAAGGTAATCTCTGACATGTAATATAAATTTTGATAGACAAAGGATTATGTCTTATCAATGAGCATATAACAATATATTTAAGGAATGACTGTAATATTTTTTCTGTCTATGAAGAAATAACATAAAAAATGTGGTGCACACTGAATAACCCGTGTAGCAGGTTATTTTAAAGTGTGCACCACATTTTTTATGTTATTTCGAATAGACAGAAAAAATATTACAGTCATTTCTTATAATTTAATTCTAAATTCCATTTTAAACCGAAGTAAACCATGAAAAAACGTTGATGACGTCACGGTCACATGACAAAATTATGTCTATGAGCTGATAAACAAAACAACGCGTTACATCCCAAATTAAATTATGTTGAAATATTGGTGATTGGTATGAGGTCAGCTGTACCATACTTTGTATCAAAGAATGTTAGGAAAAATTAGACACAGAAAGGAGATTTTTCTCAACAATTGTTTAAGGTAGCTGGGGTGTCTAAATGTTCGACAGTAGATTTTTCTTAAGCTTCTGTAAAAGGCTTATGGGTGTATGTACTTTACTTTTTGGTTAAAATACATTGAAATTAATGAAATCCCAGATATTTTATATGGGTTATACAGGGGAAACTTATTTTTCCTTATTGAGGAAACATTAAATGATAGAATTGGTTAAAATTCAATGAGAGAATTACTTTTCACAAATACTTCTGAAATATCAAATAAAAATAGTGGTCACAGGCTTTATTATCTTGAGAAATCAAAAAACTCAAATTGTCCTATCAAATTCAATATAATTATCTGCCCTTGATTTTAAAAGGATTTATTTTGAAAATTTTAAATACACTCAACCTTCATTTTTAGATAGTTTACTCTATAAATTTCGAGTTTTAAAGATCCTATTATTACTATATAAACAGCCAAATGCCTTAATATAATATTAATGTTTTGCAATAGTTAAGAAAGCAATTATGTGTGTTTATAGGTAGGAAGTACCCATGTTATGATAAATAAATATGGTGAAGCATTACACGGACTAGAAGCACATTCAGCACATAAGGAGGAAGCTGTATCTATAAGATATGAAAAAGTCTGCAGGGTCATGTATGTTACTTTATCTTGTTTCAAAGTTTGTGATTAACTGTACTCACAAAGATAATTATTAGAAAAAAAAACCAACAGCAACCAATAAATTTGAAACCACTAAGGAGAGACAATATCAAATTATGTACTTTGAAAATCCTAAAGATAAAAAATATTGCGCTTTTGCTGTTTTTCATGTTAAAGTAATTTTATACACTACAACAGACATAGTATGGTTTACCATTTACCAATTTGTTCGAAGAGTTACCACCATCAAGTGGTTGATGTCAATTACTCTGACCGTGAACTGTGGAATAAATGGCAGATGACACCCAATCAAAAGTAGTGTTACATATAATATTGCATTAGAGTATAGCATATATATGAAAGACCCATTGGTGGCCTTCGGCTGTTGTCTGCTCTATGGTTGGGTTTTTGTCTCTATGACACATTCCCCATTTCCATTCTCAATTTTATTACTTTGGGAACTACTGAGCAAAATGAATTCATATTTGATCTGTGGCTTGACAGTGATGAGTTGTAACTTTAAAGGACATTTTGGATCTGGCAGACACATAGTTCCTGTTTTCTGATTCTTTTCATTGTAAATTGGGGTATGCACAGCACAACAACATGTGCAACGTCTTGTTTGATAATGTAAAATATATGAAGTGATATACATGTATATTATCTAGACAAATAATTTAAAAAAAGAGATTTAGCACTAAGCTTGACTTTATTGAATATAAGAACTAATTTATTGTCAGAAATTTACTTAATTGTTCAGCAGCCAGCAATTAATCAAAACTGCAAGAAATGAATATTATAATTTATAATTATTAACATTTAAAACAACTTGTAATATGATATTGTAACAATGTTCTTCCTTGAAAATTAGGGCAGAGGGGTGCTAGATGACTGAGAGGGCACTTTATGGCAATCTTTCATATTTTAGGACACTGTTATACAATGTACATGACTTGAAATATTCCTTTATATGAATACATTAAAAAAATAGAAGATCTCAAAAACAAATTCGAAAAAATCAGCTGGAAAGGGCTAAATGGAAAAAATAAAAATAATTGTAAAACAAGTTGGTTTACATTAACTAGATCTTTTTTTGTTTACTACCAATAGAGTCCAATGTGGGAAATACCATGATGCACTAGATCTGCTAAAGACAGCCATGAAGATTGAAGAGAAGGAACTTGGAGCTCGTCCACATAGAATGGTGGAGCTTTATGCACTGATGGCTGAAATTTATGATGAGGTAATTGGAAAAGTTTATCACCAGAATCTTTGGACAGATGTTATCGGATATGAAATGGTTTAGTCTTTAACTAATAGTCAAGCTTGTTTACTTACAAATATTATTTAAAGTTTTAATGAAATCAGAGTAAAATTTTGTGGTTAATGAAAAATAGGAAGAGTGTGCAAGAAAAATTGAACAATCACAAAAGTGGTAATGATGTTTAAATTATCTTTGAATGAACTGTCTGAAATGTGGTTCAGTCATATCAACTGTAATGATTTATTTCCCTTTTACTTCTCTTTTAGTTAATGTAGAATGCTGATTCAAATTCATAAACTTATATATATTGTAATTTTCATTGATGATCAACACACAAAAATTTGATGTGAAAATCAATGGTTAGTCTATATGATAATTTTTATCTTGTAGAAATTAAAGTTAAATGATTTTGTATCTCCAAGCCAGTTACCAGATCTGAGGAAGACTATTCACTATGGAAAGAAATCAATAGCCATCAGGAAAACTCTGCCTGGCACCTACCATAAAGTAAGAAATACACAAATATCAAAATGAAAAGAAGGAGATGTGGTATGATTACCAAGGAGACACATTTACACCAAAACCGAAGTCATAAGAACTTAATGCTTTCAAACTGGTTTAACCACACCACATTTTGTATGTGCCTGTCCCAAGTCAGGAGCCTGTAATTCAGTGGTTGTCGTTTGTTGCTGTTTATCATATTTGTTTTTCGTTCATTATTTTGTACATAAATCAGGCCATTAGTTTTTTTCTTTTTATTTGTTTTATATTTGTCATCTCAGGGCCTTTTATAGCTGACTATGTGGTATGGGTTTTACTAATTGTTGAAGACCCGTATGGTGACCTATAGTTAATTTCTGTGTCATTTGGTCTCTTGTGGAGAGTTGTCTCATTGGCAATCATCTTCTTATTTTTAAAATTAAAGCAAATTTTAATTACCATATTATTTAGTAAAGGACCTTAATTCCTTAATTGCCTTCTTTTCATTTGCAATCAGCTGTTTATTATGAAGATTTCATTTCTGCTTTATCATTTAGATTGAAACTTTTGTTTCAGTTTAAACTTGGGATGAGTTTAATGAAGCTAGCAATAAACTTAGAAAGTTGTGTAACTTCTGTTTCAGTTTAAACTTGGGATGAGTTTAATGAAGCTGGCATTTAACTTAGAAAGTTGTGTAACTTCTGCTTCAGTTTAAACTTGGGAAGAGTTAAATGAAGCTAGCATTTAACTTAGAAAGTTGTGTAACTTCTGTTTCAGTTTAAACTTGGGATGAGTTTAATGAAGCTGGCATTTAACTTAGAAAGTTGGGAAGCATGTGGTGGAGGACCCGAACTGACAGGGTCATCAGCTTTAGAGGAAGGCAATAGATATATAGACAAGGCATTAAAAATATTTCAGGAGGTATGAATATAACATTTTTTGCCTTGATTACAATTGTCTGCCATTGGAAAATAGTAGTTTATTGTGTATACATGAAATTGGTTTACTCGTACTGAATTTTTTATGGTTGTTCGGAACAAAGAAACTATTGTCAAAACAATAACAAAAAATGTTTCATCTGTTTTTCTTTGATAACCCAAACCATTTTTATAATAGCTCAAAATTATGTTGTGTTTTCCTTGTGCTTTTATTATGACCATAGTTTGCAAGAATTCATTAAAATAATTTGATTTAGATGAGCATGATTTCCAAGCAACATGGCTGTGATTTATTGCACATAACAGAATAAATACACCAACATATATTTCTTTTTCTCTTCACTAACAAATGTTTTTTCTATAATTGATAAAACTGTTGTTGAGCTGCAGTGCTTTTACTTGACGCCAGTTGCCCTTGAAATTCTACATCTTCCTGACCTTCACTTACTTTTAATTCATTAGAAGTTAGTTTATGGTTAAAACTCTAACTTACAAATGTGTAACAAAATGGGTCAATAAACCATTCAATTTTGATATAAAAATTTCACTTTTCTATTGGTTTGCTTTTTAGTTCACCTCAACAAAGTAAAAGCAACCTTTAGCATAGTTTTACCTCCTTTTCACTCTGAAATTGGATTTCACTTTGATGAAACTGATATTTTGTCTGAATACACATGAAATATTTGCCACTTGACATTTACATGTAGTAATCAGCAATCATTAAATCATTCTGATTACTGTTTTTACAGTTTTTGGGGCGAAAAACAAAATTGAATGCTGTATAAGGCAAGGCTAGATTACTTATGTTTTTAATCATGTTTACCTAAAAAAAGTTTTTACACATTATTGTTTATTATATCTCTCACATTGACCATAGAAAACTGAAAAAAATCAAGCTACCAAATAGTCACCAGTCTCTAACCTTACCATAAATATTTTACTTCAATATAAACAAGGTGTCAAAACAAAATAAAGAAAGTGGGGTAACTTTTACTGTAGAAACTGATTCACTAAAGGATGAAATTAGAAAGTGTCTATGTTTTTCAGTTAAATGATATGGGACATTACGCAGAAGCTTTAATGACTAAAGGTGTTCTTGCTAAGAGAGGAAGTATGGAACAGTTGAAGGTAAATCTCTATAAAATATAGCAATCCTTTTTATACAACTCATAATCAACTTCAAGGCAGAATTTTTGCAGTTTTACATACTTATCTTCTAATTATTTCCATGAATTTCGATAAAAATAACTGAATTGCAGAGGTGTTTTTCTGAATAGTTAGCCCAGTATGTCAGTATATGCAATTTGTCTTTTTCACATTTATAGCTTTTATGTGCTTCAAAATTTTGATTTTAGCCATGGACAAGGATTGTGGATGCTGATAATGATACATGTAGATAGAAAAGCAATTAAGATGTGGTTTACAATTTTGGGCCTTCAATAAAAAAACTTGTTCAAAGTATTTTTTTGATTTGTCTAAGGTATTTCATCTAAAACTTGCATACAGTTTGACATTTTAACTCTTTTAAGCAGTTTCTAGCCCTTTGCTAAGATATTTTTTCTCTGTTAAATCCCAATACAATGAATTACATATAGCAGTTTTTGTTTTCCTTCTTTTTCAGTTGTATAATGAAGCAATGGACTTGTGTATGCAAATGTATGGAGAATATCATATTTTGATGTCAAGACTTTATATAAATATAGGTATTGTTTACGAGGATAACTGTGATTATAAAAAAGCTTATGAATATTTCAAGAAATGGGCTAGAATAAGTGAGGAAATTCTAGGACCTGATCATCCAAAGACAAAGCGTGCTAGAGGTGTGCTTAGAGAAAGTAGATACCAAAATATTGCTAGGAATTTAGATGAATGGGAAAGAACTGGCCATGATTCCTCACCTGGGGAAGAAAATGCTGATGAAACAGAAAGACGAGATTTAGAAAATTTTTACGATGATTCTTCTGACCAGAATGATATCAATTTAGTGGTCAGTGACTGTAACCAGAATCTTGTTTCTCTTGGCAATTTGCCAAATAATGAACAAGATGCATTACATAGTGAAGAGGAAGTGTCAAATGGTTATTTTGAGGAAGCATCTTCACATGATGGTAGTAGCAGTAGTAGTGACAATGAAAGTGAGAACTCCGATCATGAAAATTTGTATGACGATTGTTTAGACGAGTATGCCGAACAGTATGCAATGATTAACCCAATAGATGACAATTTAATGAATGAATTAAATATTAATATAGATGATAATGACGATGTAGATGATGAAATTGAACAAATTACTTCACGTGAAAATTACGATAATGAAGCAGAGATGGACAATAGATATGCAATTTATGCTGGTGATAACAATAGTGAAAATGAATCTGATAATTGTTCTAATACCAGGCAGAGAGTAAACCAGTTATGATTATTAGTTTGTCTTAATAAAATTAAGGTGGTCTATTTAACTATCCTCTGCATTTATTCCTGTTTTCTCTACATACACATCCAAACATAAGTAACAGGGTCATTTTGTTTTGCATGTAAATGTGACATTGTACTTAAGTTTTGTTACATTTAAAAAACCAATCAAAACCAAATTTTTCTTAAATTTTGATTAAATAAGGTAAAGTTTTACATCAAAGTCTAAATGTGTATTGGGTATAGAGATGCACCAGGTATGGATGTCAACATGCATATATAAGTAAACTAGTCTTTTGTTTACTAGTAAATGTTTGCTTCAAAATATTAAGCATCTTAAATCATTGAAAATTTAATCTACATCAACCTGAAATAGTAGTAAAATGTACTTGGAAATAATGAGTAGGTTTAAGGTTTCTCTGACCTACTTTTTATGCATCCTGATTCTTCTTATATTGGTGTTCATATCTCAGGTATTTAAAGATGTAGGATTTTTTTTTATTTCGCATTGAAATCTATTACCCTGGCTTCAGTAAGTGTTGAATGTGATAGTATTGTTAGGTATTAAGGATATTCTATATTAATAGTTTTAATTATTTATGATGACATCATGACTATGTGAACTTTGTAATTTTTGATTATCTATCATGCTTATAGTTTATATTGTCTTCCCATAGAGTTAAATCAGTGCCATTTTGAATGGCTGAACTAGAAAAATCTTGCCAGTGTATGAACATGTAATTACAATAAGGCAATAATTAGTAAGGTTTTGTTACAAGGCAGAACCCATCCAAACTCCTTAAGATATAAACTCAACAGAAAAGTAATTAAATGGACACTTAATACTTTCTTACTGATCAATCCTTCATGAATATTAACTGAATATTCTATGTATATTTCCTTCTAGAACATTTACTCGGGGTAATTTCTTATGGCCTTTTTTTAACTTGGTGTTCAGTTACCACGATTCACATTGACACTTTTATGCGCCTTCTGACTACAATCTGAAATAAATTTAAGGCATGTCATTATATCTTCTTTTGTGAAGTAAAAGTCTAAATTTATTTAGTCTGGTCTTATTTGTTATGGTTTTATGATCAACTTATATTCAATGCAAGTGAGAACGAACCATGAGATGAATCACAACTTCAACATCTTTCATATTAATACTTATATGGCTCCTGCATGTGCTGGATATTTTCTACTTTTTCTATGTATTTACTGATTTTTGTTTCCAAACTTTGGCTTTGAGTTTTCCTGTTGAAGTTTCAATTAGAAAGGAGCTTTAAATGCCTCAAATTTTTGATTTTAGATTTTCACTTTACATTACTAAGGAAGCTTAAAAAAACTATGAAATATGTCAAAATAATGTGAAATTGTTGATATTTCTTCTTTAATTTTTGCAAAATTGCCTGATTTCGAATGAAAAATAAAAACCCGGATATTTATGAATAATCCTGTTCTGTTGAATACAGTGCTTCCAGAAATCGATAATACTAGAGAACACACAAGCAACATCATAGGTAAATGACGGATTTATTTGTCAAGTTGCTGGGATTTTTAGTATCAGTATTATCACCTGATAAAGTCCTGCAGCTAATCAGGAAGACACCTTTCTCTGCTTGGAATAGCTTTCTATCTGTACCTGTCCTTTTTTATGATACTTGGTTTCCTACTATTGGACTTAACAGTAAGAATTTTTGTAGATTTTTTAATCATAATTATCTATTGGGGTATTAATTAAATATGTTGAGCCTTGGTATTAGTTAAAGTGCATTTTCTGGAATTGTATCCCCACAAGCTAGTCGATTTTAAAACCAGATTAGAGCTTGTGTTGTAACTATATAATTTATTGACTCTAAACAAAGCTCTTTGTATTTGTATTTGTATAATCCCTTCAAAAATTACCCCCTCCCCTCCCCCTTTTTTACATGCTATAGGTTTGAGGTCAACAACTAATTTCAGGGGCCAGCTGAAGCCCGCCTCCGGGTGCGGGATTTTCTCACTGTGTTGAAGACCCATTGGTGGCCTTTGGTCGGGTTGTTGTCTCTTTGACACATTCCCCATTTCCATTCTCAATTTTAATCATGTTTACTTGTTTAGTTGCATTATGCCATGAGTTAACAGTCCTATTAAGCTCTAGAAGTTTATAAATAACAAATGTAGGGTTATTTGTGAAAATTTAAACCTACCCAAAAAAGTAATGTGTCTGCTCATGAAGGTAGTGGTACTCCAGATAGTTGAGAGAAGAAGGGTTTATCTCAATATTTCATTTGCACTGTTCCTTTAGCAGTAAGCATTAATAGTTGTAGATAAAGACAGCAAGAATCAAGTTTAAGCAACAGTATTCAATTGTCTGATAAACCTTTTTGATTTTTGATTATTTAGTTGGTTTGATTTAATTTTCAGTAATATTTCAACAGTACTGTAAATTCAGAAATTAATGTATGCATTTTATTATTGCGTTTTTTTAAGAATGGACAAAAAATAGAGATAAATCATTACAATTTTAGGAAAATCTGCATAAAGATACATGTATCTGATATCAATTATTGAGTTTGATTTAATTTTCAGTAAAAATCATATTAAAAGAGTTTTCTCAAACTCCTAGCAAATACAATAGGATGAAGTTTCAACCTGCATATTTTTAACCAGATTATCATGTGGCTGCAGATATAAGATGTATGTCTTTAGGAAAATCAGCATGAAGTTAATAAATGTTTGTAAGTTCTGTCTACTACTGCTGCAAATACCTCAACAATTAAATGAAATAAACTACATTTGAAAATTATATCAATAATACTATTACTACTATTACTACAATGTTTGCCACAATTGGTGGAAAATCATTTTGGAATAATTCTGTATTGTAATAAAAAGCAAAGGAAACAAATGTACTTTACTGACCTTAAGTTTTCATTTGGTTGAAAAATAAGAAAGGCTCAGCATGTGTAATGTGATGTCTCTGAGGTCACAAATAATATAAGTGCATGTTTAAGAGACATAACCATACAAAGGCAATTAGTTTTTTTAAAATTTGGGCGTTTTTTTTTATATTAATTTATATATTAGGGTGGGATAAATTTGTATTTTTTATACAAAATGTGACACAGTAGTCATTATACTATTGGAGAAGAAGGATTTGATAAGTTGAGATGAAACCCTTGATTTCAATTAATTTTCTTGTCCCTCTAAGATACTAATGCATTTATAAAACTGAAAGTGCTGAATGATGTATCAAATGTATTTGTTTTTATTAAATGCTTATAAAGATGAATTAAGAGTTTATTATATTTCTGATGAACCAATGTATATTTTGTGTTGATCTTATATGTTTGGTAATGTCTGTTAAATTTATTCTAATAGTAGACTTAATATGCTATTTGACCTTGACCTAGTTTTCAAAGTATAAGAGTCAAGATAAGTAGTAAATAAAATACAGTTTTTGGGGACATACTGATCACAATGCAAACCAAGCTACATGCTTTCCTTGTGCCTGTTTACAGTCACACACCTACATGATGAATAGAAGGGAAATAGTTTCTGAATGGAATCTGCTGCTGTCCAAAGTTTACTAGCTATTAAATAACAAATCATTCCCAAAACATCATTAGGTTTGTGAATCACAAGGTTGATTCATGGTTTGAAAGAACAGCTTTTGATATGCATTTTTCCTATATAGTATAAAAAATGATCTTCAGAAATATTCCATTTGCATTTATATCAAACAGGAACATCTTAGGATAATCTTTGCCAAAACTATTATCAATTAGGCTTAACTGTTGTTTATTGACATTTCCAGACAAATTTATACAAACCATCATCTTACAGATCTTGCATCTTCCTGCAGAACACACTATAAACCATAGTCAAGACTACAAATAGATACAAATAATCCTCATTTGCTTAAAAATACTGACCTGCTCAAAAGATTTTTTCTTCACTTACAGCTGCTCAATTATTTTATTTAATTTTAAATATGAATTTCAATACAAAATATTTAAACAAAGTTAAAAAAAGTATGGTCAAACAGAATATTGTTTTTTTTAATACTGACAAACTAATGTGATGTTGTTGTGTTGCTATTTCATTGACATGTATCTTTTTATTACCTCACCTGGGCCATATCAGCATTTCCCATTGCTTGAAGTTCATTGTTGTCATTAGTTAGTGTTCATTTTTTTGTGTCTGTAAACTTTCACATTGTTGCCTTTTCTAAAACAATATTTCAAACTTTTACAGGACTGGTGTTTGGAAGGTTTTCCACAAATGATCCTCATTTCATGTTTGGATTAAAAATGTTACCACCAGATGCAATTTTTGTCTTGCTTATGATGAAAGTTGCAAAGGGGAGGCATAGCAATCCTACATTCTGTCTTTGTCTTAGGTGTTGTCGGATAATCTATATATATATATATATATACTGGTTAAATTTTTTTGAGATATTTTAAATGACTTTGACAAACCTTTATAAGAATTTTACTATTCTTGAACAGAAGCCATATACTTCATATGAATAACCTTATGCCTTATATTGTTGTTGTACCATTCAAAGTTACTAAGGAACTGACTTCATCACAAAAGATGTAATACCACCAATACAAAGTATGTCACATCAGGTTTCATGTTGAAATAGACAAACAAAATAATCCCCTTGAATTTGAAAAAAAATTTCTGAGTCATAAACATATATCTTGGGTGTTTTCAGGTATCATCCTTTTTTGTTTGTTTGGGGTTCTTATAAAGTATTTTTTGAAACATGCTATGAAGTAGTTACTAATGCTTGTAAACACCAAAAAGAAAGTTGAGAAATTGCCTTGTTTACTTCTAAGGTTTACTTTCTTAGATGCAATGAAACATTGTGTGAAATTTTTACTAAAGTAATGAGCAGGAGAATTTTTTTTCATGCCAAGTATCTCTTTATTTAAAACAAAGGTAAATTCTGCACAATTTTTAAAAAAATGCCAATTTAATAAAAGACCAGAGTTCCAATGTCCCCCGCATTGCACATATTTTATCTATCCAAGGGCAATAAAAAAAAATTTTTGTTTGTTTGTTCTTTATAACTTTTTATAAATATCTTAGAGAAATGAAGGCTTGAGAGCAAATACAATGCAATTTCCAATATAAGTAATATTTCCAAGGGCATGATATAAGTTCATATAAAAATCTGGCAAGAATTGTACACATGATAGCACTTACAATGCAATTTTTCATACAATTAATATTTCAAAGGGGTACAACTCTTTTAAAAATAATTAATCGGCAGTGATTTTCCAACATTTCTAAGATATTGCTGATATAAAACTATGAAATGAGTTTCAGAAAAATCTGGCTAGAATTGTACACATGAGAGCGCTAACAAGGCAATTTTCCATATAATTAATATTCCAAAGGGGCATAACTCTTTTAAAAATAATTGATCAGCACTGATTTTCGAACTTGTCTGAGATATTGCTGCTATAAACCTATGATATAAGTTTTATAAAAATTTGGCAAGAATTGTACATGTGAAAGCGCTAACAAGACCAGACGGATGGAAGCCTTTCTATGTTCCCCGCAATGCATCGCGCAGGGAACAACAAAGACTAATAGAGGAAAACAATGGTGGTATTACCATATTTAGGGAAACTGCATATGCACCTTTAACATTGTATGTACTCACATTTTTATACACCCAAACAAGACCGCATATATAATGGTATTCCAATGTCCGTCTGTCCATCCATCCATCAACACTTCATACGATAACTCAAATTTGCTTTAACCAAATCTCATGTCATAGGATTGACGGAAGAAAGCTCCCTTTCAATATTGGAAATGTTTGGCTTTGTCATTCCAGAGTTATAGGACTGTTACCCTTTGAATCAAGGCAATTTTTGTCTCGCCTTGACGAAGTCAAAAAGCGAGACATAGGTATGCTGTTTCCAGCGTCGATGACGACGACAGCAGCGGCGGCGTCAACAATGTATTAGTTTATGGTGAACCCATAGTGGTAGGTCAATGATATTTGGTATGCAGTTGTATTAGCATTGGCACATCTCATTTTCATGGAGATTATTTGGCCCCGCCCCTCAGTTATGGTTTATTGACTTTGAAACTTTTGCTTAGTTTTCATGTATTAGTTTGTGATTAGGTCAGTTTATGGGGAACTACTAGTGGTAGGTCAATGATATTTGGTATGCAGTTGTATAAGCAATGGCATATCTCATTTCCATGGAGATTATTTGGTTCGGCCCCCTCAGTCATGGTCTATTGACTTTGAAACTTTTGCTTAGTTTACATGTATTAGTTTTTGATTAGGTCAGTTCAAGGGGAACCATTAGTGGTAGGCCAATGTTAATTGGTATGCAGTTGTATAAGCATTAGCACATCTCATTTCCATGGGGAATATTTGGCCCAGCCCCCTCAGTAATGGTCTATTGACTTTGAAACTTTTGCTGAGTTTACATATACATGTATTAGTTTGTGATTAGATCAGTTTAAGATGAACTGCTAATGTTAAGTCAATGATATTTGGTATGCAAATTTATTGGCATTTGCAAGTCTCGTTTCCATTGAGATTATATAGCCCCACCCCCTCATCATGGTTCATTGACTTTGAAACTTTTACATAGTTTACAAGTTAATGTTTATGTTTAGGTTTGTTTAAAGGGAATGACTTATGATAAGTCAATGGTATTTGGTATGCAGTTGTATTAGCATTGGCACATTTCATTTCCATGGAGATTGTTTAGCCATGTACCTTCAGTCATGGTTCATTGACTTTGAATATTTGCATAACTTACATGTTAAAGTATTGCTATTTTAATTTCAACATTTGCATTATCAAAATTACAAAAAGGCAAGACATCTCTGTGATAACAGTTTATTTACATATGTTCCCTAACTCCAGTATGCCTGGATTGATTTCCTCAAAATTGAGATTGATAAACTTATTTTGTCTCACCGTAGTATGCGAGACATAGGAATTACTATCCGGCAGCGGCGGTACAAACTATTTGTATAAAGCTTTATATTTCAGAGGGTAGAAGACCTGGATGCTTAATACCTTTGATACAGATACCTTATGTTACGAAGTTTCAATCTTTCATACGTCCATTGTCCTTGACCTCATTTTCATGGTTCATCAACTGGTTGAAAAATAAGTTTTTTTTGTCATGTGAATTTCTCACTTATTATGACTATCATAATGCTGACTTGATACAGGCATTTCCTTATGTAGAAAATGGTGGATTAAATCTGGTTTTATAGCTAGGGGTGCATGTCAGTCTGGCAGGTTTCATCTGACCGTGACCTCATTTCCATGGTTCATTGGAGTGTGTTTTGGTCTGTTGTTCAAGTGATATAAGCAATAAGAACTATATTTGGTGTATAGAATGATTCTAAGGTGTACATGTTCGTCTAGCCGGTATCATCTGACCTTGATGTCATTTTCATGGTTCATAGGTCAATGTTAAGTTTTTGTGTTTTGTCTGTTTTTCAATTACCATTGGCAATAGGTCAACTATATTTGCTGTATGGAATAATTGTAAGGTGTACATGTCTGTCTGACAGGTCTGACCTCGACCTCATTTTCATGGATCTTTAAAAATGTTCAGTTTATGTGAAACTTTAAATAAACTATTACCTTTAAGACTTTGAACATAAAATGAATGGTCAGTAAAGCAGGAGAGACATTTCAGCATGTGCACTCTTGTTATTTTCCAGTTTAGTCTTTCCAGAGTTATTAGACCTTAATTTTCAGATTTAAGTAATTGTTTTACATATTGTACCGTAACTTGAGTTGTTTTGGTTGATTAACTGGAAACTTAACATAATGGTTGGAATTGGGGAGAGAACACTCAGTTTGATTTTTAAAAAAATGGATATGTCATTCTAGAGTTATGGGACTTATGGACTGTCAGATCAATAAAAGGCATTTTTTAAATGTCATGCACTAGCTATGCTTAGATCAAATTACTACAAACTTGACACTGTTGCTCGGATTGGTGAAAATTTTCTGGTTTGTCATTCCAGAACAGTTATGTGGGTGGTTTTACTAGAATTAAAAAATATGCTCAGTTAAATGGCCTAAGCAATGACAATAGCTCAATTTCACAAAAAAAGGCTATGCGAACAAAATATTCATATGTCTTCCCTCTAATGAGTTTAAAGAATTAATACAGAAGTAGTTAGAAATTCATTTATTATGAGAAAAATACACAGTAACATCAAAACTCTGAAAAACATAACAAAAATAATTTGTGGTTGGTCATTTGTAAATACATATAAAAATGTATTGCTCTATTGTCAAAAACACTAGCTATTTAACAACACAGGGTTTTGTGTATGAACTATGAAATTACTAATACTCCTGCAGATTAACAAGACAGACTTGGAAGTAATATTTCCTGTCTTCCCTATAGATAGGTTTCGAATGATGTTATTTGAGTTTGAGTTATTTCAGTTGGCCGCCATTTTGGAGGGATAAATTGTTGATTTCTTATTTGACTAACCAAATAGAAACATGCTTTACAAACAAGTCTGATAAGCGATCCTTACTAGATCTTAGTGATGAAACAAGCAAGTCTAAAAGAAATTGTTCAGAAAAAGTTCAAGTCTAGTGGTCAATATTTCAAGTTGAATTTGGCTGATTTATGAAGAAATGTGCGCACTTAAGACCTCCAATATGGCGATAAAAGGAAAGTAACTCTTGCTCAAATTGTGTCAATCGAAATCTATCAATAACAATATTCATCTTTAATGCATCCTGTGTACAAATTTGATGTCCAAATAAATTACTATATACTCTCATTAGGTTACAGATATACATGTAAAAAGTAATCGAAGAAATATAGTAATTAAAGTAAATGTTATCTTCAGAAATCTGGTTTTAGATATAATGTTTACAAGCAATTTTTTTTTATAAATTAAGAGTTAGTGTAATATTCTATGTACAAATGAAAACTTTATTCTCACTGAGAACTGTATTAGTAATGATTAGAACTCCCAACATGTGTTCGTATAGCATTTTTCAAGATATACACACACAATTATTTACAGATAAAAACTGATTACAAAATATAAATAAGTAAATTGTTCATAAATATTTAGGTGGGACAAGTAAAAATACTAGTAACAATAGAGTAAAAGATAATATATTAAATTTGTATTTTTACCATGTCTGATTTTGGCCAATTTTAAACTGCTCTTTTAGACTGTATTTTATTTAAACTTTATGTAATGCCATTCATTTAACAAAATAATGGCAGTATCATGATAAAGAAATTAATCATAATGGAAATTACATTTACATTACAACAATAAAAATATTCTAATTATCACGAATATACTTCTAATCATTACCTCCTACTTACAAATTATTAACAGAAAAAACTGAATCATGCATGGAAGTAATAGCAATATGCTAGTTTACTTTCACACATTATTTTCTTGATTCATTGAAAATGGGGGAAACAATCTATTACAAAACTTACTATATGCTTGAGATTTCAAATACAAATTCAAGCATGATTTGCGTACGTTTTTTCATGTTAATTTAATATATTAAAAGTATGTGGAATGTTTATTCATATCACAATTATTGGAATAAATAGTACAGGTATCAAATTTTGTTTGTAAAAAGTTTTGTACACACCAACAAATTTACAAGCAAATGTTATTTCTTGAATAGTAAACACACTGGTAAATGCTGACAAAATTCTCAATCAAGCCAGTATCCAGAAATGATTAAAATAAGCTGCATCACATGTTTAAAAAACAATATGAATCCTTTTATGGTAACAAATCAAATCTATATAATTCTTTTTTATCCTATTGTGACTTTTTTTAACAACTAATATTCTCCATTGCTTTTCTCAACAGTTGATCATGAACATTTCAACTGATATAATACAACTTATGAATAACTATAATAGAAGGTCATGTAATGAGAGAAAAGAGAGGTTTAATGCACAAAAAAAGTTGTTTAAAACTAATTTTACAAAAATTAAAACAAAGTTTAATTCATTACAAAAATCATACTATCATACAAAATTCTCAGTTACAGTTTGTATCATACAAAAAGTTCTTTTGACTTATTGTGAAGGAAATGAAACTTTTTCCCAGAATCAGTTGGTGTTTACTTGGCAACTTTAATTTTTGCAAATTGAACTGTCCCATTGGATAAATATTATTACATGTATTTTCATTATTAGAAGTTTATTTGTTTTACTGCTGAATTTATCAATGAATGATTGGTTTTTCACGGAGAAATTTGAAGCTCCCATTTAATGAACTCCACAGAGAACAATAACTATTGTATTTATTCAATGGGGCAGTTCATTTTGCAAAAATTTAAATGGAATGTAAACACCAACTGATTCTGGGGAAAGAATGTGTTTCCTTCACATAACACTTTAAACATATGAACCATTCATATATTATTATGCACCATGAAAAAAAGATTTGTAGAATGAAATATAATATCCACAAGCCAGCATGTAAATGGAATATGAAAATGGCATGATATGACTGCTTTCGTAGCACCAGGAATAAGGACACAAAAAGATATATAAAGAAAAAGTATTATTACAAAAAAAAAAAAAAAAAACGTAAGTGTCGTAATCAAACAGTTTAAATATCTGTTTTTATAAAATGTAACCACTATCTGCCATTTACGTTATGACATTATAACATACACAACATTTTTTTTATCCTAGCTCCTACAGTTTATTTTAGATAACAGCCAAAACTGCAAAAATAAAATGTAAAATTAACATTTCAGAAGCAATAACTACATAACAGGATGTCAAGTAGATAGATCTTGACATGCTGGTAATTTTGATGCTTACACTTATAACATTTAAAATAATAGCACACAAATTTAAACTATGTGATCTTTTCATTTCTCCAAATTCATCTAACCTAAAAATAAAACATAAATCCCAACAACAAAAAAACTGATGATAAGACATATATATCTGATTGAAGTCTTGAAGAGAGATAAGGTCTGAAAATTCAGGAAACGATTACTTCTGCTTTAATTTGATTTTATAAAATAATTGGTGCAATCACAGCAATTTAAAGTGTCCCCCCCCCCTTCCTCCCTCAATCTTACAGTGCTGAGACAATTAACTAATTTTATGCTGAATTCAAAACGTAAACTGACATTTTTTTATATATTTTGTACAGATGAGTGTTTTATACAAACATATATATCCTTTCAGATTTTACATGGATGTCAACATAAATCATCCCTCATTTACTAATAACCCCAATATCATAAATAACAAAATTTGTAGTCATTGTCATTAAGGCATATAGTTCTGGCAAATTTTTACAAATCACTTACAAATATTTTCTATTTGCAATAACAAAGATAAACAACTAATTACCATGTAAAGTTTTAAACATTAACATTATTGGAACAATACTGGTAGGATCTTATTCAATTGATTTCTAAAAAAAATCACTTTCTTAAACTCAGCAGTCTCTGTTGTTGATATTTCATCTTCTGGTCAATTTCTTCAAACGTGGGCCGATCTTTTTTACTAAAAACACATTAAGAATACATTTAAAATTCAGCTTGTGAAGAAATTAATAGATTGGACAATTGGAGAAGATGTTAATAAGCTGTAAAACTTGTGTCTGAGTCATTTATCACTTTGAACAATAAAATATGTTTGAACTATATTAAGATATATATAGATTCCACCACTGCATCAAGTGTGTTACGATATTTCTCCACTCACGACAGTTAAATTTTAATATTGCCTAGCTTTTTAAATAATTAGTGGAGAAATGTCGTAATACACGAGTTATAGTGGTGGAATCTGTTTCTCTAATGATTTTTAGACAATATCTGAACAAAGTTTATTCTTCCTTTTGAAAGTTTTGCAGAAAGTTGTGTTCTTTATATGCAACGTCATAAGGCATGGTTGCCTTTTTTCATGACGTCACAATAGGAAATTCAGAAGAAACCAAGAGAAAATTTGACGTCATTATTAAATTTTGACCAATCATTTGCTGAGAACAAAGTTGTCTCTAGAGATGAGAAATACTTTTCTCACACTGATAGAGAAATGTGAAAAAAGCATGAAAATTAGAGAAAGCAGTTAAACAAAAAATTAGAAGCTTAACATTTAAGTGTGCAGTTTAATGAAATGCTTTTTTTAAAAATCGTCTACCTCTTAAACCTTGTTTCTTTCTTCTTCAACATTTAACCTCAAGGTAAGGAATAAAACAATAAAAGAAACTTCATTAAGCAAGCTTAAATACCCAAAGCCCCATATAAATGATATAGGATATTTTTAGAGCCCCCTCCCAAAAATTGGTTCCACATTTCAGTTTTCTGGTTTTAACTAGAGAAAATGTTCATTTAAATTTGACAAGAATCTAACAAAAAATAAAGACCCTATTCTTGCAGTGACAATAATTACTATGGGAATTTTTCATATACATTCTGATTATCAAACTCGTCCATGATTATGATGGGTTGAAACCTTCTTTAAATTTTGACAATGATTCCACTAAAAATGAAGGTGCTTTCCCTGTGACATTACTCAATATGAGATATTTTTACATATACCCTTCCAAAAAAAAAAAGATTTCCATTTCATTTTTTTTTTTTTATCGACTCATTGATGATATTGACCTTTACACAATTTTGAAGAGGATCAGAAAAAAATAAGTTTTGTGGTAAAAAGCATTATATATACATTTCATTACATTAATTTAAGACAAACTCAAGTTAGAGAACGGAAACGAAAAATTCAGCATTTTTTTCATTTGTAAATGAGCATAACTCTAGAACAGTAATCAAAGTGCTTGTAAGCACTGAATGGTAAAGATTGCTTTAATTTATCAGTAGGAAGTAAAATTGAATATTGCATTGTATAAAGCATTGGTTGTAGTTGATTCAACTACCATTATGCACAAAGAAAGATAACTCCAATTTTCAAAGAAGACTTTAAAATATTTTTAGAAATGAAGGGTAAAAATTGCTTTAATTTATCAGTGGAAGGTAAAATTAAACATTGCATTGTATAAAGCATTGATTGTAGTTGATTCAACTATAATCATGGACAAAGAAAGATAACTCCAATTTTAAAAATACTTGATATTTAGAAAAAAAAATGAAAAATTCAGCAATTATTCCATTTGTAAAGGGGCATAACTCTAGAAAGGTAAAAGTGACGATAACCAAAATTCACACTTGATCTGTATTTAGTGGTAATAAGCATTGTGTATAAGTTTCATAACATTTGGTTGAGGCAAACTTAAGTTAGAGAACAGAAACGAAAAATTCAGCAATTATTCCATTTGTAAAGGGGCATAACTCTAGAAAGGTAAAAGTGACGATAACCAAAATTCACACTTGATCTGTATTTAGTGGTAATAAGCATTGTGTATAAGTTTCATAACATTTGGTTGAGGCAAACTAAAGTAAGAGAACGGGAAACCAACTTTGGGACGTACGGACGGATGTACAGACGGATAAGGGTAAAACTAAATGCCCCCTCCGCTACGGCGGGGGAATAATAAATGGAGAATGTGTCTATGGGCCACAGATGCCCCCTCTTGTAAATATGCATGAGTCAACTTCCCCTAAAGTTTTATAACATTTGGTAGAGGCAAACTAAGGTTAGAGAACGGAAATGACAGATTTAGCAATTTTTCCATTTATAAAGGGGCATAACTCAAGAACGGTAAAAGTGACGCCACCCAATTTCAAACTTGATCTGCGTTTTGTAATAAGCATAGTGTATAAGTTTAATAACATTTGGTTGAGGCAAACTAAAGTTAGAGAATTTAAACCAATTTTGGGGACGTATGGACGGGAAAGACAGACAGACGGGATGGACAGGACGGACAAGGGTAACACTTATGCCCCTCCACTATGACGGAGGCATAAAAATGAAGGTGCTAGCAAGGCCACAAACAAAGTGAAGACTTATTTCAATGACTTAACAAAATTAACTGATATACTGTATATCAAAATTTCCTGTATGTCTAATTTTGGCTATGTTAGAAGTTGGCATTTTTGCAAAAAATTAACACTACACTACATTTCAATGTCCAATAAATGCACTATACAAGGCTGTGAAATGTGAATGATGAGCATAGCCATAGTCTAATTGACCATTCTAAGGCCTAAACTGTGAACAAAACTGGACTCAGATAACCTGATATATGGTATACTGTATATAAAAAAAAGGGAAATGTGGGGTATATGCAACTAAAGTCACTGGCTACAGATTTACACATATATAGAGTTCAAGGTCAATGACTCCTAGAAGGTAGACATGTTCACCATACAACTTTTCTATAGATTAAATAGGGGTCACTTATTACTTCTGGTAAATGCGAAACTGATCTTATTACAAACATTATTGCCTTACATTATTTTTCAGGCCTTTAAAGGTTTTGAATTTAAACAAAAACAACAAGATTTGCCTCATCTGGAAATCTCCAGAGAAAATTCAGATATGAGCAACAGCCTTACAAAAAAGGGTATTTGGTAATATATGTCTTATACTAAGAAGTTTATGCTAGTCAAATTTCTGTTTTGGTTAAGGCTGGTATTAAATTTGTTCCCAAATAATATCTAACATGACTTTTTTTACTAAAACGTTTCTACAATAATATGCATATGACATCCCAAATCTCACTAAATTTAGAGTACATGAACTATTTCATACTATAAATTTATCAACAGTATTGAAGAAGATTACTGTTTTTGCTATTTCTGTCGCCAAATAATAGCTTTCATTGTACCTCCTCCTTTATCATAAAAATACTTGGGAATTATACTGGAAGTTACTTACTCATATTGCCAGCATTCCAACATAATTTCATAAACTTGTTCATCACAAAATTCTGGTTTCTGTAACCTCTTCTCGTCTTCTACTAAAAACTTTAATATCTCATTTCCTTTCATTTTCTGTGAAAATCAAAAGCATCAAAATTTTAAAAAATGTTTTAATTGTTTCACACTACAAAAAGAAGTATTCGCACCCAAGCCAGTGATTATCCCTTTCCTTCAGAGTGTCAGAAAAATCACCTTTACAGTTCATGATGGTTTTATTTAAAAAGTGTAAGTTTTAAAGTTCTCTGTTAAGCATCAGAGTTTCATCAAAAGACAATTTTTTGGTATCGAAGTTGAAGTAATTGTTCAATTTACTCAATTTTCTTTCTGTGAAACATATATGCTCTGATTTTATTTATGTCATTTTTGACAGCTTTACTAAAATATACCCGAACTCTTAAATTGTGAAAACAGATAACAAATATTTTTTTCCTGATTTACTGAAGTTCAAAGTAACGTTATGGATCTATATTTACTCCATATATTTTCAACTCTTATTGAAAAAAAAAAATTGTAGCTGAATTATTTAATAAGAATTGTTCATCATTAAAAACATACAAAAAATCAACCTTCATGCAACAGATTTTTTTCTTCTGTTCTGTAATCAGTATAAAATTATATTTTAGCTGGTTTTGCACGATATCATTTTTGGCAAGTCAGATAACCGGCTGCCCATTTTTCTTCAAGAATCAAGTATGCCCAACTGGGGACTACAAAATCATTATCAAAAGCATTGCAGTAAAAGTTAGACATATGGTTCAAAAGATAACAGTTGAAAGCCAAAATTTCAGTATATAGATAGTGTCTGTGACTTTGGATTTTGACCTTCCCCAATGAGGTACTATGGTAACAAGTTTGGTAAAAGCTGGACAAATTTCAGTTTATCAACAGCTGCTGTAACTTTAACCTTTGACATATTGATCCCAAAATCAACAGGGGGTCTTCCTCTTCCATTGGTGCATTATCTAACAAAGTCTAGTAAAGACATTCTAAAATTTATGACTCATAAGATTATGTTTTGAAACAGAGATGTTGAAGTCAAGACTGCCAGACAGCTGGATAGCATTCATCATATTATAAGCCTAGTTTGACTTTGTTGCAACTCAGGTAGTATTATTAAACCAATGCTAGATTTTATCATAACATTACCACCTACCCTGTAAGGTTTTTCACCATACGAAGCTGCCTCCCACAGTGTAACACCATAACTCCATACATCAGATTTTGCATCAAACTTCCAATAATATACACATTCAGGAGCATACCACTTTAATGGCCATTTACCAGCTTCTTGGGCCTGTTTAAGATATATCATTTAAAAATTAATTGGTAGATAAAAAGACATGACATTTCAACTTTAAAGAAATAACAGACAACTATCCATCTTTGTTTACATTTTTCAGTAATAAAATTATAAATCTACATAAAAGACCTTAACCTCATTTTAACAATTTTCCCTTCAAAAAAATAAAATTTAGCTGCATGGTAAAAGGGCTTCATTTTAAAGGGTATAATAAGTTAAAACTATAAAACTATAAGGGACAAAAAAAACATCTTTTAATTTTTAAATCAGTAAAACATGAAATAACTGTCAGGGTAACCTACTTTTAATGGTAGGCATTTATGTTCCAATAGACCCGAGTTTTATGCTAGTTGGTCACTTGGTATATAAGAAGAAGACTACTTCTATTCAGATACTTAAAATGTCAATTAAAAATATCCAACTTGATTATATTCAATGAGACAATAAACATATATTCATTGAAGCTCCTTCATTAATGAACTTGACCTAATGCTGAGATGTTATTAGCTTTGACCAGTGCTATATAAAAGGTTTAGAGATATTTCTTTCTTTTGTTTTGGGGCTACAGCTGCAAGTATCTGTATTTGGGTATTTTGATACAAAGTTTTTAGTCACTCTCGATAAAAATTTATTTCAATCCCAAGTTTGAAAATTTAGCTAGAGTTGTCTCCCTTTGCATGTGGAGACAGAACATTATACATTATTGTTTTTTTCTGTGCAGTATAAGTCCCTAGTTGCCATGTTGTAAATAAATTAACATGTTTATATTCTTTGAATAAATAATAGTTTAGTACTTAACTTTTGTATACATATATATCAGTACACTTCTCGTCTTACTTAGTTTATTACTAACTGCAGACATGTGTTTATTAAGAATTGAAGTTTTGGTTTATGCATATGAGACAGAAACTCAAAGAGAATTATCAATACTATTTTTTAAAGAGTAGATATGGGGTAAATGAAAGAGACACCAACTTGTCATTAAATATAAACAATACTTGCTTCATATGCAGTTTTTATACCTTATTAGTTGAAATTCTGGAAGGGTCATGATCAACACCTTGTAAATTGTATGTGCCTGATTCTAGCTTTTGTTTTTTCAAGATTTTATAATTTGTCTAGAAAAAGTGAAGTCATTTAATGTGTACTAATTGATATTTTAGTCTGGGAATCATAATTTATTTATTAGTAATTGACCTTGAACTAGCTTTCAGTAACTGTGAGTACTTCTAGGTTGTTACTTTGTGTTTTTAGTCTCTTTGTTAGTTGGTGTTTATGCTTTATGTCAATCTGATGAGTCAAGCTGTCTTCAACTGATGTCTATAGTTTGTTTCTTAAGTTGTGCTGTTATACCACTGTCCCAGGTTAGGGGAGGGGATGGGCTCCCAAACATGTTTAACCCTGCCTAATTCCTTATGTGCCTGTCTAATATCAGGAGGCTGTAATTCAATGATTGTCCTTGGTTGCTGTCAGACATATTAGTTTTTTGTTTTTGTACATAAATCAGGCTGTCCATTTTCCTGTAGAGGGCTTTTACAGCTTTCTACATGGTATGGGTTTTTCTCATTGTTGAAGGCCGTAAGGTTGCTAACAAGTATGTCATTTGGTCTGTGGTAGATAGTTTTCTCATTTGAAATCACAACTTCTTAGTTTTATATCAATAAACACTCCCCTCCATTATCATTTCATACTTACCTTGTAATAATCATTTCCGATGTTGAGTGCTTTAGACATACCAAAGTCACTTATTTTAGCAGAATTTTCGGACACCAATAATACATTTCTTGCAGCTAAATCTCTATGTACATAATTTCTAGAATGAAGATAAGACATGCCTTGTGCTACCTGCCACATTAACTGGACAACTGTGGACTGTTTTAGTTCTCTGTAAAGATAATCAATTTATTAAGAACATACCATAAAATAATACACCTGTAAGAAATACACAATATACACAACAAATGTTTTATTTTTGATGATTTCTGTCTTTCTACAAGTGTTACAAATATCTCATTTATTCAATGTGTTTTATTTCAATAAATCAAATGAAGTATACTATATTAGCAATATTAAAGTGATACAAGCTCCCAAAATAATAAATTATTAAAATGCATTATTTTGATTGGCTTATGAAACAATGTTGGAACATTTCCATTGGCTATTTGTTAGATGATTGATGATTTTCAAAGGTCAAAACGATGTGCATTTCCTTCATGTCATTGAAGATATTTGATTTCTTCCATACTATACAAACCACTGACATCATATTGAGGCCAAGAATTGTATATTGCATTGATTATTCAGCTGTGTTCTAAAGCGTCTGCTTAATTATGTAAGACTAACACTAGGTTATTTGATCAATATGATTGGCAGTTAAGAGGATGGGACATTCCAAAATTGGCTCTACCTTATCTCTTGATCAATTCTTGACCAAATTATCTAGCAAATTGACAAAACTAATGACATACATACTTGAATGAACTGCTCTAAAGTTATAACCCAAATATTTCGCAGTTCATTTGTGCATATGTACACAGACATGAGAATTATTGGGAACTATATTTCAGTGTGTATATATTGAGTAGCTAATCTGGCTACTTCCTGTTTTAGAGGCCGGCACCTTAGGAAAGAACTGGAACAATAGCTCAAATATTTCTAAAATGTATATTTTCAAATTTATTTGTTTGAAAATGAAACACAATAATTTTGATTTTTTTCTAAAATACTGTGGATTCATTTGTGAGATAACAATTGTTCGTGGATTTTGTGGGTAAAAATAAACGAGGTATTTGAATTTTCAACGAATTGCACATATTCTATAGGCTTGTATGCAGATTTGACCAAAACCATGAAATCAAATATCCACGAAAACACAACTTTTCTTCAATCCACAAAATTGGTACCCATGAAAATAAATGAATCCACAGTATATTTAAATTAGCTGCTTATTTAACCTTAAATTCCTTGAATAACAATAGAATAAACAAGTAGACTATCTCTTTTTTCACCTGTTGGATTTTCTTAATTTAGAGTATATATTTTCTATGGATACATAAAACATTTTCTGATTCTACTTACTTGTGCTTAGCTAAAAACGCATTTAAAGGTCCACAGGGACATAATTCTAACACTAACATTATACAATCTGCTCTACATAGACCTAAAATAATCAATAATCTTATTTTAATACAAGATTTATAAATCTGCTATAAATAATAAAAATTCTTAAGGGTTCTGCGGAACCCAGTGTCTCACCTACTTTTGCTGTTAATCGCAGGCTCAACAAAAATGAGAAGAGGAAAAAATTTAATAAAAAAATTCCTCTCGATACAATTTTTTTATTGTAAGAAGCTTCTGTCCAAGTTTGGTAAAAATCCAGGATAGTTTATGAATCTAATAAATGTTTTAAAAAATTTAACTGCAGACTGTAGGTAATGTTAACTGGAAAAAAACTAAGTCCATTTATAAGTAAAATATGGATAAACAAGTACAAAATTTTAATAAAAATTTCCTTCTAGATACTAGCTTCTGATCATAAACAAACTTCTGTCCATGTTTGGTACAAATCCAGGATAGTTCAAGAAAGTTATTAAAATTTTAAAAACTTTAACCACAGAGTGAATGTAATGTTTCCTGGCAGAAAAACTAAGTCCATTTATAAGTAAAATATGGGAAAACAGGAATTTTTTTTTTTAAATTTACTTCTGGATACTATCTTATGATCATAAACAAGCTTCTGTCCAAATTTGGTAGAAATTCAGGATAGTTTGAGAAAGTTATTAAAATTTTAAAAACTTTAACCACAGAGTGAATGTAATATTTATGGCAGAAAAACTAAGTCCATTTATAAGTAAAATACGGAAAAACAGGAATTTTTTTTTTACAAAATTTACTTCTGGATACTATCTTATGATCATAAACAAGCTTCGGTCCAAGTTTGGTAGAAATCCAGGATAGTTTAAAATTTCAAAAACTTTAACCACAGAGTGAATATTTGTGGACGCCGCCAACTACGCCGACGGAATGTAGGATCGCTATGTCTCGCTTTTTCGACAAAAGTCGAAGGCTCCACAAAAAAGACATCATTTAACAGATGCAACCAATTAATTAATTTCAATGGTTGCAGAAATAAAAATATTAAATACATCTAATAAATCAATTATTAATATTTCATTATAAGCTGTCAGTTTGGCCCAAATTTGTTAAAATAAGCTAGAATACAGGTAAGCTGCAAGTCGATAATTCAATCTCCATTGAATTCGTATTCATGTGACCTTCAATTTAACCCCTTTTCTGGTGATGAATTATGCATTTCTAGGCATGTTCACCTATTAAAAGGAAAGGAATGTCAACATTGAAAGTGAAACAAGGGTGAACCATTTCGTTGACTGATTAGTTCCACAAAAAATTATTCTTACACAGGTAAAAACGATGATTAACATATTTTTCAAATCTATAACATGAAATCAAACAGACCTAGAAAAATCCCAATTGCACGTGCTTGATATCTATTTATATTTATATTCATGTTTATATCGGGTTATATGACTTTCGGCAGTCTTCAGAGGCCATATCGATGGTTAATTAGTTAAACACATGGCGTCAATACTGAAATACACACAAAATGCTGATACATAATATCGAGTCCATGCATTGTTAATTGTTTATTTTAGATTTTTTGTAATTTGGATATACGTTTTAGTATGTTATAAATAATATGAGAATTTGAGTCAAATCAGTGACCATGAATTTTACAGCTAATGCAACTTTAGGGAACAGTTTTGTTCAAATAGTATATCATTCTTAAATTGATTTGTTGAGATTATTTTGCAAAAAAAACAAAAAATCATTCGAGTACATATATTTTAACCACTCCACATTCTGTATGTGCCTGTCCCAAATCAGGAGTTTGTAATTCAGTGGTTGTTGTTTGTTGCTGTATATCATATTATTTTTTCGTTTATTTTTTTCTAACTAAATCAGGCTGTTAGTTACCTCATCTGAATTGTTTTACATTTGTCTTGCCTGAGCCTTTTATAGCTTGCTATGTGGTTAAGGTTTTTCTAATTGTATAAGGTTTTAGGGTGACATATAGTTGTTAACCTTTACATCATTTGGTCTCTGGGTGAAAGCCGTCTCATCGGCAATCATACCATAGCGCCAAAATTTTATATTTAATTCCAATCCTGGACTTGTTATATTTTTCACTCACCTATCATGCGAACAATTCTTTGATGAGTTAAATTTCTCATCAAATCAGCTTCTTTTAACATCTGAAAAGGTAAGTTTCCACTCATTAAGGAGTTAAAAAAAAACAATAATTATAAGAGTAGATGGCTAATGATGATGAATAAAGGCTGCTTAATGTCCAGCGGCAAATTAAATGCATATTGAGGACGAGAACATGTTAATTTACCCTTTTTTTACTTGACGGACACATTCAGGTGGATTTTTAACGTGCTAGTTCCCAAGGTTTCAGTCTGCAAGAAGACCTGTTACCTAGAGTAGATCGATCAACTGTGGATCCTTTGCATTTCCTTTGAATAACAGACTAGAATTTTCAATAAAAGCACACACACTGAAATTTCACGCCTGCTTTACTGATCATGATTTAATTTTATGTTGAAAGTATGTAAAATAAAGGTTCTACTACAGGTATTACATGAAGTTTACATTAATCAATGATCAATGAAAAATAGGTCAAGGTCAGATGAACCCTGCCAGACAGACATCTACAACTTACATTGATTCCCTACATCAAACATAGTTTATCTATTGCTGATTGTATCTAAGAAAGGGACCTAAACAGGAAAACTTAAAGTTGATCAATGAATCATGAAAATGAGGTCAAGGTTGAATGAACCCTGCCCGATGGACATGTGAACCTTACAATCATTCAATACACAAATATAGTTGACCTACTGCTTTAAAGTATCTTAGATACAGACTTGACCTCAAAAACTTAACCTTGATCACTTATCCAAGAAGTGAGCTCAAAATTGCTTCATTTGGACTCTGTTGGATAGTTGTCTCATTGGCAATTATACCACATCTCCTTACTTTATATCAATGTCAACTATGGTATATAGAGTCATTATTGTAAGGTCTACATGTTCATCAAACAGTGTCCTGTCACTCTTAATAAGTGAAAAAAGCATGTAACTATGGAAGAAAAGACAAAAATGGGAAAAAGAATAGTCATGAGATGCAAATACATCAATTATAATTTGGAAGATCTTTCCATTAATTAGTACGCTAATAACCCCTGCTTGACTGGTTACTGGTACATGCACAGACTATTACTTCAAATTTTTACTTAGTAACAGAATCATACTTTGATAAGTTCTTCAAAATTTGTCCCAATCTAAAAAAAATTTTTTTTATATACTTTAACCATTCATATGTAACGGTATTGTGACCTATCACAATTTGAAAATCTCCCCATCATCTATTTATCATAAAAAAGATGATATTTTACACCATTTGACTCCAGTATATGCTTTACAGTTTCTGTGATTCAAGAATTATGATTTCTATCTAAATGGTAACATAATTTCTCTCTCTCTGGGTTTTCGGTTGCCGAGTAGTCTAAGTGGTTCATCTACTGTATCACTACCCTATCAACATTGAGATTGTGAGTTTGAACCCCACATGTGGCAGGTGTGTTTGACTCCAATCTTAATTGACTAAGATGGTCAGTTTTGCTGCCAATGGTCATGGTTCTATCAGGGCACTTAAGCTTCCTACACCAATAAAAACTTGCCGCCATGATACAGCCAATAATGCTAAAAGTTGCATACAGCAACAACAAACAATCTATCAATCAATCATAATTATTCTCTCTCTGATATTAGTATTTTAGATATGAATATTACCTCCTCCTCTGCTGACTTGTCTTCACTTTTCAGTTTCTTTACAGCTACAGGAATTCTTCCTTCTCTCTTTAATGTACAATATCCCTTCTGTACAGATCCAAACTGCCCAGATCCTGTTAATAAATCAAATTTAAATATTCATAAACAGTGAATTTCCTATATATAAGTAGTAAAGTTCATTTCCGAATAATACATTTCATTATAATATCCTTGAGTTTATCATAATATAAATCTAATGTGCCTTTCTTTTTAAAATTGTAGCCTTTGTTACACATACCTTTATTTATTCAGGTCCTGAATATGCATGAATACATTAATACAGAGATCCAATTACAAACTTTTCATGGATGCCATTACGAGTTGGTTGATCGTTATGGAATTTCTGTTTCACAGATGACGAGGGATATGTTCCAACCATCTTAAGAACAATTCTAAGTACAATTCTGTCCATTTTTCCTTGAATATTACCTACCGAATTAGACTTATCATCAGGTTTGTACTTACATGAGCAACACAACGGTTACAACATGTGTAGCAGGACCTGCTTACCCTTCCGGAGCACCTGAGATCATCCCCAGTTTTTGGTGGGGTTCTTGTTTCTCAGTCTTTAGTTTCTATGTTGTGTTTTGTATAATGTTGTTTGTTTTTTATTGTTTTCTTGTTTTTTGCCATGACATTGTCAGTTTGTTTTTGAATTATGAGTTTGAATATCCCTTTGGTATCTTTCCCGTCTCTTTTAACAATTGTTGATGCAATAAATGCAGGAACCGGCATAGTTAAGTCACACTTCTGCAATTTTATTGGCACATATTAATGTTTTATTTGAATGTAAATAACCTATGAGAGTCAATGGTTTGCTTTCATTCATAAATTATTTCTTGATGATTTTCACAATATCATAATCATTACCAAGTTCTTCTTCCAGTTCAAGCTGAGATTGTCTAATGCTAAATGTATCCTTTGTTCTCGGAAGGTCATCATAAATCTTTTCTAACTGTGAACTGTCCATATCAATTTTAATTCTTCTGTCCTGAACATCCTCTACAAAATTGAATATAACTTTAAGTAATTACATTTTTCACAATTGAATACATCAAGTTTATCAAATAATTTACAAGAAAAAAATATGATGACAACTTTATGTTAATTTTCTATATATATAATTTTCTAGTTCAATTGTATAACATTATATCATACTCTGGACCTTTGCACTATTCTAAAATTTGTGAACCTGAAGATTAAATAAACTTTTGTAAGGCAACAGTCTTAGGATTGCTGTACTATCCACTTACAATTGAACAGCTGCTTGCATTTCATTGCATTCAACATCATGTCAAATAAGCTGTTTCTTCTTAGAACATGGTATACATATATACCGGTATATATTTATGGAAAGGAAAGGAATTTTATTCTTCAGGAAGCATGCATTCAATGTAAAAACTTCCCTTATATTTCAAAGTACGCACAGTTTATTTGGTTGATGTCCAATGAGTCTGAACATGTTAATATATCAGTGTCAAGATTTATTAGTATTTGTTTTGAAATAAGAGAAAATTTTACATTCCAGTGTCTAAATATACAGTAGTAGAGATTTATGTATTACAAAGGGTTTATATTCTATATTCTATTATTTCCTTTTAAACACCATCTTGTATGGAGGATAGTTATTTATTCATTTTCAATGCAATATATCTTAAAAATTACTGTATAATTAATACTAGATATAAATATGTATATGCTTGGAACGGGTCCTTTAATTGGATTTAATAAAGTATTTGTATCCTTATTCGTATTTGTATGAAAAAAAACATGACTGAAAAAATTCTCAAACAACAGCTGTTTTGATTCATCTGAAGAACAAATGTTCATCCAAATACAGAGGCTGAGGGTAACAGTTTGGGGCTGATGGTAAAACAATACAGTTTTTATCCTTTAACCCTTTTTAATAACTGTACACTGTTTATCCTTTCAATAACCTATTAACTATGGTTTGGTTAACAGTCTTTATTCGTTTATATTATTGTTGCACGGTTTGCATATTTCAAATCTAAAAAAATAAAATAAAACAGATCAATCAGTTAGAGTTCTTTCAATAGTGATAAAAATGAACTTTTCTGTTGTTAGAAAATTCGTACCCTTCTTTATATATACTGTGGATTCATTATTATTCTTGGGATACCAATTTTCGTGGGTTTTGTGGCTGTAGGTGAACCACGAATTTAAATATTCAATGAAGAACACATTATCTATAGGTTTGTATGAATAATTTGGCAAAACCATGAAATAAATAATCTACGAAAAAGTATCTAACGGTTTATTCAATTTGACATCACTATGCATTTAAGTATATCTATTAAGTATTATGATTCAACATTTAATCATATCAAAATCATACATCTTTCAATAAAATGACTTAAAAGAACAATTAGTATAAATATATGACAAAAGGATTTTATGATTACCATATATATCAATATGTCATTTTTAAAGGACAGACCTTAAAACATCTTTATCATATCAACATCATATATTGTATCAATAACTAGATGACTGTACCTGGTTGTTCCCAGTTTCCACCTGTCCAGTTTGCCCTTTCTGCACCAGTAGGTAGTGGAGGTGGGGGTCTGCCTTTGATACCAGATCCAGTCCGTGAAGGAGGAGGTTGTGGTGCTGACTCTTCAGGAGGAAGAAGGGGTAATGCTCGATCTCGATTACTGTTAGCCCTAGATGGGACTTTCCCTGGGAAGCTATTAGCAGTAGGAGAAGTCTAAAATTAAAGTAAAAGTTTGTAAATTTTCTTTAACATCATTTGAACATTTCATAATCATAACTAACTCATATCATACTTAGTCTAGTTAGATTTTGAAAATAGCTAAGAAAAGTATTCATATATTTCACAAGTTTGACAACTAATGGGCTGAGCATTGATTCTAAAAAATCCATTGAACAAAAGAATAATGTCAGATATGGCAAACGAAATACTTCTGGGAAAATGAATAAGTTTCGTAAAAAATCTATATTCATTCAATAGCTGAATTTTTTAGTCATTGTGAAATATACATAAAAATAAAGCCTTATTTTAAAATGGAGTCTGATATCTGACCTGGGTGCCTCACTCTCATCCATACATGAGTATTAACCACCTTTGTCAATTTAGGCTCATCATTATATATACAAAATCAAAGACTTTGGTTAAATGAGTGCCATTGGATGGCTCATAACAGCACACAATATTATTCGTCTCAGACATAAGATGCTATTGGATGAATAATTCCTAGGAAACGTGTAAAAACTTACAGGTGAGTGCAATGAGGTGTGTGACTGCCTACGTTCTGGAATTTGATGATCAGAATAAACCATGTTTTGCCTTGTACTGCTTTCCATATATTCTGAAAAAAGTTTTTACATAAGAAATAGGAATTTAGTAATTTAAATAGTTATCTGAAAAACTGATCACCTAGCTTCTTAAAAACAATTTGATTTGTATATGAAAACTTCCATCATTATGACAGTTAAAAAGTTGGTTGTTCTTTTATGTTTGTAACATATCAATGCTTTCAGTATTATAGAGTTATTGCCTGTATAAGGATATGTTATAATGCTATGAAAGTAAAAGCACAATTCTTTTGAGTACATATTTAAATATAAGGATATTTTGCATCATTGTCATGGCCACAGGTAACCATCAAAGATTTCTTCACTATTCATTATCCCTGCTTGTAATTTCTAAAACATAATGAAGTCTGGTGGTCAAGATTTAATAGAAACTTCTTTTTGTGAACTAGCTCACATTGAGTATCAATGTAAATATTAAGATGATACACATAAAGATGACAAATTTCTTTTTCTTCATTTGATGTACTACTATAGTTTCAGCAAGAAAAACAAATTAGAGCCTGTGTCGCTCAACTAGATCTATGTGCATCTTTAACATTGGACACTCTCCAATATTGTGGACTAGAAAAGATTTCATTACAAAAATATCTTTTTTGTTGATATTGTATTGCTGATAATTTTTACTGTTTACAGTTTCTCTCTATCTCCTTTAGTTTTTTGCCCAAAACACACAAAAAAATGGTAAAATTCATCATTATAAAGCAATAACTCAAATAAGGAGTAGACTGACGATTTCTGCTATATTCACTCATCTGTAGATTTTGTCTTGCTGATCGATTTTGCTATCAAAAGTGTCTATCGTTGATAGTTTTCAAGATAATAATCAAAAGCACTAAAAATGGGTTAAAGTTGTCATTAAAGAGAAATAATTCTAATAAGGAGTTGTCAGACAATTACGGCCATGTTGGAGCTCTATCACTTCATGATTAGGCACAGGAGTGGATATATGATACTTGTTTCATAAACTCTTATCATCCTATATTTTGGGTACAGGACTGACAAATTGTTCTATATTTAACATACTCTGATATTCAAACTGAAACATACAGGAGTGGAATAGGAGGTTGCTAATTATTTGACAATATCCAAGGCATACTGAATAGGGAGAGAACCAACCTAGGCTAGCTGATACTTACTTGCCAAAGCACTTTTATCATACCTTGTACTGGTACCCAGTCGTTATTTGACAAGTTTGACAATACCCAAGGCATACTGAATATTTTAGGGAGAGAACCAACCTAGGCTAGCTGATACTTACTTGCCAAAGCACTTTTATCTTACCTTGTACTGGTACCCAGTTTATTTGACAAGTTTGACAATACCCAAGGCATACTGAATAGGGAGAGAACCAACCTAGGCTAGTTGATACTTACTTGCCAAAGCACTTTTATCATACCCTGGTTTAGGAACAGGAGTGGCTAGTTTACATAGTAACCCATCAGATTTATTATGATAATGGTCAATCAACTAAAATGAAAATAAACATATGATACTTTTGAATTATAGAACATGCAGTTGTATAATATGTACATAAATCATTATAGAAATGAAAACTATTCAAATTTGTTTATGTTATTTCCATGTATCATATCTTAAAATAAAATGCTTCGCTGGGCGCAGCTTGATACGACCGCAGAGGTCGAACCCTGAACAGTTGGGGCAAGTATGGACACAACATTCAAGCTTGATACAGCTCTGAATTTGGATTGTGATTAAATATTTGACACAGCATAGGTTTCTGACACAGAAAGAATGTGGTCTAAGAACTTCAATTTTTTTAATTTACCTATTATGGTCCAATGTCCAAAATCAAAATACATGGTTAGATTCAGCATATCAAAGAACCCCATATATTCAATTTTTGTTGAAATCAATCAAAGTTTAATTTTGGACCCCAACTTGGACAAACTTGAAAACTGGTCCCATAATCAAAAATCTAAACACATGTTTAGATTCAGCATATCAAAGTACCCCAAGAATTCAATTTTTGTTAAAATCAAACTAAGTTTAATTTTGGACCCTTTGGACCTTAATGTAGACCAATTTAAAAAACGGGACCCAAAATTAAAAATCTTAAAACACGGTTAGATTTGGCATATCAAAGAACCCCAATAATTCAATTTTTGATGAAATCAAACAAAGTTTAATTTTGGACCCTTTTGACCTCAATATGAACCAATTTGATAGCAGGCCCACAAAATAAAAAATCTAAATACATGGTAAGATTCAGCATATCAAAGAACCCCATATATTCAATTTTTGTTGAAATCAAACAAAGTTTAATTTTGGACCCCAATTTGGACCAACTTGAAAACTGGGCCAAAAATCTAAAATCTAAATACATGTTTAGATTCAGCATATCAAAGAACCCCATATATTCAATTTTTGTTGAAATCAAACAAAGTTTAATTTTGGACCCCAACTTTGACCAACTTGAAAACTGGTCCCATAATAAAAAATCTAAACACATGTTTAGATTCAGCATATCAAAGAACCCCAAAAATTCAATTTTTGTTAAAATCAAACTAAGTTTAATTTTGGACCCTTTGGACCTTAATGTAGACCAATTTAAAAAACGGGACCCAAAATTAAAAATCTAAATACACGGTTAGATTTGGCATATCAAAGAACCCCAATAATTAAATTTTTGATGAAATCAAACAAAGTTTAATTTTGGACCCTTTTGACCTCAATATGAACCAATTTGATAGCGGGCCCACAAATAAAAAATCTAAATACATGGTTAGATTCAGCATATCAAAGAACCCCATATATTCAATTTTTGTTGAAATCAAACAAAGTTTAATTTTGGACCCCAACTTGGACCAACTTGAAAACTGGGCCAAAAATCTTAAATCTAAATACATGTTTAGATTCAGCATATCAAAGAACCCCATATATTCAATTTTTGTTGAAATAAAACAAAGTTTAATTTTGGACCCCAACTTGGACCAACTTGAAAACTGGGCCCATAATCAAAAATCTAAACACATGATTAGATTCAGCATATCAAAGAACCCCAAGATTTCAATTTTTGTTAAAATTAAACTAAGTTTAATTTTGGACCCTTTGGACCTTAATGTAGACCAATTTAAAAACGGGACCCAAAATTAAAAATCTAAATACACGGTTAGATTTGGCATATCAAAGAACCCCAATAATTCAATTTTTGATGAAATCAAACAAAGTTTAATTTTGGACCCTTTTGACCTCAATGTGGACAAAGTTGATAAAGGGGCCCAAAAATCAAAAATCTAAATACATGGTTAGATTCAGCATATCAAAGAACCCCATATATTCAATTTTTGTTGAAATCAAACAAAGTTTAATTTTGGACCCTGATTTGGACCAACTTGAAAACTGGGCCCATAATCAAAAATCTAAACACATGTTTAGATTCAGCATATCAAAGAACCCTAAAAATTCAATTTTTGTTAAAATCAAACTAAGTTTAATTTTGGACCCTTTTGACCTTAATGTAGACCAATTTGAAAACGGAACCAAAAATTAAGAATCTAAATACACGGTTAGATTCGGCATATCAAAGAACCCCAATAATTCAATTTTTGATGAAATCAAACAAAGTTAAATTTTGGACCCTTTGGACCTCAATGTGGACCAATTTAAAAACGGGGCCCAAAATCCAAAAACTTAATACACGGTTAGATTCAGCATATTAAATACCCAAGAATTCAAGAATAAAACCCCATTGAAATTGATCAAGAAATAAGCAATTTATACGAAGTATCTTCTTTTGCACAATACTGTGCAATTGAATATTTCTTGCTATTGTGCAATACTGTACAATTGACAATTTCTTGTTATTGCGCAATATTGTGCTATTGGATATTTCTTGCTATTGCGCAATACTGTGCAATTGAAGATTTCTTGCTATTGCGCAATACTGTGCAATTGAAGATTTCTTGCAATTGTGCAATACTGTGCAATTGAAAATTTCTTGCTATTGCACAATACTTATTATATAATAATTTACACATCCTGTTTGGTGTGTATCTCCTACCATATCATTATTATTTGCTTTTAAATATTAATCAGAAATAACCAACTTAAAATGGAAAATTTTAAAAGAAAAAAAAAAGGAAAAAAAGAAAAAAAAAGAAAACCCCCCCCCCCCCCCCAAATTTTTTGAACCCCCTTATGATTCATCACCCCCAAACTCAATCCCAGCCTTCCCTTTGTGGTATGGTACCTTGCAGTACAATTTCAGAGAGATCCATACACTTGAACACAAGTTATTGTCTGGAAACTAGAAAAATGTGTTTTTTGGCCCCTTTTTGGCCCCCAATTCCTAAACGTTTCGGGCAATTACCCCCAAACTCAATTCCAGCTTTCCCTTTGTGATATGGAACCTTGTAGTACAATTTCAGAAATATCCAAACACTTACACACAAGTTATTGTCATGAAACTAGAAAAATGCTTGTTTTTTGCCCCTTTTTTTGCCCCTAATTCCTAAAATTTTGAGGCAATTACCCCCAAAATCAATTACAGCCTTCCCTTTGTGATATGGAACCTTGTGGTACAATGTCAGAGAGATCCATACACTTACACACAAGTTATTGTCTGGAAGTTACAAAAATGCTTATTTTTGGCCCCTTTTTGGCCCCTAATTCCTTAACTGTTGGTACCATAACCCCCAAAATCAATCCCAACCTTCCTTTCGTGGTATTGAACCTTATGGTAAAATTTCATGGAGATCCATTCACTTAAACTAAAGTTAGAGTGCGAAAACCAATGTGTCTTCGGACGACGCCGGACGACGCCAGACGACGACGACGACGACGACAACGACGCCAACGTCATACCAATATACGACCAAAAAATTTTCAATTTTTGCGGTCGTATAAAAAAGTAAAATGGGTGATGTAAATTTCATAAAAATATCAATTCAACAACAAATAATCACTCTCTCATCAATGCAATAAATATTGAATACAATTATTATGGATCATGTTATAGAGCATCTCTTGACCAATGTAGATTATAACCACCCTCCTTTGCTAAGAATGGATATAGACTATGTAAACAATTGTTTCAAAATGTGTTGTTCTGTATAAGGAATTTGTCATTTACTTTTATCTGAACCCTAAAGCAACACATAATAAAGTCACTCAACCACAAAAAATAGGTTAGATATAAGAAAACTATTAGATCTTTTTAAAAGGATTATAGTACTCAGTTTTCATATATCATCCTTGATTTCCCAAAATTTTGGACATCGGTCAGAATGGACACCCATATTATAGAGGATTGATGGGTTAACATAATCTTTATAATCTCTACATTTCTTGGAGGACTGTAAACATATACATTTATATGAAGTGTATTATCTTACAGAAACTGATTAGGAGAAAACTAATTATTTCATTGGTTGCAATGAATTACATTGATTTCCCAGTGAAATAAAAACCGATAATTTCACATGTGGAATAAAAGTGGTTATTTCACTCCTCTGACGTCACACAACAATAGGCGTTGTCAAGATGTCGATAACGTTGGATCAAAACAAATTGTGAATGCGTAGAAAAAGATATAGTTCCTGACATTTTCTACTTTAATTTCATAAAAAAAAGTAATTTGCCAATGTAATAAAAAGAATAACTAATCAAAGAATTCAAATATCGAAAAATATTCAACTCGTGACCGAATAACACTGATAATTAACTCATGCGCTATGCGCATTCATGAATTAATGTGTTGTTCGGTCACTCGTTGAATATTTTTCTCTATTTGAATTCTTCGATTAGTTATTCTATAATTATTAGTAGTTGAAGACTCACCATCATTAAACAATCAAATTTTGGACCATCTTGTATGGCAAATTTTTCTTTTTTATCAATCATGTAGTGTCTGGCTTCATTTCTGTAACTTAATGTTAATGCAAAGGTCTTTTTATCATCTCTTTGTCTAACTCTGCAAAAGAGGCAAATTATAGTTTGTTCATAATTTCAATTCTATGGAGAAAATTTTTAAGTTACTATTAAAATTAACTTCGATGACAATAAACACGGTGTTTCATATGAAGTATTTTTCATATTTATAAAAAAGTTCCCAATACAGGAACCTCATCAGTGGTTGTTAATTGATATATATCTTAAGATCTATGGTAGAATAGTGTAAGTTTAGCTTGACATATTGAATGGTTGTAAACTGAATTTTCCAGTGACCAGTGCTTCATTATTGGCAATATTGTGTGATACATTTTTTTTTAATTTCCAGGTCATATAAGTATATACTTGATGATAGCTATATATAGTTTTTCAGAAATATGTGCTGTGCAAAGTAAGGAATAACAGTACTGTAGTTGCAGAGTTGCTGTCATCAATTAGCGATTTGATGGTTGCAAATGCAGTTTTACTGGTGACCCGTAGTGGAGCCAGTAAAACAGATATTTGCGACCATCAAATCCCAATTGATGACAGCAACTCTTCAACTACAGAACTTTTATTCTGATTCTAATGCATTACAAAAAGAAACAATATGTTAGAACTTGAAGAATATCTATAAAATTGAAATAAAATAAAATACTGGAAAATTCATGAATGATTTTGGCACATAAACGTCATGGCTAAACGTGACGTCATACAAAAGACAATGTTGAAAGTAAGGCGAATATTGTGAAAATAATTGTATAAAGATCGAGATAGCATGTCAGTTACGTAAGCCTGTCACTGTTTTTGATATCCTGTGGTGTTTTTCGTTGATGGAATATGTTCGTTGTTGTTCTGTGGTTTGCATGTTGTGTCGACTATTATATTATTTGTTTGTGCGTTACTCTGTTATGAATGTTCTTGCGTGTGTTTGTGCTGTATTTCTGTCACATAGTGTTTTAGCAATATTTTTTAACATTGTCATAAAGCGAGAGGTTTGGCATGCCATGAAACCAGGCTCAACCCACCATTTTTTCTTAAAATGTCCTGTACCAAGTCAGGAATATGGCAGTTGTTATCAAATAGTTCATTTCTATGTGTGTTGGCGTTTGTTTTTGTTGAACTTCAGTGTTCCTGTTGTTCCTTTGTTTTCCTCTTATAGTTGATGTGTTTCCCTCGGTTTTTATTTGTAACCCGGAATTGTTTTCTCTCAATCGATTTATGACTTTTGAACACCTGTATACTACTGTTGCCTTTTTTTATTACGTTATTTCTACGATACAATTTTGGATAAAATCACATCAAAACGGAAGTTTTGGGGTAGATTTTGTTTATTTTTGATTATATAGTATTCAAACATTTATTGATCCAAGCAATTCAATATGCCGGCTCACTCCTTAGTTACGACATGTCAACCATGGATTTGATGGTAAATTTTAGCCAATGAAAAAAATTGTTACCCAGTATATAAAATTGTATTAGAATGGAAATTATATCGTTTGTTGGTTTTTTACCTCGAAATGCCATTTTATTTTTTGTATCATTGGGTTACTCATCGATGTATACCCTACATCTCCTTTTGTTCATAAAAGCTAAGATTTTTACAACAAAAAAGTAACTTCTAAATTTATGTTTATATCAGTTAATTTATATGGAGTAAAACTTACAGAAATTTTCCATCATCATGACCAGCTTTAGTCATTCTTTTATCAGCTTCATCTCTGGTAATTTTCCCATGATACCATGGTTGCTTTTTATGAAGATCTTTAGCCACTAACAAAATTAGGTGGTCCCTTTGTGCACCAAGAGCCCTCTCCATTTTGGCATTCTACAAAGAAAATGGTAAAATGTTATCAATTTAAACCTCCATTTGTCATGATAAACAACATATTAAAATTTGAAAAGAATAGGACTGGTGATTTTCAGTTATCCCATGAAAACAACATAAAGCACCAATTCTCAATCAATCAAAGACCTTTTTTAAAAGGGCATACATTACAGTTTCAAGGGAGGTAATGACGTCGCTAATGTAAAATGTTATTTTTCGTGACTTCAAACTGTGACTATCGAGAAAAGATGCATTTTTCGACTGATTTTTATCATTCAGACTGATTTAACTTGAAAACTAGTTCATGGACCCCTCTTTTTTAAAAATGACATTAGGCTTGATTATGTAAGAAGATTATTTGTGCCAATTTTTATGAACAAATCACCAATGATTTTTTTTTAAATTAGATAAATATACAGCCCAAAATGCTGTTATTTGACTAAAATCATGAAAATATGATAAAAATGAATTATTTCCGAAGAATCGTTACACAAACTCTAAACACACTTATGTAGAGAAGATATTCCAGCTGTTTATCTTTTGAAACAAATTAGTTAAGTGTGTCTTTCCATTGATCAGAAATGTTCAAGAAACCGAAATGTCCAGTAAATGGCTAAAATTAAGATCCCATTTATCTCTAAAAGTAAAAGGTAGATTTTTTATAACATATTTGAATTGACTAGGTGAAAAATAGCTTGTATGCAAACTTTCTTCAAAAATTCACCGTGGGATCTAAAACTGTATCGTTTGCCCCTAACACCTGAGAGCAAAAGTTAAAACTATAAATAGTAACTTGACCTCCATGCATCATAGAAAAAATTGATAAGGATTTGAACAAATCTCAAGTTATTGCACATGAACAGTTTCGAGATCTTCAAGTGGTACACACCACAGTTATGAAAAAAAGAGGCTGACGATGCCATGGGGACATTCAAAACTCGTAAGTTGAAGAGGAACTGACAATTCTTAAAAATCAGAGCTCAGACAAATTAAAAAGTTAGTAAGAACATTGAATTTAACTAGATATGTTGGGAACTTGGGATGACAAGAAAAATTAAGGGCTCATAAAAGAGGGATTTTTTTTTTAAGTTTTTAAAATTGTAAGAATTGTTGTATATTCATTTAAAGTGAGATATTCACTGTTTCCCTAAAGCATGAATCTTTTTTTATTTTTTGTATAAACAGAGATCCAACACATTCAATCATGCAATAAATAATGACACTTTCTTCCATTGAATTTTATTTTGTGTGATAACACACATGTTCTCGAGATATTTAAAAAGAAATCTAATATTTTTTGTACATATTCATTATCAAGGGACACAAAATATAAATAGTTATTTTTTACAGTACTTATGATGGCTTTTTAACATCATTTAAAATTGCTAAAAAAACATTATTGTCAATCACATAAAATTTGTAAATTAGCCATTACATTTATAATGATTAAAACAATATTTTAATACAATAATATATGAAACTTTTGATAAAAATTCTGTAAAATAAATTATTTTCAAAAATCATGTTAAAAAAGTACAAGAGTTACTTCCCATCACTGTAAAAGAATAACTTAGTAAAAACCAATTTAATTACAATTAAATTTCTGCACTGATTCACTTTTTTATGGTTGGTCGACCAAGCATAAAAAGTGAGTGAATATGGAGATTGATTTTAAATAGATTTAGTAAAAATCTTTATGAATATAATCAGGTTATTAAAGCTAATTCTTAGTTAAAATTAAATAAAAGATTTTTCCATCATTATTCAAGTTTCCTTCATTTCTTATCTCCTTTCATTATTTTTTTTACTATAATGTATATATTTCTGTTATACCACATAAAATGACACCAAAAATATCAGTCAATATACAATATGAAAACCGAGCTACTATTAAGGAGTTCACAGATTTTCACCCAACCTTGTATTACAGAGAGATAATGGCTGAATTCCTAGTCAGTATCGGTAAGATACTGGAATAGATTTACAAAACTGGCATTAAATATTGACTATGATCACTGTGAAAGTAATTTGTGAAGTCAACTATTGGACACTTTATACCAGCTTGATATGGGACATTATTATGAAATTAGAGGCTGACTTGACATTAGGTGAAGTAAGCTTTTTTTCGCTTTTACTGATATTTGGAGGAATTCTATCCAAAACATCTCAAAACTACAAACTTATAAGACTTTAAAAAATAAGTGTTTGAAAAAGAATCTTATATTAAGCTTAATTTGAATAAAATTGAACAGGCATTCTTAGCAGTTTAGATGTGGAATTTTACGATAAAGATTGGAAAGCTGAAGATATTCAAGCAAAACTCCAGATGAAAAACTTATGAAAGACGAAAGCGTATATAATGTAACAGTGGAGAAACCTAAATTTGAGCCCCAATACATCTATGATTGCCCTCTTTATATCAACTTTCTAAATAACATTTTTGGAGTACTTTAAACTGCAGAAATTTTCTTATAATTGAACCAAGTTGGAAAATTTTACATTTTAAAGACTTTTCATACAAGAAAATGAGCATAATACATAGTTTGTGCATAGCATATTAGACGTCAAGTGGTATTTAATGTACAAATTTTATATGTACACATTTCAATTTAAATATTTGAACATTAATTTTAAATTATTTGAGAAATATTAGAAATATTATATTTATATAATACAGTTTGTGATAGTGCATAAACCATCATATATTGTCAAATAAGTCAGTGCATAAACCATCATATATTGTCAAATATGTGACTTATAAGTCCAATAGACTGGGTGTTATATTGACTACAAACTTTGTAATTGTGGTATACATATTTATAAAACATATTCACAAGTCACTATACTGTATAATAAACAAATTACTTACTTACAGAGAGATTGAAAGATAATACATTTGTACCTAGGAAGCAAAATACTTCCTACATTTGCATGATGATGTCCCCATGGCAGATTTTGTTGAGGTTCACTTATGTGATGAATTAAAGACAATCACCCTGAGTATTAGGAGTAAAAGGACATATTTTGAAAAAAAAATGGCGGTTTTAATTTTTTTGGGGGTGTGGGGGGGGGGGGGGGGGGGAGGGATGCCAGGTGCACCCCTGTCTGAATTCAAGCCTGCACACTTTACTTTAAAAAAATTTTATTGACTGATGTCATAAATACCAGATAGTAAGTAGAACAGAGTGTTGTCAGATCCTTGTAAGCAAAGCATGGACAAAGGATCAGTATTTTAATCAGATTGGAGCTGTTAAAACATCATGCAGAATAGGCAATCAGCTTATAACTGTAAAAATGCAAAATGTTAACCATGCATAAAGAGAATCTATGCATTCATTGGTGAATATATTTCTGTCACTTTAAATTTGACACTTGTTAATTCAAAAAGTTTCATTCTTAAAAAGAGTAATTTTATGATTTTTATTGGAATCATACAAATTTTGAGATAGATAACATATTTCAACAAGCAGATCTGCGCTCTTACCTTGTCCAAACTTAATGAATGTCTATGAATGAAGTCAGTATATTTGTTCTACAGAAGAAAGTAAAATTGCATAAAGGATAAAAATTCTGACTTTTCCTGCAAGCTATAAACTCAGGTAAAAGTGATCCTCTTGAGATTTTATTTAATATTTTGTATATCTTCCTTTGTGAATTTCATAAACAATTAAAACCCGTTCATACCAAATGTATCCTTTTGGCACCCTCGTGCACATTATGAAATGATCCTTTTGGCACACCGGTGTAGAAACCGAAATTATCTTAAGGATACACAAGTTTCTATTTTTAGACAATTACAATGCAAATAGAAAAGGTGATCCATTAATAGTATAATAAACACTAAATGCATTCTATATATATTCGTTTCGGGCATAAATTTGATGACAAACACAATGATTTTTCATAGAATGTCGAGAGAAACCTCAAATGGCGGAATCAAAAACAATTAAGATGTAAGATGGTAAACTTATTTTTTACTGTATTTCATGTGTTATTGTTTTATACAGTTCTAGCATAATGTAGATGAAGATTAATTGGTAATCAGTTTTTTGAGAATGCAGTCTGGATAATAAATACCTCTTAGAAGTGTCTCAATTGGTTACTTAACAAAATTGTAAGAGGTTTCATGGCAATAATTCTTTTTTATTTCATCTCATAAGACATTTAATGTCTACTGAAAACTTACATAACAGAACAAAATACTAATATTCATGTACCTTTATATAGACATACATTATCTATTGTTATAAAGAGAGTAAGGAAAGTATACTGCTATTTTTTTGTATGAAAAGATGCTTGAAATAAATGAGTCACAAGGTTGAGAAAAAAAGTAAAATGATTTTTTAATAAGGCCAGGCATTATGAGCAGAATGTATTTTGTTATAGAAATAAGATATTCAGCATGGCCATGCATAATTGACAGAACATTGTTTTTTATCGTAATAAAATTTTCAACAAGGCCAAGTATTATCGACAGAAAGTATATTGGAATAGAAGGAACATTTGATAAACATACTAGGATGTCATATTAATTATTAAATGTTCTCCCCCGCCTAAACATCTAGTAACTTTCATATCAATAAAAGGAGGAGACTCAAAAACACAAGTTAATCATAAAAGACATCAACTTAGTCAATGATGCAATCTCCATCAATGACTACCTTGTTGGTTTTGTGGTTGGGGGGTAGGTAACTGCTTCAAGTGCTGGAGGTTGTGGGTTTGATTCCTGGCAGGTTCAAACCCAATACTAAAAAATTGTTATTTGCTGCTTTTCTGCCAAATATACTGCAAAAAGGAGTACAGGCAAAAGACCAATGAGCACACAGTCAAAAAATGTGGTGAAGGTTGACAATTCTTACTAATGACTTAAATTAAGAGGTCAGGTTGAACTTATTTTATGTACCGTATTCTCAATCTTTCACTTTTATTATAATTAGTAGAAGAAGAAATAAATACGGGTAGAACTTGAAGTATTGTGTGCTAAGCTAGACGGTCTACAATGGTATTATAATGTTAAGATTCTAAGAGGGTTTCATTCAATTCTTATAAGGCCCTAAGGAACTAGTGGATAAAAATTTATAAAGTAGTGTGCAGAAATGACAAAGTCCATATCATGTCAAAGAAAATCCGAAAAATAGTTCTGATGAAGAAGTGAAATAGGAGGTGCAAATGTACATCATGTAAACAAAGATTCTGTGAAAATTCACAAAATTATTTTAATTGTTTCCAGAGCAGTTGCAGATACAAAAGTGAGATGAATGGACAAAGAAACAGAACAACAGATGACAAAAGAAAGAAATGTCTACCCCATCACTATATGCTGCCTGCTTCAGAAAACCAGGGGTACACCATTAAGTGTAAACTAGAAAATACCTTAATTTCACAAAAATTACTACAAAAGATCAAAACAAAGTTAAATACTTGAAGCTCCAAAAAGACTGTATCATTCACCTGAAATTTACCAAAAATGCCAAAAAGAATCCATTTAGAAATTCAATCTAAAAGAAAACTTTTGTCTAAGATTCTCCATATGAAGACTAACATGCTGCTGATGGGGCATTCATAACTATAATGACATTGCTTAAAATAAACTAACATGCTGCTGATGGGGCATTCATAACTATAATGATATTGCTTAAAATAAACTAACATGCTGCTGATGGGGCATTCATAACTATAATGACATTGCTTAAAATAAACTAACATGCTGCTGATGGGGCATTCATAACTATAATGATATTGCTTAAAATAAACTAACATGCTGCTGATGGGGCATTCATAACTATAATGATATTGCTTAAAATAAACTAACATGCTGTTGATGGGGCATTCATAACTATAATGATATTGCTGAAAATAAACTAACATGCTACTGATGGGGCATTCATAACTATAATGATATTGCTGAAAATAAACTAACACGCTGCTGATGGGGCATTCATAACTATAATGATATTGCTGAAAATAAACTAACATGCTGCTGATGGGGCATTCATAACTATAATGATATTGCTGAAAATAAACTAACATGCTGTTGATGGGGCATTCATAACTATAATGATATTGCTGAAAATAAACTAACATGCTACTGATGGGGCATTCATAACTATAATGATATTGCTGAAAATAAACTAACACGCTGCTGATGAGGCATTCATAACTATAATGATATTGCTGAAAATAAACTAACATGCTGCTGATGGGGCATTCATAACTATAATGATATTGCTGAAAATAAACTAACATGCAGCTGATAGGGCATTCATAACTATAATGATATTGCTGAAAATAAACTAACATGCAGCTCATTTAGCATTCATAATATAATATTGCTGAAACAAACAAACTGCATAAAATGACAAGTAATTCACTGCTGTTTGAGATATGAACATCTTTTAAAGCCCCATTCAGACAAAATTTGAAAAGATGTGCTGTTCACAAAACTGTTGAAAGTATGAGGGATTGGATAGTATAGCATGTTCAACAAGTTTGGTAATTTTGCTTGCCTTTTTTGTGAGAAGCTATTGTAAGCAGTACAAATAAAAATGAACACTTGCAGACCACTACTTAGGCTGGGTTTCCAGATGGTAAATAACAATACTGAGAATTAATTAGACAAATCAGTGTGTCCATCTCAATTGCATTGAATTAAAAAACTTCTCAACAAACTCGGTAAGTAAACTGACCTTATTTTTGTTAAACATGCTATTGTGATAGCTTTAATACATGATTTATAACTATTGGAGTCCCCATAAAATTCCTTTTTGGAACCACACTCTCATAAACATAAGATATGGGGGCTTCAATACCAAGCCTAACTCGCAATAAGGTCAAAAGTAGACCTGCCATTTACTACTTAAATCTCAACACACAATAACTTTCAAGGAATCAACTGCTTATCTGCTAGAAAAGCTGACAACAAGGAAGACCTGCCATTTACCTACTTAAAACACAACACACAATAACTTTCAAGGAATCAACTGCATATCTGCAAGAAAAGCTGACAACAAGGTAGACCTGCCATTTACCTAATTAAAACTCAACACACAATAACATTCAAGGAATCAACTGCTTATCTGCTAGAAAAGCTAACAACAAGGAAGAAAATCCTATTTTTAAAAGTTTCTGAGTTGAAGGATTGTAATTAAGCTAAAAGTACATCCATTGGAACAAATTCATATGTTATACCTTAATTTGTGCATAACCTACACAAAATTATCTTCCACCTTTTTTTACTTGATATCAGCAAAATAATCTTTCAGAATGGCTGACATCTAAGCAGAAAACTGTCATAAAAATTATAAATTCCAATGGTCATAATTAAGTTAGAAATGAATCACCCAAATCAAAATTCATATGTGATACTAGTATGTAATATTACTCATTGAAAAGTTAAATAACAAATATTAATGCATTATCTACAAGGAGGAGAAAACCGTTATTATTCATAGATAATGAAATCATAAAAAAATCTACCATAGTGTTTGTTTTACCCTTATATGTTATAGTCATAAATACTGCCTTGTTAGTTTGTTGGTTGGTTGGGTGAAACCACTAATATAATTTTGGAGTTAGACACATAAATGTAATTGAATCCAATTAAATTCACCTGACCAATAAGCAATATAGAAAAAGTTTACAATGTTGCCAAAAAAATGAAAGACAGGTGATGAATCCCAACTTATGAAAGAGCTCATATTCACCTTCTGATTTAAAATATTCTAAACATTCATTCAAGTGTATTCTGAATTTACATGAATAAATCCTTTAAGGCCTCTTTCTCTGGTGAAGCTGTTATATTATCTGTTTAGTGTAAATAGGCAGAAATTCACAGTTCAACCTAAACATTACTTAATCATTCCGATTCTGCAATGTACAATGCCCTTTCACAACCCTCTTACTTTATTACATTTTGTATTTTAATTATTTCTTTGTTAGTTTATAGATATTTATAAGCACCTTAGCAAAACAGTGAACTCATTTATTCATTACCATGCCCATATACAATAGTATGATCACATGCATTAGGAAAACAGATGTTACTTTATTATCATAGGCATTGCTTTGTTATATCATATGATGAATATATTGACAAAGTCAAAAACTGAATCCAAGAAAAAGGTAGATAAAGACTGCTGTAGGATTTAAATCGTAGGTATCTACATTACTGTAAGTGTAAATATTTTCATGGAGATTAATTTTGTAATTTCATTTTTCAATTTGCACTGGCTTTTCTTTACCTAGAAGGTTGTCTTATTTCAGTTTTTACAGATAAAACTTCATGGGTTTAATATTCACAACATTTCTGATGGCCTTTCCAAAACATTTAGCTCATTACTTAAGCAAAGAGAAGCAAGAAAGAATTTTGGCAGGCAAAGTTACAGACAGCAAACAGCTTAGATTATTTTCTAATCAGCTTGACATTTAATCTGATCTTACCTTCATAGACTCTGCTTTAGATATAAGTTCATTCTCAAGCTCTGTATATGTCATCCCTCTAAATGCTATAGGTCTCTGGAATGGCTGCCTGTTACATTGGAACTTTGGATTTGTAATCATACCATCCAAATTATATTCATGATGTTGTATTAATTCTACAGGTCCAGGAAAGGGCCTACCATCAGATATTTTATACATGCCATCTTGTCTTTTCTCAATGTTGTAGTGATGGAAACTAAAATATAAAAAAGTTTATATAGCTACTTATATCATTATTTGTGACAAATGATAAACTCTGAAGTTCATGTTGCTTATGAAAAAAGACCTCTTCTGAATTAACCTTCATCTGGAACGTTTGTGACAAACACCATGGGAAACCAAACTAACAATGAATCCACAAACATGAAAAATAAATCAACCAGGTAATACATGTTCAACAGGAATAATGTGTAGGTAATTGGTACAAATTGCAACATAAAGGAGTGTTTAAAGCAAATACCCCTGTTTTGCTTTTGCATACAGAAAATACAAAAACAATATATGTCTTGGAAAAAAGGGAATAGAGAAGTGGTGAAATCGGAAAATGAACCACACAGTATAAATTAAAGATATCAATTGTGTTCCCAATCTCAAAACAAAATATTAACATTTGTACATAACATGTAATGAACATTCAGAGAAGCTATGGTATAGCTGCTAATATATAAAATGTGACAGAAATATGTGGAAAACAGATATACAGTGATGACAGTAGTTAATCAATTTAATGCCCCTCCAACAATGGGAAATGATTTTTCATTTTCTCATTTTCTCATTTACCAGCAAGATAAGTATTATTTTTACCAAAAAAAGATGATTGAGATGGTCCTTTTTATATTATTAAACAAAAATAACTTAAGATTGAAACAATACATTTTATTTGTCAACTATTGTATGTAAATATTGGTGATAAATATGTAATGAAAAGATGGAGGAACATATATAGGAACTGACTTAATCTATTTACATATTAATCTATTTAAGGCCTTCAGTTTCAGTTGTGAAGGAAATTTGACTCACCTTTGATGAACTTTTTTATCAAAGTAGATTAAGGGCACTTTGATAACTAAAGAAAGATTGGAAATACTACCCTGGTATTACTGATAGACTCAAGTTATTTTTAACAAGTTACTTCGTCCAAAGGACTTTCATGGCCTCCATGCAGAAATGTGTATATAATATATTGACATTATATATCTTTCGATTTAATTTTTGTCTGTTTCTGCTATTTGGATGCTTTGTAATTAACATATACATCTATCAATTGCTGCTGTGACCTTGACCTAAAATCTAGTGACCTCATTCCAAGGCTTTTTTCACCCCCAGGAGTAATATCCAGCAAATATTGGTAAAAATATGATTTATTGATGCCGGTAAATAGAATTTATCTGGAACAAATCTTTTCACAAAATTTCAGTTTATTTTGTCCTTCAATGTTGACCTACTGGCCAAAAAATTAAAAAAGAGTCTGTTCTTACGGGCATTCTCTAGCTAAATTTCATAAAGATTGGAACTATGGTTTAAAAAATATCATCCAGAAACCCAAGTGCAATCTACCATTTGCACATGACACAAGTCTATAGGAAAGTAGTATTTTGTCAAAAACTCAAATTTGTGATTCTCCAATGCTCATAAAATCAGCAGAATTAGTATACCTCAAATAAAAATGAAACTCAGTATTAAAAAGTCGTGTTTCCTTGTACATTTTTTTTAAGTAACTTCTTAGTTAAATTAAGTTTTCTCTTTCCCATAAGTTATGCATCTGAATTTTACATCAGTGCACTCATTGATAAAGTAGTCTAGAGGAAACAGGAAGTATTGATCTAAAAGGTCAAATGCCAAAGTCAAAAGGGAATAGTATTATTTGATATCAAAATATGTGTTCACTTCCTTATCCAAGTGAGTCAGCTATCAATAAAATATATACATTGTAATTTGACAGAGTATACATTAATTATTGATTTGTTGTTTTTCTATTAATATCAAGATGTGATGGCCCTGTTAAATAGCCTCAATGCAAATGCATCTATGAACTTTATTATCTGAAATAAGATTTAAACTATGGATTCTTTTATTTCCATGGATACCATTTTTTGTGGATTGAGTTAAAAAAAAGTATTTTCCTGAGTTTATGATTTTGTGGTTTTGCCAATATTTGCATACAAGTCTATAGAAAATGTGTACTTATTTAACATTCAAACTTGTGGTTTATCAATACCCACCAAATCCTCCATAATTGGTATCCCACAAATAATCCACAGTACAAGACGTAAATATTCCAAGAATCATCGAAATTTTCTAAAGTGGTACTCATATTAATATGTAAATTGGAATTTTTGGGAAGATAAATGTAGGTTTCCAACATTCATAAGTAAAGATTATTATAAGTAACGATTATCGTTAAATAGATAAATTGGCACATATATTATTAACCTTATACAATTAGAAGGATTAAAACATTAAATGATATTAAAATTTAATGATACTTCCTGATACAAGATCATTTAATTTATTGTAACAAAACAATTATTAATAAAGTGTTATCTTCAGTTGATCTACCATCACTTCTAATTATTGCAATTAATATGATCTGATTTTTTTAAATAACTCTTTCTACTTATTATCGTAATTGTGTTTGTTTTATCTTAATTTTTATTTTGCATATAACCGAGTCATCTACAACACTGAAAAGTGAATTAAAACAGATATTGACAGAAAGAACAAGAATTTGGCACCTCAGTATTGAATCAATAATATTTTGGTGTATTTCAACCAGGGGCGGGTCCAGGTAAGGGCGTAATGGGCATACGCCCCCCCTTTTCCAAAAAAAACAAAAACAAAAAAACTATCGTTATCTGCTTATATTGTATTGAATATGGCAATTTATCATATTCATTAATTAAACACATACTCTGATTTCTTTTATACTGATTCCCCCATCCGATGGGTGACTTGGACACCTTTTTTAAACAACCAAAGCGGTAAGTAAATCTATACATGGAATGGTTGTTTTGTGTGACACTTCCCCAATGGCCATTCTACATCTACCCGGGGGATACTCGCTATATATATGATACCAGGTATTTTCCAACAAACGGGGTTGCATTTTCAGCTATATTGTCTGAAATGGGGTTATGTTTTTTTCGCCTTGCATTGGAAGGGGTCAGATTTGACTATCTAGAACGGGGTATTATAAATACAATGTTACACTATTGTTTCAGATAAGGGTGAATGTTTGGTACCATTAAAACGTTTAAACCCGCTGCAACTGTTTGCACCTGTCCTAAGTCAGGAATCTGATGTTTAGTAGTTGTCGTTTGTTGATGTGGTTCATAAGTGTTTCTTATATAGATTAGACCGTTGGTTTTCCCGTTTGAATGGTTTAACACTAGTAATTTTTGGGGCCCTTTAAAGCTTGCTGTTCGGTGTGAGCCAAGGCTCCGTGTTGAAGACCGTACTTTGACCTATAATGGTTTACTTTTATAAATTGTGACTTGGATGGAGAGTTGTCTCATTGGCACTCATACCACATCTTTTTATATCTACTAAATTGAAAACAACGTTCAAACCTATGATTGCGTTGGATAAAAACCGCAATTTTTATACGTGTGCATGCAAAACAAATTTCTTGGTAAAGGGGTCTAAATACAGCACAAACAACATTGTCCAAAAGACCAAAACAGTGAAAAGGTATATTTTAACAAAACAGGTATATATATATATCAAAAGTTCAGAAAAAGCTATCGTTAAAGATTTATTTTCCATTTTTCATGCCCATTTCATATAACCTTTTAACTGAATTTATAACTTCTTCCAAAGATTTGATATCCACATGTTAATCAATACATAATTTGAATGATCCGAAGGCAGACTATTTTCACCAATTTGTCTATCATGGAGTCTGTTATAATACTTCATAATTTGATGCTAAATTGTTGAAATCCAGGAGCTTCTGACCTTCCCCATGGACCCTATACCAGGGCAACCGGAATTACGCCTCCTGTTCATAAAATCCTGGCCTAGGACTATTGAAATGTAAAGTAACGCCCTATACCCTAGAATTTGGAATTTCTCGTTATTGGTCTACTGCTGTTAAGATCCATCCAATCATTTTAATATACCATAGACAATTAATGGAGAGAATTTGGCATAAAAAATATCAAACCCTGACACTTTAACTATAATATATACATGCTCCAAGTCAAAGAACCGTTATATTAGTGCATTTCACAATTATTTTATGTTTTTTAGCCAAAAAAAGGTCCAAAAAAATTGTCGCCTAGCTCCGCTCGGCGACAGATTGTATTCTACACCCCCTCTTTCAAATATCCTGGAAACGCCCCTGGTATTTCAACACCAAAATACCCTGATTTATGGTAGAGCAGACCCATTTATTAAATTGGACCTAGGATGTGCAACTTCAACTTTTGTGACCTTGAACTAAAAGCTAGCAATTCATTTTTGGGAGAAAAAAAATTCCAAAAAGGGCAGACTGATGGCCAAACCAAATAAATTAAATGATAATACAAAAAAAGCAATCACTAATACATTTTTCAAAGGACAGAAAACACTACAATTGAACAAAGACATTCCTGAAATGGGACAGCATTGAACTGGTGGAACAACAAAAGAATGTTAAACACATCAATTTGGTAAAGGCTGGAAACTTTTTAACATCAAAATTACAGACAGTAGGTACAAGTGAAACCAAAGATGAAGCCCCTGCCATATGCACGAATATAGTTCCTGAAACATTAGATTTACCCAATAGTGATGTTGAAGTACAACTTGAAAATTGTTGTGTCTGTTATACACATTTGAACGAAGATTTATTCAATAACATAGCATCTTTGCAAGGCAATGATTTCCCTAGATGATCAACCCTTTCTTTTTAACAAAATTGGCCTCATCCTACATTGTGTACATGTATGCCTCTATATTTGTTGTTCTCTGATGTTGGAATGAAATGGCATGGGTGACAATATGTTGTCAAAAAAGAAGATATTTTTTGTATTTCTAGAGAAGCATGGCTATATTTGACTACATATCAAGCAAAATCATTTGATCATCAGCCTTTACATGTATGGTTTTCTTGTTTGATTTGTTTTACATTAGTCATTTTGGGGAATCAGGGCCTTTTATAGCTGATTATGCGGTATTGGTTTTGCTCATTGTTGAAGGCCGTACGGTGACCTATAGTTCTTAATTTCTGTGTCATTTGGTCTATTGTGGAGAGTTGTCTCATTGGCAATCATACCACATCTTCTTTTTATATAGAATCAATCAAATGTGCGCTATACCATATACATATAAAGGGGAAAACTATGGGAAATATGTCAATAGGACGGCAAACCAATAACAAAAATAAGGATATCTAGATAACAGCATATACTGTAACAACAGAATTTCACAAGCAATTTATTTCAACTACATTCCCGAGTACAAAAACCTTATTTAACTTCATCAAGTAGGTTTGAAAATCGTGAAATAAAATTGCATCGAAGTAGACTAGAAAGGGTTAACACAAAATAAAGTATCCACAAAAATAAGTTGGTTTACAGTATATTATGCATGACTTTACTGTTTTCCACTCTCATATGTAAAAACTAGATCTGTCAGAATGACATGAATCGCCCTGCTGGCAAAAGAAGCTTAAAGCCATTTTTAGGAGTGGAAATTTTCAAAGTCCAAAGCCCCTAATTTCAGCAAAAATCAGTGGAGCTGAACCAAAAGTAATCTGATCTGTAACTTATCATAGTAGCCTCACATACTAAAAGCCAGCTCCATATGTGAAGGCGTTTAGAAAAAAAATCTGTATAACTGTTTGTTGCAATGACGGAATGACAGAATGACGGATAAGGGTAACACTATATGGCCCCGACTTAAGTCGGTGGGGCCATAAAAAAATAGAATGATCTCAAGTTGAGAAATATTGATTGGATGACTTAATCACGTTTAATGGATAGCCATGAGATCACGGAATCCTAACCACTAGACTGCCTTGGTCTTACTTCTAGTTGGGTAACTTAACACATATAAAGAGCAACAATAACAGCACTCCTGCCTTTTTATATGTAACAATATCATTGGGAATGTCATCTGGCGTTAGAATGCAAATAAAGATTGTCAAAGGCAATGAAAGCCCTCCTTGATGTTGACCCTAAACACATAGTTTCCTCCCCTGAATTAACCTTTTTCTGACTGATGATGCCATAGGTATCCATAAAATTGTGACACATCCAAACAAAACCTTTGCAGTAAGAATCTAGTGTTTCCTGCAGCTTTTAAATAGGGCAGGGTAATTTTTTTCTCAGAGGGAACTCTTATCAAAATTGCAGATTCGCTACACTTTAAGGACACCCTTTGAGTTGAGGACTACACTTTTAAGGCACCCTTTACACAGATATAAAGGCACTGTTATGGATAGGGATTTTTAAAATTGAAATATACCATTGTTTCATATTTACTGGTAAGAAATAAGATATGCATATCCTTTTTGTAATAAAATTATCCCTTTTAAGACTCAGTTAATAGAATCTTGATAGTGCAACTGCCTCATTTTAATCAATAACTCCAGTTATAAACTTTAATACTGGATCCCTGATTGTCTAAGGATGTATTGTGAAAGTGTCAACACTTGCATGACCAAGAGCATATGCATTGCTTTTTAGCTGAACAAAAGAATTCGTGCCAAATACCTTTTGGATCGGACATGTTTATACCAATCAAAGCTACCATTACCTCAGTTCATAACTGTACACAACTTTTTAGGCCATTCATCTTTTTTCCTTAGTCTCAGTTCTGTGGTTTTTTTTTATTGAAACGGTGTTGATTTTATGTACTACATGTAATCAAAACCATACCACCTATTTTCTCTTAACTTTAATTTTAAATTGTCTATATTTTAAATTTGCAGAGGTACAAAGTTGATGTTGTCCTTTTAGATCTAATCATGAACCATATTTGTACTTGATCCCTTCAAAAATTTTCTAACATAATCATGAAATTCGATAAATTGTCGGCCTTTAAAATTTTGATTTTGTGTAAAGGGAAACAACTTGAAAATGTCTTATTGAAAGGTGAATCGCAGAACCCATCTTAAATTACGACAGGGCGTTATAAAATATGACGGAAAAGGATATGCAGTCAAATTTTTTTCCAAATAAGGGCAGGGTGTCAAGAAAAAATGGCAGAACACCATAACATGCCAAAACCTCCTGTAGGAAACACTAGAATCAGTTGCTATTCAATGAAGTTATCTTACTTGTTATTGTGACAGATGCTAATAGCATAGTTTCCTAGTGGGTTAATGCTCTCTCTTAGTAAATATAATCCTTCTTTCTTATCATAGCTGGCCAGAATTTGTTCTGCTTCCTCTCTTGTTATTCTACCATAAAAATATGGAACCGATGACGGTTTAATTGGAGCTGCCGTTGCCATTAGTTATCAAACCATTAATTACTTTTCAAACTGAACCATTCAAAAACAAATATTCCTGCAAATAAAGGAGAAGTGTAATAAATTGTCCTGAATAACCATAATAACAAGATATGAATCTGAAAAAAAACATTGATTCGCAACAAGGAATAGCATTGAGTGTAATATTTGAATAGTGTAAAATAACTTGTGTTAAAGATTTTTCCATAAAAAAATAACATGAATACAAATTATCTTGAATATGCATATGTCTAACAGCTAAGACCTTCTATTATGGAAATACTTCAACAAACTTTAAACATGTGAAAAAGTTATTGAGGTATGTCAGGTACAAGATATATGTCAGAGACATAACGTAGCCATATCTAAAATGTATGACATTGAATCATACTAATAGCCACCTTAAAATCATCATCTTAGTCCATTGTAGAAAGCCCTGATAAGGATAAACGTGGCTTTCGATATCAAATAATTCTTGTCCTAGACATATGGATATTGACATTTAGAGTTTACCTTATGAGTCTTTTCTGTAGATCAGTTTATTCAGTTGCTTCAGGTGAACTTTTAACTTATTTGAAGCATCTCATCTGAAAAACAATTTAGATTTTGAACTGAAGCTGTAGAGAACTGCAATAAAATTAGAAAATCTAATGACAACCCTTCTTCCTCAAAAGAGAAAACATTCAAGTAATGAAGTGTCTGATTAAAATTGCAGACATAAATAATTAAAAATTGCATCAAGGTTCTTTTTAAGACAAACTATTTTCTGTTCATCAATTCATTTTGTCTGTTGACAGATAATGTGATATTTCTAAATACAAGATGATGTAATTATACTTATAGCACATGAAGAAATAAATGAGTGACTTATAAATATTAAAATCCTGAAGATAAATTAAATCATCAGTGCAAATGCTGTTTGGAGACCATGGATACAATTGGTGTGTTGGTTTTAAAAAGGTCAGTGGAAACGATGAGACATTGTTGAAAATTGGTGTTCAATATTCAGTGTCCACAGGAAGTGGGAAAATGGAGTTGTTTTTGGCATGTCGAGTAATTGCCTTATTTAATAAAATATGTTGTTCTATACGACCATAGTGAACATGTTCAATGGATTTTTGGCCATAGGTTAGGGTTAGTTTTAGGACTAGTGTTCAAGTTGGTATGGGTAATGGTTAATGTTATGGTAATGGTTAATTTAGTTAAGGTCTAAATGGAATAGGTCCCTTAAAGTTAATGACGGCAGGTCAGGATTTTTTAATTTATTTGATTTCTTCCCTTTTAAAATATAAGCTCAAAACACAAAAGCTGAAACTAATATTAATGATAATTTAATATTGAAGCTATTCTATTTAGCATTAGGACTATTTTAAAATCAAAGGTGACACTTTTTTATTTATTTCAGGATAAACAATTCTTCAGTAGCTCAAATTACTATCAAACTTGCTTAAAACAGCAACGTCTCTTTAGTCTCTGCAACGTGATACATGTAAAACACTACAATTTAAGTGTTGCATGAATAATTGACAAACAAGACATCTTAAAATCTTAGCAATGCTTAAATTAAAATTCTAATCATTTCTACATGAAATTAGAAAAGATAGAAATGTTGGCGTGTTTTTAATCCTGCTTACATAAAATATTGTACATTAGGTGAGTTTTCTCTGAAGTTCATTTTGCATCTTGTTTCATATTAAATTGTACAAATGTATGTTGAATAAGTATTTAATTAATCTACAAACCGAATTCCATCAAAGTTGACAAACTTGAATTTCTAGATCATTCAAATCGAACACTCGGTAATTCAGGTCTATCAAGTTTTATGGAGTTTGGTTTGTAGATTTATTTTATACTCTCAGAAGTGAAGAATCTTGACAAATATTTCTTTAAGCAAAATTGGATCAGTCATCTTGGCTGGAATTGTGTACTTTTTCATTATTACTTTAGGATAATTTGGAGATATTCTGCATCAATACACCAATCTTGAGTTGTTATTTTATGAATGTGTTACACCTGCTGGGGTCAATCCAAGTAAATTATGTCATTAAACAATCGGTTCTTACTACGACGTAAATACATAAGCATACGGCAGTTCCGGGATACGGTTTTTAGTTGAATCTGTCATGTGACTTCCATCACCACGTGACAAAAATGTAGGCATCGTCACATCCAACACATGTTGAGCAAACGGGTGAAAAATTTGATTTTATTCTGCACAAAATATTTGGGAAATTATAGTCTAATAAGATGATCAACCTCCCTCAGTCGTAATTATCAACTACAAATCGTAAGCTCTAGAGAGCTTTCAACCGTAACCATGAAATTTCAAAAATGGGATTTTAAAGTTTGCCCATAAAGTCAAGCTGAAAATATGGCTTCAGTGTAATTATGACCTTGTACGAAGGAGTCAAGGCTAAAAATGTTTAATAAGCCTTACAAGATGTCATAATATCGGAAAAACATGGCTAGTTTACAGCTAGACTTTGTCCTTTTTCAAAGTTAACACCTGCCTCATACTTCATCTTTTATAAGTGATACCTGCCTCCAAATAAACCTATATATTGATGTGTTTGGTGTAAAAAATTGCTTAATCACTGTGTCATAGTTTTTGTGAAGCTCTGCCTCCGGCAATGTTGAAGTGATTGTATCTGATATAATTTCTTCTCAACTATCATATAGGTTTTACACTTCCCACTACATTATTCTAATTTTCACTTACAATATCACAAATTAAACTTGTTTGCGTGGTAATTCTTCTTTTTCATCTTTCATGTCATCGTCATTGGCTTTGCTGTCTAGGAAGTAATGCACATCTATATTTAGAAAAAGAAAGTATAGCATCTGAAAACCAAAAAGAAGTCGCCTTAGTAATTGGAGGGTATTGCAAACAAAATTGATTTCAAAATCATTATCAACTCTTGAAAGAAAAAGAACTTCAGAAAAACTGTAAACTAATATATTGATTTCACATATGCATATCCATATAATATTGTTATAACATAAATGTAGAAGGTTCATAGTTGGTTTTTAGTTTTATCTTTATTCACAGTAGTTTTTGCGTTTTATCAAATATGAACCGTCCTCATTTTAGAGATCAATATTCACATTGAATATTATTTTTACGCCAATCACATGACTGATATTGCAGTACTGGAGCACCAATCTGAAATGTAACAGCTAATTTTCGTTTAGATAGCGTCAATATCATTAATTGACTTAAATAATAGATGTTAATTTAAATTTCACTTTATAAAAATACAGTCACAAAAATGCACACTTAAAGTTGTAATGATCCTTTTTTCTGATGTTTACATAAATTGTGTTACTTTGACCATAGATGTATAAACACATCTATGCTTTGACACTTTTTTGTTTACAAATGAAAATGAAGATATGGATTTGAATAGCATTTTTATGATGGGAGATGCCCACATCATGTCAATTGTTGTCTTTTGTTAAAAAGTCCAAACGGATTAAACTCGGGAGAACAAAAAAATGTTAGGATGTCTCAAATATTTTTTTTAAGCCCTGAAGTACATGTACCAGAGGCTATATTTTCAATATCTACTGGGTTTTTTTTATGACAGTATTTGTCGATTCATTAATTGATTTATTTACATATCAAAGTAGACCTCCTCATTCTTTAATTCATGTTTGGCATTCGTATGTCAGAACTAGCAAGAAAGCAACTGCAAACACTTAAGACTGAATTAAATTATTTAATGTTATCTACACTAAGAATCCTTGTGTAAAAGTGCCCATGCATATATTTCCCACTAATATAAGCTCATGTTATATTATCTCTCCTACATTTAGAGGGTTTAGTCCAGTTGTTTGAACATTATTTTTGGTTACAAGGATTAAAACCAATTACAAAATGTTGAAATATGTTTGTTTGTTTAGTCCATATATCTTGTTTTTGTTTACTCTCCTGTAACATTATCAGTAATATCTAACCAACAAGATGAATCAAAACTACCATTAATTGGTGAATATTTTTTAGCATTTTGTCAATTATACATGAAAATCGATAAGAAAACCTGTGTTTATGTGAACAAAGTGAACAATTTTTGTTTGTTCATAAATATAAAAATAAGAAGATGTGGTATGATTGTCAATGAGACAACTATCCACCAAAGTTCAAAAGAAGTGGATGTAAGCAATTATAGGCAACCGTACGGCCTTCAACAATGAGAAAAACCAATATCATATAGTTGGCTAAAAAAGGCCCCAACATGAAAAATATGAAACAATACAATTGAGAAAACTAACGACCTAATTTATAACAAAACAATTTACCAAAGACAAATATGGCAGACATGAACCAACGACAACCACTATAAAACTACAGGCTCACGACTTGGGACAGGCACATAAAGAATGTGGTGGGGTGAAACATGCTTATTCCAAGTTACTAGTTCTGTCTTTAAAACCTGCTTAGAAAAATGTTGAATACATGTTCATGATTAAGACATTGTCTAGAGAGTTCTTAACTTCAGAAAACTGTATATACTAATGATGTTGCTACTTTTCCCACAGAAGAAGAAATAACTTGATAAAAACATTGACTTATGTGGCAAGTGTTACCTGTGAAAGAGGACTAAGTCAGTAAAAATAATTATTTTAAAACTGATTTATTTTTTTGCAAAATTTAAACTACAGAAAAAAAGTACAACTTAGATCATAACAAAAAAATGTTTTCTTTTTCATTTTACAAATTACAACATTAAAAAAAAAAAAAAAAAAAACTATAATTAAAAAACCATCCATAACTTTTGATATATCCTTCATCATTGACTTCATGAAAGAGGGTATGACAATAAATACCTCTTTCCCAAATTGCAAAACAATTTATTTCCAGTATAATTTCTTGAAAAAGTAGTCGAAATACAGAATCGTATCCCATGTTGATCCTGTTGTTAGGGATTTTATTTATGATGTCATTTTTAAAGTAAACAAAGAAACACTGTCTGCTTTAGGTAACATTTTTTTCATAATAAAGTATTATTTTAATTAAAAGTTTAATTTCTAAAATACCACATCGGCTTATCATTATTCTTTATGCATCATATAAGGGCACAAAAATCTGCCTGATGAGGTGAGCCTTTCCACTATGTCATTTTGTTTGCTATCTTATAAATCATATGTTGAATTAGCACTAGATTCATTTTATTATGACACAAACAGACTAAATTCAAAATATAAATCCTCATATTCTTGCTATTATTCTTTTTGGTAATCAGATATGCAACTTCGCGAAAATTATATGACTTCAATGGCAGCACCCGTCAACAGAACAGGAACAGGGTAATGCGCAAGAGCAACTATTAGAAAAAATTTAAAGATTTTGAGTTCATTGGTATTTTGATTTTACATTGATTTTTTTAGTTTTATTGATTTTCTAACTGTTATTGGGAACTTCATCCCCATATTAAATGAAATTAAACAACTACATTTGTGCAAGCTGACTTGTAAAAAAAACACAGACAATTACATGTAGCAAAGGAAAAGGACCGTATTAGAGCATTTTACATTTTGTTGGGAATTACTGTTAAGTTAAAATTGTTTTGATTTGTGTGGCAATAAAAAATTACCCTAACTGATTATATTGAGAATGGAAACAGGGAATGTGTCAAACAGACAAAAACGTGACCAAACAGCAGAAAACAGCCCAAGGCCACCAAAGGGTCTTCAACACAGCGAGAAAATCCTGCACCTGGATGAGTGATAGATTGATTGTTGGTGTTTAACGTCACTTTTAGCGATATTGGTTATATTGTGGCAGTCAGTTTTCGGGTAAAGATTGCTTGACTTGATATCTAAATCTTCCAAGGTTTATCACTACTTTTGAGATACACAAAATATAGTGCATTGATCATAACATTCTAAAATTCCTATCCATGAACATTTCCAGGAATTTATCAATGAAACATATGCTCAGATATTCAAGTTTCAAAATGATGTTATACTTGTCAAGAAAATTACATAACTTTTGACAGTTGCAGGAATCTAATATTTGTTCTAAAAATACCAATGATGTCATTGTTAAAGTAATCTTTAAATTTGGAGTTATCTTCCTTTGTTCATAATTGTGGATGAATCAATGCTTTATACAATGCAATGTTTAATATGACTTCCCACTGATAAATTAAAGCAAACTTTACCCTTCAGGTTGCACTTTGTAAATACAGCTGTTTCACAAGCCATGCCTCTTTTGGGGAGATATATAATATTCATAGATATGTTAATTTGTTAACGTACAATAATGTAAATGTTGAAAATATGCTGCACAGCCCTATATTATGACCTTTGAATAAGATAGTAATGCATATCAACTTTCCGTTCTGGGATATAATTTTTCACGAAACTTCACGGTAAAATTGGCACAGTTTTAGTCGCAAAGGGAGTTCCTATGGGAAATTGCATTGTCTATATTTACAGAATTGCAACCTATATAGGGTGAAAAAAGAGAACATATAGAATTTCACCAAATCTGGTTTATCTCAGAGATATAAATGAAATTAACTCAAATACAAAGTTTTATGAATACTTCATGAAGATTGAGAAAATTTTGGGCCTTAACTATGATGACTCAATATAAATTCACAGATTACAGTATGCATAGTTTACTTAAAGGCGTGAATTCAAAATAAATTCTTAATGTATGCATATTTGTAATTTGAATTGTTAAGAAGTGCTTATATTTACTCTTCACAGTCATTGAAACTCATAGATTCTTCCTGAATATTGTTTTTGGGGTGTTTTTGTTCTGTCAATAACCCAAAAGTAAGCCGTAACACCTGAATGTGCTTTTTTGTGACCGCGCCATAAAAGAATACAAGCTAGAAATACAAAAATACCTCAATAAAACAAACAATAGTGTGTTCTATCCTAAAAATGTACTTAATATTCCATATTCACAGAAAAAGCAGAATAATTTAGCAAATGTGAGGCCCCAGTGGCAAAAAAAACCCAGAAAAATGCCTACCCCCTGGGTCACAAAACAGATAATTTAACCTGTAAATACTATGAATTTATTATTTTAAAGTCTTTTGAATAGAAATCAATAACTGTGCTTTGAAATTGTGCAAAAAACAGGTGTTAGCAGTCAGTTCTATAAAATTTTTAGTGAAGTCATACATTAGACTGGTAACTTCATACATACAACTTTTGAAAATATGGCTTTGTTTAAACACTTCTAGTTCATATATTAGCTTAATTATGTTAGATATATGGTTAGAGATGATATTGTTGTGACAACATATCTGCACTGACCATTTGAGGTAAAAATTGTTAACTTTAATTGACAAATAGGCATACAGTAAGATGTGGACTGGAGACTAAGGCAGGATTGGATACTTTATATAATCTTGAATGTTGGAATGATTAACTACTAAACTTTACATTTATAGTATTCTGAAATGCTTTTAATTTGTTATAAGAATAGTTTCAAACAAGTTCTAGACATTTCATGTCAGAAAACATGCACATAGGGTGAGTTGACAATAATTAAAGTCTTGTTTTCAAATTCTTTAAAAAATTGAAACAGGGGTGGGGGTATAAAATGTACTATATAAGAAAAGTTAAGAGTATATGCAGTGATTTCTTCATGGCTATAATTCTGATAAATAAGTATTGTTGTGAGAAAAGTGTTTTTCAAGAGTTTTCTATTTGAATAAATGTTTGTATAGGTTGTACTTTGTAAATACAGCTGTTTCATAAGCCACACCTCTTTTGGGGAGATATATAATATTCATAGATATGTTAATTAGTCCCCTACCGACGAAGTTGAAGGGGACTTAAGGTTTGCACTCCATCCATCTGTCTGTCTGTCCATCCGTCCGTCCGTCCGTATGTTTCCAGACTTTTTTCTTCGTGCTTGAAGATATTGATTTGATATTTGGTTATTTGATTTATCATGACAAGTTACAGGTCAAGTTCAATTTTCACGATTTTAGCTTTTCTCTTTGTTCAGTTAAAGCCCTTTCCCTAGAATTAAATTTTTGATGAAATACTTATTTATTAGTAGATTTCTGTTCAAAGGGAAATAACTAATTTTTTAAAAGACAAAACGACATTTGGGATTTTTTTCCTTTTCTTTGGTAAATTGTTTGAAGAATTTAGTGGTAGGTTTGTTTGTCATCCTTGAAGATATTGATTTGATAATTAGTATATAGTTTTATCATGACAAGTTACAGATCAAGTTGGAATTTTGTTCCAGTCTGATAATTTGTGCAGAGTTATGGTCTTTGGACATAGAAAATTCACTTAAATAATCAGTTTTCAACAGTTTTTTTCGTCATGCTTAAAGATTTTGACTTGATATTTTTATGTAGTTTATACACCATGACAAGTTATAGATCAAGTTAGAATTTCGTTCCATTACAATGAATTTATATCCGGTAGGGGACTATGTATTGCCATGCAATACTCACAGAATGCTTGTTTGTTAACGTACTGGTTCCCAGATATGATCTCTGTGTTTCATCTCATAGAGACATAACTTGGGAATGTTACCAGTATAGAAAAACATGGTAGCTCCTAAAATTTTATTCTTAGGAGGTCCAAAAATGGAGGTAGGGCTAGTATAGAATTTTAGTATAAGTTTAAACTCTTAGAAGTTCATTGCTTATAAATGTTGAAAATATGCCGCACAGCCCTATATTATGACCTTTGAATAAAATAGTAGTGCATATTAACTTTCCGTTCTGGGATATAATTTTTCACGAAACTTCACACTAAAAGTGGCACAGTTTTAGCCGCAAAGGCAGTTCCTATGGGAAATTGCATTGTCTTTATTTACAGTCTTGTATTGTTTATCTCTGGTTTTCCAATTTATCAAACTGTTTAAAGTCTACTGTATATTCTCATTGACATTTTTCTTTTCAGATGAAGTTTTTATTGTTAGTTCTGATCTCTAGTGCTATGGCTGCAAAAGGTATTTAGCATAAAAATGTTAAAGAGTAAATAGCAGTTGAATCTTTACAGTTCTGAATATGAAATGTATACAATTTGTTTTATAACATCTGAGCAAACAAAAACACACTAGAAAAATATTCTCTATGACATAGATACATATATTGGTTAGGAAAATTAACCATCATACTGTCTTTGTCCATACACTCTCATAAGTAGAGATAGAATAGTTCATATGTATAGAGAAACTAGAATTAAAAAAAAATAGATTTGTAAGCACTTTTTAAGCCAGCTAGTCTGCTATATTTCATGGTCTGAATGCTATTCTAAAAAGTTTAAATTGTGATATAAACGATAAATGCCCATAGATTTTGGAACAGTTGAATTTATTTCTCCTGTGTAATCGCTATTGCACTTAATTTACCATTATTCCAAATATATTGCCATATATAGATACAAAACTTTTAATTAATTTCTTCAGAGTTTCATACACTGGATGTACTATACTCCAGAGTCCCAGCAGATGCACAGCAGAGGACAGTTACTGCCCTTATACAGAGAGTTGTTGGTGCCAGAGCCAGTCAGTTTAAAGCAATAGTCAATCCAGCATTAGGACCAAATAGAATTGATACTTTTCATGTATGTTAAAGGATTATTTGATATGACCAAATGCATACATAAAGCCTTTTATTTGTAGTAATAGTGATTATTAATATTTCTTCCATTTAGATTTATTTAATTTCTTAACATTCAATGTCAAAGATATCATATTAAGTCTTGATTCTAAAATTCAGTGTTCTCGAAATCTTTTTCCCCTGGTGGTCCTTGAAAAAAATCCGCTGGTCCTCACTATTATATCTGTTACAACTGTCAACATACCAAAGTAGTGTAGGTCATTTGCAAAATTTTGGTGGTCAAAACCATTGGACCACCACTTTTCGAGAACTCTGTTTTAAAATGTTGTTTCCTTAAAGAATGAGCCATTTGTATTTGTCTCTTTTTTTTTTTTGTTACAGTGGTGTAAGACGGAGCCAGGATTTTCACTTTCTGTTAGATTTTAACAACCATTTGATTCAGTGAAGCATTGAATATTGAAAAAATGTCTTTATCTAAAATTAATCTATTTTTCTTAGCAGCATCATCAATCTGAGAAGCTATCTTTTTCAACCACTATTTTTTTTTTATTATGGTCCTCAACAAATATTTCAAAGGCTTTAGCAATTGCTTTGTTTATCCATTGTTGTGTCAGAAACAAATGGTTTCCAGGATATAACCTTGCATGAAGGACGTTTTGCTGATTAAGGAGATGGGTAGTCATTTCTAGTAAATATCTTTAATTAAAAAATCCTATGCATTTGTCGAATTGGTGCAGTTGTATGCCAGTTTAATAAGCACAAATTAAAACGTTTACTTTCAAAGCAAAGTGGGGCAAATGTAGCATTGATACAAATAGATTTTAGAGCAAGTAAATGCAGTTAAAGCACAAACCAATATTGGCCGGAATTTGAATATATAGTTTTATGAGGAAATAAGTATTTAACTCCCTTAATGATGTTTAATGCTTTTTCTAACCAGCAGCTTTTCTAGATTTAAGAACATTAAAAAGCACTTTTTTTCTCTCTTTTTCAAGATTCACAAGAATGAAATTTGTCTCTAACAGTGGAATTTATTACTTAAATATTTTTAAAAGGAATTTTTATGATGTCCTGGATATGATTTTATTTGGAAGTGATACTTAAGTTTTTAAATGATATTTTACATATATATATATAAATATTGTATTAGATGAAATGTTATTGAATGATATATATTTTAATTTTAAGGAATGGGGATGTGGTCACACGGGTCCTCATATAACCATTAAAACCTACAGAAATTGAAAATTTCTTCCTTAGATGAGGTTGAAGAAACAAAACACTATTTCTATTTCATCTATAGCCATTTGTACAATGTATTTACAGCTTGTCAGTGAGAATGGTACTGTAACTATAGGAGGCAGTACAGGGGTAGCTGTAGCCATGGGGCTTTACTACTACCTAACCAACTTCTGCAACTGTCAAATAACATGGGCTGGACAACAGTTAGACATTCCTAAAGAACTTCCAAAGTTACCTAAATCTGGTGTTACAGTTTCTGCTAATGATAGGTCAGTATATCTCTAGTGGTGTCTTAACTATGCAAAGTGATGTGGCAAAGTAAATATTATTGATAACTTATTATACCTTGCTACCATTGAGACAATAGTCTCATTGTATAGTGACTTGCAGTTTGATGACTTCAATTAATTTTATGTCACCATACTTTGAATAGAAAATTAAATACCCTTTTGTAACTCTAACTTATACGGTTTTGAATATGCCAGTCTTATTGTTATCTTTATGAGAATTGATATTCAGGTTATCATATACATGTAACTCATCTCCATGAGTGTTTTATAAATGACTTTTGTATGCCCCCGTTGTATCGGAGGGGGCATTAAGTTTTACCCTTGTCTGTCCGTACGTCCCAAAGTTGGTTTCCATTCTCTAACTTTAGTTTGCCGCAATCAAATGTTATCAAACTTATACACAATGCTTATTACCACAAAACACAGATCAGGTTTGAATTTTGGTGGCGTCACTTTAACTGTTCTTGAGTTATGCCCCTTTTAAAATGGAAAAATTGCTGAATTTTTTCGTTTCCATTCTCTAACTTTAGTTTGCCTCAACCAAATGTAATGAAACTTATACACAATGCTTATTACCACAAAATACAGATCAAGTTTGAATTTTGGTGGTGTCACTTTAACAGTTCTAGAGTCATGCCCATTCACAAATGGAAAAAATGCTGAATTTTTTCGTTTCCGTTCTCTAACTTAAGTTAGCCTCAACAAATGTTATGAAACTTATACACAATGCTTATTACCACAAAATACAGATCAAGTTTGAATTTTGGTGGTGTCACTTCAACCGTTCTAAAGTTATTCTCCTTTACAAAAGAAAAAATTGCTGAATTTTTCGTTTCCGTTCTCTAACTTAAGTTTGCCTCAACCAAATGTTATGAAACTTATACACAATACTTATTACTACAAACTCAGATCAGTAACAAATTTGGGTAGTGTCACTTTTACCGTTCTTCAGTTATGTCCCTTTATAACTTTATATGATATGCAAGCAGGGGCCTCATTTGTGTCCCATGGACACATTCCCCATTTATTTTTATACGACCGCAAAAAAATTTTGCGGTCGTATATTGGTATGATGTTGGCGTTGTTGTCGTCGTCCGAAGACACATTGGTTTTCGCATAATAACTTTAGTTTAAGTGAATGAATCTCTATGAAATTTTACCATAAGGTTCAATACCACAAAAGGAAGGTTGGGATTGATTTTGGGGGTTATGGCACCAACAGTTAAGGAATTAGGGGCCAAAAATAAGCATTTTTCTAGTTTCCAGACAATAACTTGTGGAACGGTGTATGGATCTCTCTGAAATTATACCACAAGTTTCCATACCACAAAGGGATGGTTAGGATTTGCTTTGGGGGGTTATGGCTCAAACCGTTTAGGAATTAGGGGGGAAAACAAGGGTGTCCTGGTTAATGGACAAATACTTTAGTACAAAACATAATTTAGAGCAGTATAGGTAATTCAAATACATCATTTGAATTACCTCCCTTACACTGCTTTTAAATTATGTATAAAGTAATGGTTAATGAACTATTAAGACAATTTAAAACAGTGTAAGGGAGGTAATCCAAATACAACGTTTTGATTACTTCCCTTACACTGCTTTTAAATTATGTTTAAAGAAAGGCATATTTATAAAGGAAGACCAGTAATAATATGTGCAAATGTTGCATCTTTTTTTTTTTACAAAAAAATCCATATGAAAGATTTGACACCATATTTTAAATTCTATTATAAAATAGATTAAGTTAGCACTATGTTAAATTTAAATGGGTAATTATGGTTGCAAACTCCATTGGAAATTTCAATTGAGATTATGACCATATCTTGAGGGAAAGAATTTTTTTGGGGGAAAAGGGGGGGGGGGGGGGGGTAAAAAGAAATTGTGGGGGGTCAATTTTTTCTCATTTCAGATTTCAGAAATTAAAAAGAAATCTTCAAATATTATTTTTTTGGCAAAAAAAAAGTGTGTGTGTGGGGGGGGGGGGTTAATACGCAACAGCATAGTGTATTGCACAAATGCAAAAAAAAAAGGGGGGTAATTTTTTTATTTTTTTTGTGGGGGGAGGGGGGTTAATTCGCAACAGCAAAGTGTATTGCACAAAAGCAAAAAATTGAATATAAATTCAAATCATATAACCAATTCTAAGTTCTTTGACTACAGTTAATCTGTGTCAGAAACCTTTTATGTGTCAAATATTTAATAACTATCCAAATTCAGACCTGTATCAAGCGCGAATATTGGGTCCATTTTTGCCCCAACTGTTTATGGTTGGACCTCTGTGGTCGTATCCAGCTGGCTCGGCGAAGCAATTTATTTAAATATATCTAAATGTTTCATTCATATATATGAATGTTGGCACAGATTTATTTAACATCAAATTTCCTTTTTAGAATTTCATGCCATGTTTTGTGAAATAACATATTTCATTTTATTTATATATATCAACAGATTTCGATACTACCAGAATGTATGTACAGTGAGTTACTCCTTTGTTTGGTATAAGTGGGAAGACTGGGAGAAACAACTTGATTGGATGGCATTACATGGACTTAATCTACCATTAGCATTTACTGGACAAGAAGCAATATTTCAAAGGGTAAATAATTTTATTTAATGTTAAAACTAAAAGTGTGTTATATTTTCCCCATAAAGGTTTTTTAGAACTAAGGTTATTGAATAAAGATAAAGGATTTGCAGACATCTATAGATAAAATATGTAGCTTATTGGCTTTGGTCCAATATATGTACTTTATTGAGTTGCTCAGATTCGGTAATCTGAAAAGAAATTTCAGATCTGAAAACTTTGCCTGAATCAGCAGATAAGCTTGATTTTCAATGTTTGAGCTTCTAACATTGATATTTAAACATAAAGTACTGAAGTCATTAAAATTCTTTTCCTTTTTTTTTTACAAAAATTTAGTGCTATCAATAACATATAAATTCAATATAATTAGAAACAATTTCGTCTTTTTTCAATATGTATGCAAATAGCCTATATCTTGTTTTAGGTGTATATGAAAATGGGAATGACTATGAAAGATATGCAGACACATTTTGGTGGACCTGCTTTTCAGGCTTGGTAAAATATTTTGATTTAAAATATTAACTTTGTTTGCATCACAATACAGTAAATAGCTTGCTTATTATGAAAACAGAAGATTCTTTCTCAAATATAGTAGATTTGTCAATATATAATATACATTAATTAAAGCTGAACAGGAAGTTACAGCTGTTCCATATATGGACATATGAGGTAACAGGAAGGCACTTTAAAATCTCAATTATGGGTGGGTGTCAAGTTTTTTGTCAAGCCTGTGACATTTATGTTGTGAAAGCAAGACCTAGGGATCCTACATTCCGTCAGCGGCATCAACATTTAGGTTCAGTCTGTGGTTAAAGATTTTTTAGACATCAATAAATTTGTCAAACCCTCTTGGAATTTTATGAAATTTGACAGAAGCTTGATTATGACCAAAGGATAGTATCCAGAGCAAAATTTTGAAAATATTTATTTTCAGTTTTCCGTATTTGACTGATAAATGGACTTAGTTTTTGTCGAGCCTTCGACTTTTGTCGAAAAAGCGAGACATAGCGATCCTACATTCCGTCGGCGTCGTCGTCGTCGTCGTCGTCGTCGTCGTCGTCGGCGGCGTCCACAAATATTCACTCTGTGGTTAAAGTTTTTGAAATTTTAATAACTTTCTTAAACTATCCTGGATTTCTACCAAACTTGGACAGAAGCTTGTTTATGATCATAAGATAATATTCAAAAGTAAATTTTGTAAAAAAAAAATTCCATTTTTTCCGTATTTTACTTATAAATGGACTTAGTTTTTCTGCCAGGAAACATTACATTCACTCTGTGGTTAAAGTTTTTAAAATTTTAACAACTTTCTTAAACTATCCTGGATTTGTACCAAACTTGGACAGAAGCTTGTTTATGATTAAAAGCTAGTATCCAGAAGTAAATTTTGTAAAAAAAAAATTCCATTTTTTCCGTATTTTACTTATAAATGGACTTAGTTTTTCTGCCAGTTAACATTACATTCACTCTGTGGTTAAAGTTTTTAAAATTTTAACAACTTTCTTAAACTATCCTGGATTTGAACCAAACTTAGACAGAAGCTTGTTTATGATTAAAAGCTAGTATCTAGAAGGAAATTTTGTTCCATTTTTTCCGTATTTTACTTATAAATGGACTTAGTTTTTCTTCCAGTTAACATTACATACAGTCTGCAGTTTAAGTTTTTAAAACATTTATTAGATTCATAAACTATCCTGGATTTTTACCAAACTTGGACAGAAGCTACTTACAATCAAAAGATAGTATAGAGAGGAATATTTTTATTAATTTTTTTCCTCATTTTTGCTGAGCCTGTGATTAACAGCAAAAAGTAGGCGAGACACTGGGTTCCGCGGAACCCTTACGAATTTTTTTTACAGTTAACATTCAGATTCAGTCTGAGGTTAAAGTTTTTCAGTCATCAATAACTTTTTTAAACCTTCATGGAATATTATGAAAATTGGGCAGAAGCTTGTTTATGACCAAAATAGAGTATCCATAGCAAAATTTTGAAAATATTTGTTTTCAGTTTTCCGTATTTTACTGATAAATGGACTTAGTTTTTTTTACAGTTAACATTCAGATTCAGACGGGTTAAAGTTTGTTACACATCAATTACTTTGTCAAACCTTTATAATTTTATGAAACTTTGGCAGAAGCTTTTTTATGATTAAGAGATAATGTCTGAAGCTAGCTGGATTGTTATGAAACTTGGACAGAAACTAATCTTCAAGACCAAGAAATAGCATGTTAAGAAAAAGTCTGATTTTTTTTTTAAATTCTATATTTTACTGATAAATGGACTCACTTTTTAAGTCAACATTACACTTTTACACTGACAGCAGCAATCGTAGGCGAGACACAGGGTTCTGCGGAACCCCTTACGAATTTTAAAAAATAAAACCAGCCCTTACTATGATAATGATCAAATTATACATAAATGCTGAACAATTCTTTTAAATATCTTAGGCTGCACAAATGTGTCTATTCTTTGTTTATTGCCACATTAGTTTTGAGCAGATTATTTTTTTAATGAAGAATATATTTTTACTTTTAGCAATGTCTGGATGCAAAATTGCAAATTATGTCTTCTTTTGAAAAAAATAATTTTAAAAATACTATTTTAGTATTTTGAGTAACAATATGCATTATTTACATATGAAGCAAGAGATATAACATGTAACTATAGTGAAAACAATTATACATTCTATAAATACTGAAGGGTGTTATTTCATGCTTATTTCTTATAATATGCCAATAAAATGATATTTTGATCTAAATTCTAAATATCTTCTTTGTAACAAATGAAAGTATGTCCATTTTTAAAAAAAAATGTTTTAATATTTAATTTTGAATACAGAGATAAAGTTTTGTAGTTGTTTTTCTGTAATCTATTGTTTAAGAAATGCCAAATCATATTGGATGTTTTGCTAGAAAATTGCTAAACTGACATTGTGGATAGAAGATTTTATGAGTGATTGCTTTAATAAAATATTTTCTGTTACATTCATTATGCATGTTTGAATAAAAATCTCTATGTGTATTGAAAGATGAAGCCTTAAACAATAAATGATAATTTCAGGTCTAGAATGGGTAACATGAGAGGATGGGGAGGACCTGTCACACAAACATGGCTAAATGATCAGCTGATATTACAACATAAGATACTAGACAGGATGAGAGCTTTAGGAATGATTCCTGTTTTACCTGGCTTTGCTGGACATGTACCTGAAGCTTTATCAAGGTTAATCATATTTTTATGTTTCCTTGTAATAGTATATGCATAGAAGGACATGAAGGATCACAATGTGTCATTTTCATCAAACTTTACTAACATTTTCTCCTCTTTTCACACAGGACAGAATATATGAAAAAGTTTTCATATTCTTATCACCAATTTTTGATTTTATATTATTACTTTACCTGTGTTTTTATGCCCCACCTAGGGGCATTATGTTTTTCGGTCTGTGCGTCCGTTCGTCCATTTGTCCATCTGTCCCGCTTCAGGTTAAAGTTTTTGGTCACTTCAGGTTAAAGTTTTTGGTCAAGGTAGTTTTTGATGAAGTTGAAGTCCAATCAACTTGAAACTTAGTACACATGTTCCCTATGATATGATCTTTCTAATTTTAATTTTAGCTTTCATTTAGTTTGTGCTGTTGACAGTAGGTGTGGATTTTTACTTGCTATTTCTATGCTTAAGAGATTTTAAAGACATTTGCCATTTTGTTTTTGCATAAGTGTTTTATTTATTTCATTTATTTTGTGTGTGTTTTTTTAAGTGAAACAGAGGCCAAATGAGTTCTCCACAGAATTATCATCTTCACTGAAGAAATTTCCATATACGATCTTTTTTGCTTTTTTTTATCAGGGTGATCAAATATAATTATTAGGCCTTATAAATGAAACCTTATTGGTTGAAATATTATAGCATCAGTATTACTAAAATTACCTTGGGAGAATACCAGAGAAACTGTTGTCAAATCTGCTTTTGATTCGGAAAGCTATTGCTATATATATTTTTGTCTATTTCATCAGTATTTGCCAGGACCAGTTATATACATATTCAGATTCACTAATGCTTTAGTTATATTTTCAGAATACACCCTAAAGCCAATATATCACAGTTAGGAGATTGGGCTGGGTTTAGTAAGAAATTTTGTTGGTAAGTTTGACATTCATTTTACCATACAATGTTTTCAGATTACACCCTAAGGCTAATGTATCAAGGTTGAGAGATTGGGGCAGATTTAATGAAACTTACTGCTGGTAAGTTTGTTTACACAGGTTTAAAAAACTAACTTGCCTTTACTAATTCTTAGCATACAAATTTTCAGATTATACCCATTAGCTAATATATCCAGGTTATATGACTGGGCAGACTTTAATGATACTTTTTGTTGGTGAGTTAAGATTTACTTATCTCCTGTTAAACACATATCCCTAAAACCAAGGCTTTCACTGTTTTTATCAATTATTGTGAATATGCATATTTTAATGGATATGACTTTTATGATATATTTGTTAAGTTGCTTGATTTAAATGTCTTTTTCATACACATGAAGGATTCCATAGTTATGGAAACATACATGCATTGGGTTTGTTTAAAAAAAAAATCTACCATGGAAAAAGGCAAAATGACCTATTCTTTCTTCACAGAGAAATATAAAAAAAGTCATTTGAAAAATTTAAACATCTGATCTCACAAGATGACATTACTATCTATGAAAATTTATTTTTATATTTTAATATTGATATTAACATCACACTCCTGACCAACTTGGACAAACATGTTATTTCCTGTCCTTTGCTTTGCTTTTCCCTGTCTTCACAAGTTGTTCTGGTTTCAAAACAGTTGTCTGGGATTTTCTGTTTTGGGTTTGAGGTAACGAAATTTGAAGACATAGACGTTTTATTCAACATTTTTTTCGGAACCTCATTTCAAAGGTCACTTCTCTTGAGCGGTCACTTTTGATACTTCCCAAGAGTGACTGTACAGGTTTCACTGTATATCACTTTGAACTTATCATGCTTTGCATGGGCAGCAGCCCTTTTTGTCCACTATAGAACCAGTCTTAAATTGGCAAGGGGAAACAACCTCTGTTGTGTGTAATAGAATCAAATCGGTAACTGGCAAATAGACTATGGTAATTTGAGTGCTACCAACATTTTTTGATAGACAGATTTCATGTAACCTTAACATTAATGAAAACCAGTTCCGAAAAATGAAAAAAAAATCCTATGCCTAGTAAATTAAAGCAGCTTGTGCACAAAGGATTGACATACAAAACATATGAAATCTGATTTATTTAACAACTTTCAATGCATCTAATTAGAAAAACAAATCTAAGTAACTGACAGATACATGTACATGAATTATTGACGTGGAATTTACATAGAAGATTACAGACCCTAGAGCTATTATGTGTTCTTGCATAGTTTTTCTCCCCGAACGAAAATTCTTGAGGGGGGATAGATGCAAAATTTCATTTGATGTTTATCTGCCTTCAAACCCCAAATAGTATGTGTAGATTCAAAGGAGTTAAATGTTGTGATAAGATGAAAATGTTTTTTAAAAACCAATTATGAAGGTAATACTATTCTTCCATTCCCAACAACAGAAAAAAGAAAAGATCGGTTAATTGATTGGTTGTTGATTGCGTAAGGTTCAAGGACAAATATTTGAAGCATGCTCAATTCATGATAAACCTTTGTCAAATGGAGAAATTGATTAAACATCCAGAGACATTTATTTTTGAAATACTAATTCCGACAGGATAAAAACAGGTATCCAACCAAATTGACATTTGGAAAATTTATGGTCCTTTTTTTACATTTTGTTTAATTTTTTCATATTTTACTAGTCTAAGGAGACGGAACCAGACAGTGCATTAACAACTTCTGAGATGGAAGTTATAGCACTTGTTTAAGCTCCTCCCATTCTTTGCTATTCCTATGAAAAGCAGTCAAAAGTGGGATCTGATAGTGCCCTAACTAAAAATCGATTCCATTAACAAAGGAAAAATTACCATTCATGTTACAAGTTTGATTTAAATTATGCTTACCTCTAGATTAAAGAGTCAAAATCGCTACTTAAATGGTGCACAACCTTTTTTTTTTCATTCTTAGTTTAATGCATACCTGATAAAACCAGATGCTATACAGTTTCCTAGTATTGGCTAATCTTGATCTTTTCTTTATAGGATATATTACTGTACTGTTATAATAACTAATATCTTTATGATGCTGCCAATGAAGTCAGATAACCTATATTCTGACATTGTCTGACCTTTTAACACTCAATTGAGCATTCTACATAAGTAACTGACTTATTTTTTTATCACTGTACTATTCATTGCTCAGTTTTGAATACCAGTTATAGACATTGAGTTCATATATATTCATTGAAAGAAAAGTGGAAAACTGTAGTGAAGTTTAAGTCTTGTTGTCAGATTTTTTTTTACTATATTACTGTTATTGAACTCCAATAATTTCATGAAAATGTCATTTTTCTCTCTAGATGTCAACTGTCTATGCAGTATTGAGCTTATATTATATATAATATGGTTTCATTAAGTTGTTATAATTTTTGGGGGCTGACAATTTTGATTGGAAAGTCTTTGTGCTGTGAGTTATATAGGAGTTATTTATATGTTTGTTTTCTTTTGCAGTACATATCTCTTAGACTTTGGAGATCCATTGTTCAAAGAAATTGGTGTTAGTTTTATAAAAGAGGTAAAGTCATATATGTGTAGATAGTTAAATATTTATCAAACCTATTGAAGTTGTATGCAAATGATTTATGAAAATCGCATGAAACTTTCTACAAAAAAAAATGAGAGCAATTTGACTGAAATTTTGTAGACAATCTGTATGATGTGTTATAGATTTTTTACAGGAAAAATATATATAAACTAGATCTTTGATTTTTCCTGTTCTGAGACTCTGCAAACTTAACCCATTCATATTGATATATGACATTTGATACAGTGTGTCTCTTCTATCTACCTTTGTTGTTTGCATGCTGTTACTTCAATACTTTTGTTCTGGCAAAGATGTTTTAAAAATAACAAGCACAAAAAATGTTTCAAATATAAGAGTTTGAAAGAAGGCTTTTTGTGTTACCAGAATTTTTCTTACCACCATTTCGATGCAATTAATTTTTAGATTTTACTGATTTACATAAAACATGAACTGACATTATTCTGACAGATATATCTTATTTTTAGCTCACCTGACCTGAAAGGTCAAGTGAGCTTTTCTCATCACTTTGCGTCCGTCGTCCTGCGTCCGACGTCCGTCGTCCGTAAACTTTTACAAAAATCTTCTCCTCTGAAACTACTGGGCCAAATTTGACCAAACTTGGCCACAATCATCATTGGGGTATCTAGTTTAAAAAATGTGTCCGGTGACCCGGCCAACCAACCAAGATGGCCGCCATGGCTAAAAATAGAACATAGGGGTAAAATGTAGATTTTGGCTTATATCTCTGAAACCAAAGCATTTAGAGCAAATCTGACATGGGGGTAAAATTGTTTATTAGGTCAAGATCTATCTGCCCTGAAATTTTCAGATGAATCGGACAACCTGTTATTGGGTTGCTGCCCCTGAATTGGTAATTTTAAGGAAATTTTGCCGTTTTTGGTTATCATCTTGAATATTATTATAGATAGAGATAAACTGTAAACAGCAATCATGTTCAGCAAAGTAAGATCTACAAATAAGTCAACTTGACCAAAATGGTCAGTTGACCCCTTAAGGAGTTATTGCCTTTTATAGTCAATTTTTAACCATTTTTCGTAAATTTTTGTAATCTTTTACAAAAATCTTCTCTAAAACTACTAAGACAAATTTAACCAAACTTGTCCACAATCATCATTAGGGTATCTAGTTTAAAAAATGTGTCCGATTACCCCGCCCGTGAACCAAGATGGCCGACATGGCTAAAAAATAGTACATAGGGTAAAATGCAGTTTTTGGCTCATATCTCTGAAACCAAAGCATTTAGAGCAAATCTGACATGGGGGTAAAATTGTTCATTAGGTCAAGATCTATCTGCCCTGAAATTTTCAGACCAATCAGGCAACACATTGTTGGGTTGCTGCCCCTGAATTGGTAATTTTAAGAAAATTTTGCAGCTTTTGGTTATTATCTTGAATATTATTATAGATAGAGATAAACTGTAAACAGCAATAATGTACAGCAAAGTTAGATCTACAAATAAGGCAACATGACCAAAATTGTCAATTGACCCCTTAAGGAGTTATTGCCCTTTATAGTCAATTTTTTACAATTTTCATAAATTTTGTAAATTTTTGTAAATTTTTACAAAGTATTTTCCACTGTATCTACCGGGCCAAGTTCATTATAGATAGAGATAATAGTAAGGAGCAAGAATGTTCAGTAAAGTAAGATCTACAAACACATCACCATCACCAAAACACATCACCATCACCAAAACACAATTTTGTCATGAATCCATCTGTGTCCTTTGTTTAATATGCACATAGACCAAGGTGAGCGACACAGGCTCTTTAGAGCCTCTAGTTGTTTAAAAGTGGTATCTTTTTCAACTTTAAATTTGATTCTGTAGAAAATCTTATTTTGTAGTAAAAATTTACCTTATAACCTTACAGTGAAAGTAACTTATTATTATTTATTATATTCTCTTTTCAGATGGAATACGAATTTGGAGTAGATCACATATATAACGTTGATTCGTTTAATGAAATGAAACCAAAATCAGGGTAAGTATGAAATCAATCACACTTAATAGTCACATAAGCATATCTTTTGTTTTCTACAGTGCTTCTGAAGTTATTTTTATCCATTTTACAGCTTACTATCACTTGAATTTAAGACATATAAAATTTGCAATATTTGATCAGGACTGTAAAAATAAAAATTTTGGTCCATGACAATAGTGCTCCATTTTCCTCCAGCAAGATACTGTTAATAGAATAGGGAATGGAAACGGGGAATGTGTCAAAGAGACAGCAACCTGACCAAAGAGCAAAAAACAGTCCAAGGCCACCATATGTAAGCCTCAAATCAATGTCCAACCCCAAATCGGTGTCCTATTCTGTATTGCACCATAGACGTCACAAATCTATGTCCTTTTTTTCTGAAATCCGTGTCCTTTTCAACAAGGTTTGTACTGTCCTTTGGATTGACATAATAATTTTCAAAATGTCTTCGGGGGAAAAGTTTCAGTTGTCAAAGACATCAATATGACTTTCATACATATTCAAATTTAATCGACATATAAGTTAATGTCTTTCAAACTTGAGTTAGTATTTGTTGAACTATGCACATGGAGGGGTTTGACAGGGATAAGGGAACCTGTGAATAATATGGGGTAGGAAGCCAGAGTCAGGAGTCAAGAACCAAGGACTTTTTTCTCTCAATATAGACACATTCGGTGTGAGTCTAGGCTCCGTGTTGAAGGCCGTACTTTGACCTATAATTGTTTACTTTTTATACATTGTGACTTGGATGGAGAGTTGTCTCATTGGCACTCATACCACATCTTCTTATTTACATTAGTTATAATCCATTTTTTTTCTTTTTTGGGGGGAGGGGGGTTGTCAAAGAAGTAAAGAAGACTTGGAGGCCAAACAGTGGTGTAATAGATGTGTGTCTGTTTTCTTGTTTGTTTTTTTATAACATGTGGCAAATATTTCATGCATGTTCAGGATGAGACATGGATTTGAATAAACAAAGACTGTTATGATGTCACAGGACACAGTTTTGAGGCTGCACAAATGGTCACAGATTTGAGTGTCATGACATCATGGAACACAAATCTGAGGGAAGGACACAGATTTGGGGCTGTACATAGATTTGACTCTTACACATATACATGTATATTTTAAGAACAGTACATGCTATATAAAAATAAGGAGATGTTGTCATTAGGACATATATCTGCCAGAGACCAAAGCACGAGGATGTAAACAACTTTAAGTCACCCTATGACCATCAACAATGAGCAAAACCAATACCCTATGATCAGGTATTAAAGTCCCCTGCATGACAAAATGTAAAACAACTCAAAAGAGAAAATTAATGTCCTGATTTCTGCTAAAAACAAACATGATAGACAGCAAACAATGACCAGACCTGCTAAAAAAAAAAATAAACAAAAAACAAATATTGCAGATAGCAACCAAAGACACCTACTGAATTGGAACAGGCACCTACCGGTAAAGGTTGTGGTGGGGTTGAACATGTTTGTCAGTTTACTTCAGAAATTATTGTATTATATTATAATTAAGTTTTTAAAATTAAGAAGGTGTGTTTTGTGCATTATTTTAAATGCTTCACACTGTCTATACCGAACAAATCTCAATATAAGACATAAATGACTCATCTTTCATGAGATAAAGATAGAATACATAGGTTAGTTGTTTCATAATGATTATTTTCATGTACCGGTTAACAATTAAATTTATTGGTGAATCTTCATTTTATTTGCAGTTCTGCTGAATACCTACAAGAAGTTGGAAGTATAATATTTGATGTATTACAGACAGGTGATCCTGATGCCATCTGGTATGTAAAGACTAAATATAACTCAATCTCACTTAAAAACAAGAAGATGTGGTATCATTGCCAATAAGACAACTATCCACCAGAGATCAAATGACATAGAAGTTACAATCTCTCATGTTTACTTTTCAAAACACTAAATCGTGTGTGTGTTAATCTTAAGGGTTCAAAGGTCATATGAGGCACTCAACTTGAAGATTGTTGCAATACTCTTAACTTTAGAAACCTAAAGTATTGAATGATGAAAGAGAATTGATCCACTATTACCCAATTTTTCTGACATTCCTTTTCAATTTCTAAGTCAAAACTGGTTTGAATAGAGCAGTAAATAAAGTTGTTAAAAAAATCATTCATATATTGGATAAAGAATAATAGAGGAAAGAACTCATAAATTTTACCCGTAAAAAATTGATTATGTGATATCACATTTAAAAATAATATTTACAATCTACATAATACATTTTGATGGTGTATTTACTTCTGCATTTTGGGCAGATTTTATAGTAGATAGAGAGAAATTGTAAACAGAACAAGTTAGCATCACTAAAAGATCAACAGAAAGATATTTTAGTCATGAATAATATGCTAGTCTATAATGTGGAAAGTGGCAATTGTTGAAGATGCACAAAGATCAAGATAAGTGTTCTGCAGTTTTTTTAAGTGCCAGTCACTGCAACAATCTCCTAGGCTATTAATGCAGATTCAAAGTTTTTGACAATTTTGATACTGTGTTTACAGAAAATGAAAAGGGTATAAATGTATGATTTTTTTTTTATTACCTATTTTGCATAATTTCATAATTCTAATAGGAATATTTCTATAAAAAATATGTTTTAGGTTAATGCAAGGATGGTTATTTCAAGATAAACAGTTCTGGCAACAAGCACAGATCAAAGCAATGTTAACATCTGTTCCAGAGGTAAGTATTTACACTGTAACCGCTGCTACTTTTAACTAACGTTTGCATTTAACCCATTATTTTTTCAACGGATGATTTTGTCAGTTTTACAGAAAGAATGTGAAAAGTTACAGGTAGCTGTTTCATAATTTGATCTGGTAGCTCTCTATTCTTACAAATGTACAATACTTATTACAAAGATTTAAAAATGCAAGCCTTTATTATTGTGATATTCAGACTGTTGCAAGTTTTACTTCATTAAAACCATCACAACATTTTCTTAAAATACAGTATTATTATAGAATGCAAAATACAATTAATTTTCCATAGGCGACAATAGTAGCTTTATTCGAGATATAGACTTTAGAAAGTTGATTTTTAGAACAAAACCTTGCTAGAATTAAAGAAAATTTTTAAGACAGTATTTTTTAGTCCCAAAAATATAGGTTCCTGACACCCAACTCCTTAATAAATTAGACATACAAACAGCAACTACCAACACATGGTCCAGATGGCCTGACTTAATACAGACACAAAATGTGGTGCAGTTATCTCCCCCTTTCCTATCTAGACCATATGTCATAACAGTAAAACACAAAAAAGCATGCATTGAAAGCCACTTTAATTCTAAATGACACAGTTGATTTTACTATTTATTTTATTACATTCTATTGTAGGGTAAAATGATTGTTTTGGATCTTTTCTCTGAAGTGTCCCCTATATACACTTACACAGAATCTTACTATGGACAGCCATATATTTGGTGCATGCTACATGATTTTGGAGGAACTATGGAGTTATATGGAGCCCTAGACAGTATTAATACAGTAAAAATTTCAAATAGATTCCGCTTCTCATCACCTTACACATTTTAATCTTGTCCTGAACATGCATGAAATACTTGCTACTGGACATAAAGCAAACAACAGTCTATCAATGATTTAATTGTAAATTGTAAATGAAATTCTCAAGTCTTATAGCTAGAGTTTATAAATTGGAAAAATAAAAAAATTGTTTGCCTTTGACAAAAATTAGTATTCACAAATGACAGTATTTCACAAAATTTTGAATAACATTTTAAATAGTTCATTTGATTGGCTAATTTATGACAACTGTGAATGACTAACAATGAGTTTACATGTCAGTACAACTGCTTGAGCAATTGCATTTTTCACTTCTGAAGTAATCAGTAATTATGCCCCTGCCGTAGCGGAGGGGGCATTAAGTTTTACCCTTGTCCGTCTGTACAGCCGTACGTACGTCCCAAAATTGGTTTCCGTTCTCTAACTTTAGTTTGCCTCAACCAAATGTTGTGAAACTTATACACAATGCTTATTACCACAAAACACAGATCAATTTTGAATTTAATTGGCATCACTTTCACCGTTCTAGAGTTATGCCCCTTTACAAATGGAAAAATTGCTAAATTTTTTGTTTCCTTTCTCTAACTTCAGTTTGCCTCAACCAAATGTTATGAAACTTATACACAATGCTTATTACCACAAAACACAGATCAAGTTTGAATTTTGGTGGCGTCACTTTTACCGTTCTAAAGTTATGCCCCTTTATAAATGGAAAAATTGCTGAATTTTTCATTTCTGTTCTTTAACTTCAGTTTGCCTCAATTAAATATTATGAAACTTATACACGATGCTTATTACTACAAAACACAGATCAAGTTTGAATTTTGGTGGCATCACTTTTGCCATTCTAGAGTTATGCCCTCTACAAATGGAAAAATTGCTGAATTTTTTGTTTCCATTCTCTTACTTTAGTTTGCCTCAACCAAATGTTATGAAACGTATACACAATGCTTATTACCACAAAACTCAGATCAAGTTCAAATTTGGGTAGCGTCACTTTGACAGTTCTGGAGTTATATCCCTTTTAACATTATATGCAAGTGGGGGCATCATCTGTGTCCCATGGACACAATACCCATTTATTTTTAATATAAAAATAAGGAGATGTGATAAGACTACCAATGAGACAACTATCCACCAGAGACCAATGGATGAGGATGTAAACCACTATAGGTCACCTTCAGCCTTCAACAATGAGCAAAACCAATACCATATAGAAAGCTTTGTTCTGTAATCTAATGGTAATTCTTATCAGATTCATGAAGAGCTACACATTTTTATAAATCTGACATTGATAGATCCTGATTGAAAGGACCACCACTTGTTTAGTTTTTACATATTTTACTAATAGATGGACTTTTTTTACAGTTAACATTTAGATATAGTCTGGGGTTAGAGTTTTTCAGACATCAACTAATTGTCAAGCTCTTGTAGAACTTTACCAAACCTTTACAAATTCTTCTTCATGGTAAACAAAATTATAAATGGACTTAGTTTTCAACATTCTATATTGCATTTTACACAAACAGCAGCAATCATAGGTGAAGAACCTTCAGGATATTGTTTATGCTTGGTTACATATGTTATCTAGGGACCATTTGAAGGTAGAAATATGACTAACAGTACCATGGTTGGTTTAGGACTCACACCAGAGGGAATTTACCAGAATGAAGTTATTTATGAATTCTTCATGGAAAATGTATGGAGAAAACAACCAAGAGATATAACAAAATGGTAAGGAAGGGAGACTACTAACATGAATGGGGGGGACAACTCTTTAATTGTCATTATATTCTGGGGTAAATTTAAAAATAAAATTATTAATAGTAGAAAAAAGAGTATTTTAATCAATTTACTTTGTTTGATTTGATCGATGGCAATGTCTATGAAAAATCAGGAAAAAGGTTAGAAATCTTATAGATAGGCATCCAAGTTGGAATATAAAATTGCAATTTAAAATAAAATAGCACAATGTCTATTTAGGTAGGCGAAGGGCGTTGTGAGTATGTAAAAATGATTAACCCTACAACTTACGATGCCTGTACTAAGTCAGGCTATCATGGTCATGTGTTGATCACTGTTAGAAATGAATTATTTATTTTCTGACAGTGTAGGTATTTTGTATCAGCTATTTTTTAATTAATCAATTAAAGATATATTGTTTTATTTAATAAAGGATTTCAGACTTTACAAGGAAGAGATATGGAAAATATAACAAGTTTGTAGACTTGGCCTGGCAGTATCTTAAGGTCAGTATCTGGTTTTTATCCATCATCACTATAAAGTTCAGTAAAAAGCAGGGATTTAGGTTTCAATGTCAGACATTCTACAGTCATGAGTCTAAATGAAAATCATTCTTAATACATTGTTCTGAACCCAAAAGGGTGTTGTTTATGTGTGAAATCTCTTTGTAAGATTTTCATGAGTACATTTTTTTGATGAGGGTGGATTTTCCTATTAAAAACCAATCAAATCAAAATCAAATAATCAAATGGAAAGATACACAGTAATATGAAGCAATCAAATGTGTATTGTTGATACGTTGTAGTGAGACTGGTTAACATGACTTTACAATTCAACTCCTTACACTTTATCCACATAAACCAGGTATAAATATTTTTTTCAAATTTATATCACTCACTAATAATGTAAAGCATTATTCTTTAATTCTTTGTCATCCATGATTTCATACAGAAAAGTGTATTTAATAATACTGATGGCCTTAGAGACCATGATAAAAATTCCATTCCTACAAGTCGACCCAGACACCGACATCAATTGCACCCTCATGTGAGTACAGGGAGAAGGAATAAATGGAATGTGCATGCAGTCAAGTATATTTCTAGTTGAAAAAGGTTTTTAAGCAGTTTCATGAAAGGATGAAATACTTTTATTTTGATATTTAATCTGTAAGAAATGATATTCCCTTTTGATAAATGCTATTGTTTATGTTTCTTTTTTTTTTAATTTGCCTCTAAAACTATTGTTTAATATTTATCTTTCAAAGCACGAAAAACACTTTTTAATGAATATTTCTGTGTTGCCTTGAATAAAATTATCTATTTATTTTAATCTCATAAAACCCATAGATTAATGATGACCTGGTAGATGTCAGACTTTCAGTTTAAAAAAACTGTCTTGATACTTTGATAGGTGGGTTTTATTGAATTATTTACTTTATCTCTAAAACTGCCAAACTGTGTATTTGATCATACATTCTCATTACATTTTAATGAATACAATCATCAAAATATGTGTATTTCATTTAAATATACATTTACCATAACAGAAGAGTGTATATAATAGCACAGCTGGTCATGAGGACTTTAGTACTGATGTTATTGTCACAAGACGACCTAGATATCGAAACCGATTACGTCCACAAGTTAGTACAAAGCAAAAGAATGTGCATAATATGCATAAGCGGCATGGTTTTTTTATATTTTTGTTATTGCTTGGAAGATTTTTCAGCAGTTTCATGAAATGAATTAAAACAAAATAAAAACAAAAAATAGGAGACTATTTTCCTGCCCAAAATTTTAGATTTAGAATTAAAAACATGTAATTCCAGCTATTTACTTTTGCACATTTTGAAACAGGAAAGTGTATTCAATGATACAGATAGAATGTCAGATCATAGTGCCTTTGCAATTATTACCAGTTTACCAAGATTTGATCCCGTGTTACATCCTAATGTGAGTAATGCATTCTGGGTTATAATCAATTTAATCCAGACAGTAATTCCTTGCACTGCCTGTGAGATGGATGAAGTATTCAATTTTTTTTTTAATTCATTTTTAGCTCACCTGGCCCACAGAGCTTTCCTCATCACTCGTCCTCCGTGGTCTTCATCATTTACTTTTACAAAAATCTTTTCCTATGAATCTACTGAGCCAAATTTAACCAAACTTGCCCACAATCATCATTGGGGTATCTATTTTTAAAAATGTGTCTGGTGACCCTGCCTGCCAACCAACATTGCTGATATGGCTAAAAATAGAACTTCGAGATAAAATGTGAGTTTTGCCTTCATCGTGAAAACAGCTATAAATAGAGGAAAATCTGACGGCAGAAATGTCAAGAATGTTGATATCTACCTGTTTTTTTTACATTAAAACTGTCAGACGAATTCTTTATATAGGATATCTTTTTTTCATTTTTGCATACTATCTTGAAAACTATAATAGGTATAGAGAAACTTTAAACAGCAAAAAGTATCAGCAAGACAAGATCTACAAATAAGTCAAACACTGCAGAAATTGTCAGACAATCCTTATTGGAGGAATTGTGTTTAATAATGATGTTTATGATTTTTTTGCATTTTTGCCAATATTATAAAAACTATATTAGATAAATAAAACTTTAAAAAACCAATATGGAAAACAAAATCTTCAAAACAAAATCAGACACCAAGTGAGATAAAAAGTTTGTTTTTTTTTTCATCAAAGATTTTCCTTTGAATATGCTGTTAGATTCCTTATTGATTTTTTTTCCATTTAATTCTTATTTCATTGTATTTTTCAATGCAAAATTACAGAGAAAAAAATCCTATTTTTATAGCTACAGTTTATATTTCATCCATTTCATGAAACTGCTAGTTGAAAATGTACTTTTTGTTGCTTTTAATTTTATTCTGTGCGTAAAGATGGTTATTTCATGCTTTGAAAAAAATTGAAATTAAAATTGAAATTTAAGTTTTGCTTCTTTAATACAAATGTCATACTGATTTTAAATGACATAGCATGAAGTATCAATCTTTGGCTAACCTTACTTTTTAGTTGCATTTATATGGGAAATTTTACTAACACCTTTATTTTATCATAGACAAGTGTATATAATGATACTGATCATCTTCATGACAACAATATAGATATTATTGTAACCACTCGCCCTCGGATTTCTCCTGCTATACATCAAGATGTGAGTAAAGACATTATTATCAAATCAAAAGTTAACATGCCCAATGGATGCCATCTTTGCTTTTTGTTATTAACATCTTTTTCAAATTAAACATATCCTGCAATGTATCTATGTTGTGAATTCAAATTCAGTATTTCAGATAATATAGTTATAATAGATGCATTTAAAAATGCTGAAATTTCCTGTTTTGTAAAGTTTGTACATTGATTTTGTTTGTAGTAAACACCTCAGACTAACAGCATGCTCACCATATTGCTTTACCATATATACACCATATAAGCTGTTTGGTCAACCAGATAATTTGTAAATTGGTGAAGCCATTATGTGATTTTTCAAAATAACTTAATTTTTTTTTAATAAAATAAAAATAAAATTTTAATATTTATGACACTATAATAATATTTATGATTTTGTAATGATATGCTGTCTGAAGGAAAATGAAAATGAGTTTATTTGATAAGACTCTGACTCTCATCAGACATGTGCAAAGAGGGTCATAAAGGGAGTTATGTGCATAGGGAAATGTGAAATAGAAAGGGGGGTCATATGATGGAGGAAAATCATTTACAGGCAAATGGTTCATGTCTGCTTACTATTTGAATGAAACATAGCAAATCCCGACTACTGAGCATGAAAATGCAAGAAACAAAGCATGTTGCACAAACTTATCCCTTTTTAGACCCTCTATACAGATTTTGTTATATATTCCATTTAACTTTAAAATTAGTATTTTGTAAATTTACCAAAGTCCTTATATTTAGATTCAACTTAATTTATGTATTTACAATTTTATTATTTGGAACAACATTGATATATTTCATTTCATTTTCATTGATAAAAGAGTTGTTGACATAACTATTATATTTTGAACAAATCCTGTACTTTCCATTGAAAGAGTTATTGACAAAATTATATTTGATGACTTCTTCCAGGTGTGGTTTGATCCAGAAGATTTATATGCAGCCTGGGATCTACTGATATTGTCTGCTGATCAATATAAAAATAACACACTCTATCAGTAAGTTTGGCTGTGCTTTATATCACAATATTAGTAAAACAGTGTTTGAAAAATCATTTACAAAGTTGAAAGGAATTTTATTTAATGAAACGAAAGCTTTTATTTAGCTTGTTGTTTTCCTAACAAAGTTAAAATTAAAAAAACACTGAGAACTATGCAAAGTCAGTAACAATGTTTTTAATTACTACCATTTAGTCAATACCACTAATGGCAAACACATCACAAAGGTCTTTATCCACCATGCAGTCAGTCTTTCTTCACTGCCCATTGTTTATAGAGGGTGGTAAAGGGGGGGTGCTTGCACGGAAAAAAACGTGAAATAAGACATAATTTCACGTTGAACGTGAAATAATTTCTGTCATGAACGTTGCACGAAAAATAAAGACTGTTGTGAACCTTTTGTGAGGCTGAGTCACTGTCTTCTTGTATATATAAACTCTCTGTTTTACTTGTTATTCCCGATTTAGTATACACATTTATGATGTAAATGGTTTACGGCTTTTAAAAAAGTATTTCTTGACGATCCCTGCCAAGTATTTGAATTTTATTTGAAAAATACCGAGCACGCAAAATAAGCATTTGAAAATCATGATGCATGTAAAATTAAATAAGCAGAACACGTTGAACGAGGCACCTGTCTTGCACGAATGAATGTTAAATAAAAAAGTAAAAACATGTTAAACGTGAAATAAAAAACGGCGATCACGTTGCACGAAAATAACACTTTACCACCCTCTTTATAAGCTAACAAAATGTAGAAGACAGTAATTCATGAGACAACCTGTAGAAATAACTTAGGGAAAACAGAACATGTCAGCAGGTTTTATTTTTATGCCCCACCTACGATAGTAGTAGGGGCATTATGTTATCTGGTCTGTGCGTCCGTCCATCCTACCTTCTGTCCCTCTTCAGGTTAAAGTTTTTGGTCAAGGTAGTTTTTGATGAAGTTGAAGTCCAATCAACTTGAAACTTAGTACACATGTTCCCTATGATATGATCTTTCTAATTTTAATGCCAAATTAGAGTTTTGACCCCAATTTCACGGTCCACTGAATATAGAAAATGATAGTGCGAGTGGGGCATCTGTGTACTATGGACACATTCTTGTCTATTATGTCATTGGAAGTAAAAATATACGCATGTTTCATATGTTTGTACTGTTTGAGCAGTTTGTCTTAATAATTAAGGGTGAGAGATGCTTTACAAATGTCTGTGTACATTCAAGCTGTCAATACTATTTAGTATTTGGTAGATAGCCCTATGAACCAGAAATTAAACTTAATTATTTATGTTATAAATTATATTTCAGGTATGATTTAGTAGATGTGACCAGAAACAGTTTACAAATTATTTCAATAGAATATTATAATAAGATGATAGCTTCTGTTATGATCAATAAAACAGAAGATTTTCTGTAAGTATACATAACAACTTTACAGAAAACATCAGGCCACTGTTATGATCACAAAATAAAGAAAAAACAATAAATTGGCTTAGATTTGTTCAGTGGGAAATTAGCAATATCCATGCTAGACACTTCACCAAAGAAATCTGAAGTTATGTTTGCCTTCAAATACTACGGTGGTTAAAGTCTGACTGTTGCAGCTCTTACAGCACATAAATGATCATTATTCTTTAGGAGAGTATTGAATCAATGTGATTTCTATAGATATTTTTAAAGGATATTTCATGGGCCAAATCATCAGCATAGCATTGTGACAGACACTTATGCATTGTGACAACAAGATTTTATAATTTACTAGAAACTAGTATAAACAATAAGTATGTTTAAACAGATAATATTTGCTAAATTCAGTTTCTAAGAGACTAGTCAAAGAACTTGAAAATTTCTTTAAAGCAATAAATTATTGAGCAGTATTGTAGAAGATATGTTGCTACACATTATTAAAAGTGGCAGATGATGCTTTACAGCTGCAGTTTTTGCACCTTCATGCATTAGAGGCAGAACGATGTAGTGTTTTCATGTTCCTTCTAAAGTGCTTGACTGTTATCTGTTCAAGAAAATTTCCAATTGTAATCAAATGTTATTTATTTATCCATACAGGTTATTATTTAAATTGACGAATTTAAACATTTGATTAATGATGCTTTGTTTAAAAGGCAGTCTGTTTTTAATGTTTTTTTTTTTTTACAGAATAAACAGTCGATTATTACTAGAATTATTGAATGACATGGAAACATTACTGGCCAGTGATTCTCATTTCTTACTTGGGAAATGGATAGCTGCAGCTAAATCATGGGCAACAGACATATCAGAATCTTTTAATTTGGAATTTAATGCAAGAAACCAGATAACTTTATGGGGTCCCAGAGGAGAAGTAAATATTAAATTCAAATTTCAATGTTCATCACTGTTTACATTATTCATCCTGTTTAAGACATCTAGTCAAAGTTGGCCTTCCAATATAAAAAAGAAATAAGGAGATGTGGTATGATGTGAGACAACTATTCATTAAGACACATAGACAAAGATATGTACATTTACAGGTCATCATACAGACTTCACCAATGAGCAAAACTTATTTTATATAGTAAGGTATAGAAGGCCTTGTGATGGCAAAATGTGAAACAATTCTAACAAGAAAACCAAATAGCCTTACTTATACTACAACAATAAACAAAAAACAATCATGACACACAGCAAACCAATGCCTGTCACTTGATTACTGGCTCCTTCTCTTCTCAGCATGTATACTATGACAGCAGTAGTTCGCAAAGAATGTATAAAGGTTTTAGTCTTGTAAAAGGATAAGATTAAATCATTATATGGTATACCTTGGGTTCATATATTCCTCAAAATCTCTAAGCATATAAATATATCAGATCAGAATAAGTAAATTAAAAAAATGTTCACAAAAAAAATAGATTACGTCAATAAGTATATGTAAAATATAATTAGGCAAGAAAGAATCTGCATTTGGTATGTACCATTTTATAAGTTTTATGCATAGTATTAAAGTAAGCATCATTCTAAGATCACTGATATAGTCTTTAACTATACTTATGATTGGTAAAATATAATCTACATTATAAATATCACTACCTTCAGATATAAAATGTGGAATAAAACATTAAGAAAATGTTCCAAATTTTAAAAACTAATTGTCTTTTGTTGCAAGTTCAATAAATAAAATTTATATTGCATGTGTGTTACTTGTAGATACTTGATGAATCAGCTATTGTTGCAGATTGAAAAATTAATAAACAATCATAATTTAGGAGATTTTATAACTGTATTGTATTTTAAGATAGGCCTATGTAAAAAACAGGTTTCACTGTCGCAAATTGATTTTACTTAGAAACTTGTAGTGGTGCTTGGTTAACAGATAGTTGTGACAGTAAAACAAAGTTTTAAGTAGGCCAATCTTAAAATACAATACAGTTACATAATCTCCTAAATATAGCAAAATGTACTGAAATTCAAAATTGCGACTAACCTTAGTTACAGACTGGTAGAAGGTGGAGTTTATCCCCTCAAAATATATGTCAACGACAAATAAAAATCATTGTTGCTAAAAGAATTAGATTAGAATTTGGGATTATCATTCAGATTTATGTTATACCTCTTGTATATTTATGATTTATAATTTTTTCTATTATTCAGATTTTAGATTATGCTTGTAAGCAGTGGTCAGGATTATTGAAAGGGTAATTTTAAAAGTTTCAACATTTTTAAGAGAACAAAATCAGACATACACCAAAAACAATATAAATGTTCATAACAAAAATATGTATTTCATCAAATATCTTAATTCTTGGTTTACCCCTACACACAAAATCTATAGAAAAATTAGTATCCAGCAAATATTAGTGAATCCACAGTTTGTCTTGTTATTCACAGTCTTATATTAAACAGTCATACAGAAGAAAAAGGGGATGGGTTAAAACTTATGATGCAGAGTCATTGTCATCCTAAATATATAAAAGTCAACCAATTCAATAATTTGAAAGAAGATTGAATTACCGGTAGGGATCAACCATAAAATACATGTTATTATGTAATTTTTAATCCCCACCTTCTAAGTTCTATAGTAGGGGGCATTATGTTTTTTGGTCTGATCATCTGTCTGTCCATCCAAAATTCCATCCTTTATTCTGTTTGTCCCTCCTATATCAGGTAAAAAGTTTTTGGTTAAGGTAGTTTACATTTTTGGTTAAGGTAGTATAAGTTGTGGTCACATCAAATTGAATTTAAGTACACATGTTCATTATGATTTGAACTTTTAAAATTATATGCCAAATTACATTTGTGACCCTGATTTTGCTGTTCACTGAACATAGAAATGTGATATTTTGAATCTAGTACATTCTGAAGTAAAAGTTTGCCATGAAGTTATGGCTAGATTAACTTAAAGCTTAGTACACATTATAAACAAGAATGTGTCCATAGTACACAGATGCCCCGCTCGCACTATCATTTTCTATGTTCAGTGAACCGTGAAATTGGGGTCAAAACTCTAATTTGGCATTGAAATTAAAAAGATCATATCATAGGGAACATGTGTACTAAGTTTCAAGTTGATTGGACTTCAACTTCATCAAAAATTACCTTGACCAAAAACTTTAACCTGAAGCGGGACAGACGGACGAACGGACAGATGAACGGACGGACAGACGAACGGACGCACAGGCCGAAAAACATAATGCCCCTAGTTGGGGCATAAAAAAGTTGTGATATGATGACCATAGTCCAAATGACCTGGATGTAAACAACTATATCTCATAATGATGTGAACTTTTCAAATGTTATTCAAGATTATGGTTTTGACCCTGATTTCATGGTTCATTGAACATGAAATTGTGATAATGTGAGTGGGGCATGGTGTTGTATGGACACATATTCTTGTTTTATATCAATAGAAAAATGGATTAAACACAAAAGTTTTAAACTTAGGTCTCTTGAAACCGATGCATGAATATTTTTTTTCGTAACTTAGCATCAATGAACAATTGCCATAAAATAAATCAAAAAGAACAGATGAAATTTTACTCAAGTAGAATTTTTATGCACAAATTTAAAAAAATGTTTAATCCTCTTACAATGTAGTTTTTTTTTGCCAATCACTTAACTATATATAGTTGTAGAAAAATGTAATAATACAAAGCAATATTTTCAGATATTACATTCCAAGATGGCAGCTATTTGTAGAGATGTTGCATATTAGTGTGATTGATGTAAGAAAGTTTTAATTCTATTTAAACAATTAAAACTTTACCAGAACATTTCTCTAATTTAAATCTTGATAACTATTTGTATTATCTTTTGCTTATCTTTTCACAAACAAGTAGTTGACAAAAGATGTACAAGTCATCATACCACTTACTGCAGTAGTGACACAAATTGATACATGATATAGTTATTGCTCATAATTTTGGAAAATACTTTCATAATTCTAAGTTACAAATCAAGTTTGTAAGCCAGTCTAGTGGTCACACTTTAAATGTAATAACTACTTTTGGACATAAAAAAAATTCATGAAAATGGTATTAATTCTGTCTAATTTATGGCTGCAGATATTGCCAATATGTTCGTTATGTTTTTGCACTTTAACAGCATTGGGAGCATAAAGGTTATGATGTTGAATCTATGCACAAACTTGTATTTAAAGCAGACTTCATAGAATATAAGAATTGAAATTCTAAAGGGGAAATTTTAAGATATGGTCAACCTGAATTACAATTTACTGATAATCCATAAAGCACTGGATATTGCTCAGAGGAGGGACGACAAACTAGGTGCTGTTTGCAAAGTTTTTCAGGTCACATGGTACGATTTCAGCTTCTGTTTGGCAATTTTAAATATTGATTTGTTCATGTTTTGATATCAAATGTACTCTATTGCATTCATAAAAAATATAGCAAGTTTTCTCATAAAAAGATTTATGGATGATAGAAAATGACTTTTACATAAAATATTTAATGATTTTTTAATCTTTTTGATAAATTATATCATTAAAGATTATGTCCCATAATGGCGGGAATTTGTATTCGATCTCTGTAAAAATACAAGGCACAAATTTTTGTTAATATTTCGTTAGTTTGCATGTAAAAATCATTGAATTTTATACTTAAGAATATTGTTCATTCAACCTTGAACATAAAAGGTCTCCTTAAGTCTCCATCCATTGCTGCATAGTAAATCGATATAAACGATGATTGTCAAATAAAATGTCCAAATATATTTGTCAAATCCGTGAATAAATACATAAACCTCCGGCACAAAAACCATTGTTTTGTGTATTTTTATTATATTAGAGACAAAATGAAAACGTTCACCAGAAAAACATGTAAAATAGCTTTTTATTTTTTTATTTTGTATTTTTTGTGTATCGGTCGGCTCTGAGGCATAATAAAGTCCTTGGTCTTTTGTGTTTTCTCGTTTTTGGTTGGGTTTTTATTGGTACTGATAAAAGAAGAAATGCCAATATTGATAATTTTGTATTTATAAAATTGTCCAGATCAAAAACTGAAAATCAATTTAATGAATTCAATAAACGAGTATTAAATTGATGTACATGCCGTACGAAATAAGTCCACCGGATATAGCAGTTTAATAACAGGATTAATATGTATATTCCCAGCAAAAAATTACAATTACCAAATTCGTTTATTATATATGAATATTGTATAATAATTACAACTGTATAATACTGCTCATGTTTATAATCTCATTCAACAAATTTCAAGTGTCCAGGTGATGTTCAAAGTTCAAACCATGACGGGCTTGTAAGAAATGACATATTATCACTGCGACCGATCGATAATATAAGACAAATCTGCATGCCATGTGCAGATTGTCGTCCCTCCTCTGGATGTTGCTGTTAGCCTTAATAAATGTATTATATTGATTACATAATATATTTTTTAAAGGGGTTCATCTATGAACTGTACCAGTTGTATGTTGGTTGAACAATATTTTTTTTAGATCTATCTTTCATTAGTTAATTGCAATACTCAAAGAAGAAGATCATACCCTAATACTGATTGAGTAACAATAAATTGAAGAACAACAAATAAGAGTTGTTTGTTTGCTCTGATTTTTTTTTTAATCCTGGACTGTTGTCTGAATGCTATTACATTTTCAAGAGTTGTCTCTCTTTGCTTGTTATTATTGTAATTCACAAATACAAAAATTAACTGCATTTTATATAAATGTATGTACTGACACAATTGTGTAGTCTTTTCCACAATAATATAGGAATACCACTAACAAATATTACAATATAAACCAAAATTCATTATTTGACATATATTTTATTGCACAAACTTGCATTTACATTTTAATGACAAGCATATATACATTTTTCTGTGTGGCATAAATTTGGCTGCAGAGTATTCTATACTAGTAATATTTTGTTGATGTGCAAGGGAGGCTACTGATTACCTACACAATAGCTATCAGCTGACCTATGTTGACAGTGTCATAAAAACCATTGGTAGTTAAACACCACCACTTACCATGGGGAGTGACGACATAAAACACTTGTATTACCAATGCTCCAGTTTAAGTGCCCTACCTGTTAGCAGGTGTAGGCTATCCTTTAAAAAATTAGGTGTAGGAGAACCCAGACCAGATTATGGAAAAAAATGAAATTTTGCTACCGGGTAATCTCTATTAGTTTTTTTTTTATCTAGTTGCCTCTCATATAGGGCATATACCTTTAATTAAGAAAACATGGAAAAAGTTGTAAATATATATAACATGTATTTCATTGCAGCATACAAAATTTAATGAAACACTGTTTGCCCAGATTGTTTATGAGAAAGTAGAACTGCCATTTTCTAACCAGCTTGATGACTACCCAACAGAACCTATAGGTATGTATACATAAGCTTTGGAATTTCCATGCAGATACAGAATTTCAGTTCATCCATAAAGAGATATAGTGTGTTTGTTTATTCTACATTGGCTAGAGATATAGGGGTAGGGTTGAGATCTCATAAAACATGTTTAACCCCACTGCATTTATGCGCCTGTACCAAGTCAGGAACCTCTGGCCTTTGTTAGTCTTGTCTGTTTTTTTTAATTTGGTTCATTTATATGTTTCAGAGTTTAGTGTGACGTCCATTTTTGCTGAACTAGTACACATTTTTGTTTAGGGCCAGCTGAAGCCTGCCTCCTGGTGCAGGATTTTCTCTGTGTTGAAGACCCTTTGGTGGCCTTGGGCTGTTTTTTGCTCTTTGGTCAGGTTGTTGTCTCTTTGACACATTCCCTGTTTCCATTCTTAATTTTATAGAACCATTGCCATTGTAAATATTAATCCAAAAAATGAAAAAAATTGAAAATTCATTGATTTAGAGGTGGTCTTTGTTCTCCTAGTATGTAATGTTGGTAGAATTGTGGACCATTTCCTGTGGTCAAAAAGTTGTCCTTGTATTAGAATTTTGGGGTACTTTAAATTCAGAAATTTTAGCTATGTTTTTATTCTAAACTTATAAAGGAGTAGGTTCAGTAAGACCCCTTTTTGGCCCCAAAATATATCAATTTTACAAAATTGTTATAATGTAAACTTTTAGCTATTTATTGGAAAGTAGAATACTTCTGCTACATAAATATGGGCTGTTTTTTACAATACAATGCACATATATCGGGTACTAGCATCATTAAGTCATGCTAAATTACTGAAATCTTCACAATTTTAGCATTTGAGTTAAATTTTAGTCGGTTTTCGTCTTAAATGGAAGTGGCCGCATTCGTGTTCATTCTTAATATTTAAATGTAAGTTGTATTTGATGATCATACATAACATATATAAAGGTTTAGGGTGAACACGGATGCGGCCACTTTCATTTTTGACAAAAACTATCTGAAAAGCGACATATTATGGCATATTTGATAGATTTTTCATATTTAAGCTTGAATATGAGCGTCTAAAATGACTAAATCAGTTCAAATCTTTCACACAAACTAATTGATTCGACTGAGGTAGACATTTAAGTGTTTAAAAAGTGTACAAATTTTTTCATCTGATGAACCTGAAATTTGAGGCCAAAATGGTCCCTTACCGGACCTACTCCTTTCAGAAATTGAGATAGTAATGTAGAAAAGACTAAAAAGCTAGATTAATTATTGGGTTTTCAGGAAACTCTGCATACAGTTATATGTATCAGATATAAGAATGCAAGTTCTTATTATTGGGCTACTCATTCAGTTGCATTATTCGCATTTATAAAAACCTCGCAAAATTTTTTGAACTTACAGTACTTTATTTGTGTTAAAAACTGTGTTATCTATATATTGTATATTGGATTTAAGCCTTTGCCTTTGTAATCAATGACCTATGTATTCAAATCAAATTTTATCACATTTGTAGGAGATGCATATGCCATTGCAACATCGATACATAAAAAGTATAGAAATATGATAGATAAAGAATTTTTCCAAGTTTATGCAGCACAGAGTAGAAAAGTGAAAGACAATCGTAACATGATTGAAAAGAAGTATGGACTTAACCCTCCAGTTTATGATATACTTGTGAAGACTTAATTAGTTATTTAGTAATGGTAGTAGAAATCTTATATTGTAAATTGATACATGCTAAAGATTGATTTTACGATACTTTTATACATAAATATAAACATTGATTGTGTTACATATGTTTAAAGGTTCACATTGATTCATTTTTGCTTATTACTTGAAATATAAAATTGGCAATTATAAGATCAAATTGTACATTTGCCCATATACTTCAATTTCTTATTGATTTTGCCCAGTTTAATCTAGTCATTCTGTATGAGGACAGAATTTCAGTTCACACCAACCACTTCATTATAGATATATTATTGATACATTGTGTAATTGTACTTATTGTTTACATAATTAAAGTGATACATTCCACTATGGCAAGCCATATTAATATTTATTCTAACTTCAAGATATCTCATATAATATATAAGATATCGTATACAGAAAATTATATGAGATATCTTATAATTTATATGAGAGTTCTTATAAATTATATGAGAGTTCTTACAAAATATATATAAGACATCTTATAATCTATATAAGATATTGTATAAACTATATGAGATATCTTATAAAGTTTATAAGATATCTTGAAGTTAGAATAAATAGTAACACTATATAGGTAGTACTGATATTTTTATACAATAATCAACTTTAAATGTTGTATAAAATTGAGAATGGAAATGGGGAATGTGTCAAAGAGACAACAACCCGACCATAGAACAGACAACAGCAGAAGGTCACCAACAGGTCTTCAATGCAGCGAGAAATTCCCGCACCCGGAGGCGTCCTTCAGCTGGCCCCTAAACAAATATATGTACTAGTTCAGTGATAATGAACGCCATACTAAACTCCAAATTGTACACAAGAAACTAAAATCAAAAATAATACAAGACTAACAAAGGCTAGAGGCTCCTGACTTGGGACAGGCGCAAAAATGCGGCGGGGTTAAACATGTTTATGAGATCTCAACCCTCCCCCTATACCTCTAGCCAATGTAGAAAAGTAAACGCATAACAATACGCACATTAAAATTCAGTTCAAGAGAAGTCCGAGTCTGATGTCAGAAGATGTAACCAAAGAAAATAAACAAAATGACAATAATACATAAATAACAACAGACTACTAGCAGTTAACTGACATGCCAGCTCCAGACTTCAATTAAACTGATTGAAAGATTATGTCTTCATCATATGAATATCAGGCACAATCCTTCCCGTTAGGGGTTTAGTATCATACCATCATAACATATATGAGAAGAACATAACCCGTGTCATGCCAACAACTGGTTTTTAAATAAATGTGTTTAGTGCCGATGCAAAGACCCTATAAGTGAATCAATATTAACGCCAAAATATGCAATTTTTAATGACCTGACAACAGTATCGTAACTATATCCCTTCTTAATAAGTCTATTTAAAGGTTTTGTTAGCTTCAGAGGTGAATACTGACATTTTTGTGCTTTATAAAGAATATTTCCATAAAAAATTGGATGTGAAATACCTGAACGTATAAGAAGTCTGCATGTTGAGCTATATTTACGAATGATGTCCTTATACCGATGATAAAATTTAGTAAATGTTTTGACTAGTTTGTGATATCGAAAACCCTGGTGTAATAATTTTTCAGTAATACATAAATTTCTCTCGTTAAAATCTAAAACATTGTTACATACACGAGCGAATCGTACAAGTTGAGATATATAAACACCGTAAGATGGTGACAAGGGAACGTCACCATCTAAAAATGGATAATTAACGATAGGAAATGAAAAATCATCTCTTTTATCATATATTTTAGTATTAAGCTTTCCATTAATGATATAGATATCAAGATCGAGGAAAGGGCAGTGGTCATTGTTAGTATTAGCTTTATTTAAAGTAAGTTCAATATATGTTTAAAACACATACATGCTGCAGTAAAATTTGGTTAAGGTCTAAATAATTGTCAGGACTTTTCAAGCTCCATGTAACAGCACAATTACATAATTAAAATAATAATTTATGTTTATTTCTTTATTATTAACTGCTTATTTTGTGCCATAGTACATGTATTAAAGTATTTTGTGCCATAGTACATGTATTAAAGCATTTTATGATCATTTGTATGATCTGTGATATTTTCATATTTTGTAATGTTGTTTGAAAATTAAACTTTAAGGATATTTATCTGAAAACTTTGTTGTATTGAAATGTCTGCCTTTCAAAAAAATGAAAACAACACTTATAAATTTAGTGTGTCTGAAGCGCTTTTCTGGATTTACGTTCATCAGGAAACACTCAAAGCTGAATATTTGAAAGCCAAGGATGTATAAGAACCGAAGCTGTTGAAGAGCTTTATGCCCATAAAGGACTTATCTAATTTTAGAGAACTATTTTTATATCATTTATTCATTTTGAGTTATTTTCCTTTGAACAGAAAATTAATAAGTATATGGATAAAATTAAACTGTGTTTCATTTCAACATAAATTGAATATATATAGGGTTCTTTCAAATGATGAATTTAAACCTGTATTTAAATATTGGATTTTTGGACCCAGTTTTCAAGTTGGTCTAAATCAGGGTCCAAAATTAAACTTTGTTTGATTTCAACAAAAATTCAATTAATGGGGGTTCTTTGAAATGCTGAATCTAACCATGTATTTAGAGATTTTGGATTTTGGGCTCCTTTATCAAATTGGTCCACATTGAGGTCCAAAGGGTCCTAAATTAAACTTTTGTTTGATTTCATCAAAAATTGAATTCTTGGGGTTCTATGATATGCTGATTTTAACAATGTACTTAGATTTTGGATATTGGACCGTAATAGATATATGTCCAATTTCAAATTTTTCAGTTCTTTGATCACATTCATTTTGTGTCACAAACCTATGCTGTGTCAAATATTCAGTCACAATCCAAATTCAGAGCTGTTTTAAGCTTAAATGTAGTGTCCATACTTGCTCAACTGTTCAGGGTTTAACCTCTGCAGGAAATCCAGTCTGCTGTCACTCTGACAGCCTCTTGTTTTTTGATGGGGTAAGTATATTAAAAATAATACATTTTTTCGTACTTTGACAAATTGTAGTTTATATATGGCTATTTTCAAGTATGTAATAAAAAGTATGAGTCACAGAGCTACAGATTGCAAATTTGTCAGACTTTGTATAGATTATACATGTAAAAAGCTCTTTTGTGAGAATAGATAAACAGCTGCGCCATGAGTGCATGATACGCCCGTCCCTTTTTGTCGAAAATTCGACTTTTGTGGAAAAAGCAAGACATATCGATCATACATTCCATTGTCGTCATTGTTGTCGTCGTCGTACGCGTCCACAAATATTCACTCTGTGGTTAAAGTTTTTGAAATTTTAATAACTTTCTTAAACTATCCTGGATTCCTACCAAACTTGGACAGAAGCTTGTTTATGATCATAAGATAATATTCAAAAGTAAATTTTGTAAAAAAAAAAATCCATTTTTTCCGTATTTTACTTATAAATGGACTTAGTTTTTCTGCCAGGAAACATTACATTCACTCTGTGGTTAAAGTTTTTGAAATTTTAATAACTTTCTTAAACTATCCTGGATTTCTACCAAACTTGGAAAGAAGCTTGTTTATGATCATAAGATAGTATCCAGAAGTAAATTTTGTTAAAAAAGAATTCCATTTTTTCTGTAATTTACTTATAAATGGACTTAGTTTTTCTGCCAGGAAACATTACATTCACTCTGTGGTTAAAGTTTTTAAAATTTTAATAACTTTCTTAAACTATCCTGGATTTGTACCAAACTTGGACAGAAGCTTGTTTATGATCAAAAGCTAGTATCTAGACGGAAATTTTGTTAAAATTTTGTTCCATTTTTTCCGTATTTTACTTATAAATGGACTTAGTTTTTCTTCCAGTTAACATTGCATACAGTCTGCAGTTTAAGTTTTTAAAACATTTATTAGATTCATAAACTATCCTGGATTTTTACCAACCTGGACAGAAGCTACTTACAATCAAAATATAGTAAAGAGAGGAATATTTTTATTAATTTTTTTCCTCATTTTTGTTGAGCCTGCGATTAACAGCAAAAGTAGGCGAGACACTGGGTTCCGCGGAACCCTTACGAATTTTTTTTAAAGAATACAGTTCAATAACTTCTCAATGTCATTTCAGAAATTTATGAAAAACAAAGGGGAGGTTAGCTTAATAGATATATACCAGTCAACAAAGTTTAATGAAAACTGCTCAAAGCACTTTAAAGATATTGTCAGAAAACTGGAAAATCGCCCCCTTTTCATGAAAAAATCCCATAACTCAGAAACGTAAAATCTAAAATTTATAAAAATCGAAAGGGAGCATATGTCAATAGATATAAAGGATTCACCAAACTTTCATGAAAACTGCTGAAAGCATTTTTGAGTTGTTGTCCGAACACCGGAAAATCCCCCTTTTTTTAATGAATAAAACCCCATAACTCGGAAACATAAAATCTAAAATGAATAAAAATCGAAAGGGAGTTCATGTGTCAATAGATTTAAACAATTCACCAAAGTTGCTTGCAAATTGGTGAAAGTGTTTTTGAGTTATTATCTGAAAACTGGAAAATTCCCGTTTTTAGCTCACCGGACCCGAAGGGCCCCATGTGAGCTTATGCCATCACTTGGCAACCGTCGTCGTCGTCCGTCGTCGTCGTAAACTATTTCAAAAATCTTCTCCTCTGAAACTACTGGGCTAAATACCTTCAAACTTTAACTAAATGTTCCTTAGGGTATCTAGTTTATAAATTGTATCTGAAGTTTTGATCCATCGACAAACATGGCCGCCATGGCTAAAAATAGAACATAGGGGTCAAATGCAGTTTTTGGCTTATATCTCAAAAACTAAAGCTTTTAGAGCAAATCTGACATGGGGTAAAATTGTTCAATTGGTCAAGATCTATCAGCTCCGAAATTTTCAGATGAATTGAACAACCCATTGTTGGGTTGCTGCCACCGAATTGGTAGTTTTTAACAAAATTTTGCAGTTTTTATACGACCGCAAAAAAATTTTGCGGTCATATATTGGTATGACGTTGGCGTCGTTGTCGTCGTCCGAAGACACATTGGTTTTCGCACTCTAACTTTAGTTTAAACTTTAAGTGAATGGATCTCTATGAAATTTTACCATAAGGTTCAATACCACAAAAGGAAGGTGGGGATTGATTTTGGGGGTTATGGTACCAACAGTTAAGGAATAAGGGGCCAAAAAGGGGCAAAAAATAAGCATTTTTGTAACTTCCAGACATAACTTGTGTTCAAGTGTATGGATCTCTCTGAAATTGTACTGCAAGGTACCATACCACAAAGGGAAAGCTGGTTTGAGTTTGGGGGTAATTGCCCTAAACGTTTTGGAATTTGGGGCCAAAAAGGGGCCAAAAAACAAGCATTTTTCTAGTTTCCAGACAATAACTTGTGTTCAAGTGTATGGATCTCTCTGAAATTGTACTGCAAGGTACCATACCACATAGGGAAGGCTGGGATTGAGTTTGGGGGTTATGGTACCAACAGTTAAGGAATTAGGGACCAAAAGGGGGCCAAAAATAAGCATTTTTGTAACTTCCAGACATAACTTTTGTGTTAGTGTATGGATCTCTCTGACATTGTACCACAAGGTTTCATATCACAAAGGGAATGCTGGGATTGATTTTGGG